GTCGTGTACACAGAAAATGGTTCCCCTCCGGTGGAGAAACACGTCCATCCAATCTGCACCAAGTCATGGCCGGAAGTGGAAGCTCGCAGGCTCATCCTGCATGATAATGCTGACGGCAACTGTGACACAGTCAATCAGAATATTTGATCAGGGTCATAGAGGTCATCATCATCATCATCATTAACACTCCCCCCCTACTCTTCTCTCTTTCTACCCCTTCCCCTACCACTTCTCTCTCTCTCTCTATTTGCCTACCTTTTCTTTATTCTCTTTTCATCACATAAGTATTTTTCTGTTATTTTTGTACAGTAATTTTTAAAGGACAGATATAGTCCCAAAAAAAAAAATATATATATATACATATACATATATATATATATATATATAACAATGTTCGAAATCTATCATATTGCAAAAAATAAAATAAAAGACTAGGGACTTAAAACTTTTGATAAAAAATACATATTAGTACAAGACTATAACCTGTAAAATGTTTTTTTTGGTAGATTTCTTTGATTGACTAAGAATAAAATTTCTTTTTAATAACAAAGCATTTGTTTATGAAAGTTGCCTTTTGTAAATTTTGAACTTTTAGCCAATTTTATCTGCTGTGGGTTATAAAATAAAAACTCCTACCCTTTAATAAGATGAACTGTAATCAGATTGGTTAAAGGTTCAAGTCCCATTAGAGATTGCTTCTCCAATTTCAAACAAGGAAAAAAAAATGGAAATTTCTACACCAGTTTGGCTCAAATATATTATAGAACATTTTCTGTTTTCATTTACAGAAGTCCGAAACAAAGTGGCTTGCTTTTTATTTTGGATGCTATCAAGGAAATCTCATCTATCTTGACATGCTAAAAGTTATGCTTTTGTCTCTAGTTTTAATGGGGTGGGGGAGTATTTTATTTTAGCTATATTTGTCATACACGCACACACACACACAAGCAGTGATGGACCTAGGTTTACTGGCACCCGGGCAAGCTGAACTTCAGCGCCCTTACAAGTATAATTTTCACAAGGCGAAAAACTGAAAATGTAGAATAATGAGTTTATTACAATATAAAACTTAATACAAGCTAAAGAAAAACCTTCATTATCCAACCTAAAACATTTTTTTTTCTAGCCTTTTAGATCTGCAAATCTTTTCATGGCACTTTCTACACCTTCCTACTTTACAAAATCATTTTCTGTTGACAAAATAGCCAAAGAATTTAATATGTCTTGAGTCATGGATGACCTGAAATATGCTTTTATAAGTTTTAGTTTTGGAAGATCCCAAACACGATATGGCGCCCTCAGCCTTGATGGCGCCTCGGGCAACTGCCAGAGTTGTCAGTACCTGAGGTCTGCTCTGCAGAATACACCTCCTCTCGAAATTGCCTGAATGTTAACTAATTTTATAAAAAAAATATTAGAGATTTGCAATATGAGTATATTTGAACATTAACCACCCACCCCAACCTTAATAGACAAAAAAAAAAAAAAAAAAAAGAGTTTAAAAAAAAAAAAAAATGACTTGATGAAAATGAATATAATATTAATATTGTTGTATTGCATAAAACACATTAACAGTGACTGTATCTCAGCGTGTGTGGAAGATTCCTTTTCCTTTATGTTTTGTTTTGTTTTTTTAAATAACCTAAATGTGTGCTTGTGTATAAGTTTTTATAACATGCAAAAATGTATGTAGGTATGTTTGTTTGTTTTTTTTTTTTTGTTTTTTATGTATGGTCGAGGTGGGATTGGGAGGGGGTATTGCATGAGGCCTGACAATGAGAACTCTTTGCTTTCTTTCATTGTAGTTATCATTTGGGGAGGGGGGGTGCGTGAAATTCAGGTGGCTTGTGGGTGGGGTTGCAATGACAGTATGTCCAATCACTGAAAAATTGCTTCAAGTAATCAATATGCATTTTTATTTTTAAATTCCTGTCATTAATTAGCACTCTGTGGCATGATTATTTATTTCCTTATCCACGTGACCTCTCAAAGGTCAAGTATCTAATTGGATTTTTAACAAGAATGGGGAAACTCTTTCTGGAGATATATAGACATCCTAGTGAGTTCAAGCCTATGAGGGGCATCTAGACTGATAATCACATTACAAAGTTTGGGTCTTCAACTGGTCATGTTAGTAATTAGTATATATGAGCAGGTATTTGGTTGTATATGTGGGTGTCATGTCTCATTTGGTAAATAGGTTAGTTCTTTAACTTATGTTTCAGTTTAAGCCTTGGACAGCTCTTCAACACTCCATTCCACAGTGTTCTCAGTCCATTTGTGTACTTGCAAAATCCATGATACCCAAGGATATAAATATCTACATAAATGACCAAAACGGAATATGTGTAGGTGTGTCTGCATGTGTGATGGTTAGATGCTCGTTAATTTAGTCTAAATGGTTCTGGTCAAGGTGTAGCATGCTGTGAACTTACTGTGTAATAGTTTAAAAAAAACAAAAAACCATCATACTTTAAAGTTTATTCTAATGATAGGCGGTTGATATAAAGTGAGTTTTGCGTTTATCACACCAACAACTTGTAATGATAAATTGGTTGGAGATGGAAACATTTTTCTTCCCAAACCCCAAAGCAAGCTGACTACTAAAAAGAGAATTACTCAAACCTTTGACTTGCCAATTGCAGCCAAGTTTGCTTGTCCCTTTAACTCTTCAGGATTCAAAACCCACCCCGTAAATATCAGCTCTCAATATCTCACTGTTTATGTAATTTCCTGTGTTATTTGCGATGATGTCATCATAGCAGAGTATACATGGGATGGGTCACGACGGGTTGGACATTGAGAGCTGATATTTATGGGGGGGTGGGGTTGAAGGCTAAAGGGGTAAATTGTATTTTTTTTTTTTTTTTTCATCTCCTTCCACTTTTTACTCCCTTAATTCATTACTGACTTCCTTCTTTTCTTCTTCATCAAATTATATACCCTTTTATTTTTATTTATTTTTTTTTATGTCTTTTATCTTAATTTCAGTTGCTTTTTGTTTTGTTTTTTTTATTGCATCTCTCAGATGATCATTTTATGGCTGTTAGCAAGCAGTGTGCAAGAATAAACCTCCAGCAAAACTCACCTCCCCATTTCGTACCCTCAGGAGATTCTTAACAGCTGCCTTACCATCAATGACTAACAATGGCTGAATGAAGGTCTGAGAATGGCAACAAAAAAAAAAAAAAGAAAGCAACTGAAATTAAGATTAAAGATTTTCTGATGAAGCATTTTGAATTATTTTTTTTTAAATTAAGATATATCTGGCCCCCTTTCTTTCATTCTGTATACTTCTTCCCTCTCTCCATAATCACTGCACCCATTTATTTTTTTGTCTTTTTGCAGTGATAAGTTGAAACTTTCCTATTGCTCATCCTGCTTTTGTTACTCCCTTCGGCTTACAGTCAAATCACACTGAAACCACCGGCTCTCGTTTAATCACCAAAGCTAAGCAGTGTCGAGCCCGGTCAGTAGTGCTTGGAAACACCAGGTACTGTAAGCAACCTCCTACAATCTGAAATATGTCTCAACTTTAAATAACCCACAAAAAAAAAACATCCCACCTCCCTTTCAATTAACTCTTCATCTCTGCTGTTTATAAATAGAACATAAATACTTGTGAATATTTGAACCTTCAATATTCATAAATTTTTTTTTTTTGCCATACTTTCTCAACTGATGGACAATCTTATCTGACTGAATTGTTAAATGCTCCACCTATTTACTAAAAACACACGCATACACAAAATAAAATAAAAAAAAAAATATCAAAAAAACAGGGGGGAAAAATTTACATGAAAAGACAAAGCTGTGACATTTTTCTTTCTTTCTTTTTTTTTTTTTTCCAAACAAATTTAAGTTTTGTCAACCACATGTCTACGTAATCAGCCTGGAATGTCACCAAAACTTCAATCTCTTTGTCCTTTTTTTTTTTTTTTTTCCTCTCTCTACTTTTCTGATTTCTTTTTCTACTTTTCATTTCATTATTATATTTAAAAGAAAATCAATAAAAACCATTGAAAAAGTTGACATGTCTTCATTTATTACTGATTTTAAACAAAAAAAGTTTATAAGATTTTTTTTTCTTTAATTGCTGTAGCCCACTATTATTACTCTGTATCCAGGAAGTATTTAAGATTAGAATTTTGCAAAAATTATGGTCCAACAAGAAAATGTGGGGCTTGAAGACTGGAAGTCATGACAGAAAGAAAATTTAGCCTTGGCTCAAGAGCCAAGTGCGGAGTTTGATGAGGAAAAAAAAATGTGTAACTTTAAGATGAAAAAAAAAAAAATGTTAAAACTTTGACTCCTCCTGGAATTCATGCAAAATTTGTCATTATGAAGGAAAGAAAATCAAGTTTATCTAAATTGGATAAAATCTGTGAGTATATTTGATTAAGTTCTTATACTTCTATTTTCTTATTACGATAAATGTCATTTGAGTTGCTATCCTTGTTTTTTATATTTTCTTAAACAGTAGAATTAATAACCACTGGCCTGGATTGAAAAGTCTCGCTAAAACTTCTGTTTGTCATATATACAACAAGCTTTATTTAGTTGAAAACAAGCACTCCATTTAATTAGAATTTATTTAAAAATTTTTTTTTTTTTATAAAAATTCTAATGACGTGTATCAAAAAAACTGCCCAAATTCAGAAAAATAAATGAAATTGGATTAAGCCTGCTCTGTATTGCAGAAATATCAGGTTTTATTTGTATTACATGTTTAATATACATAATGCAATTTCAAAAAATTTTTAAAAAAATCAAAAAATGCCATTAAATCAATTTTTAAAGAAAATGAATATTGCATCTGTTAAAAGTTGTATATTTCAAGAGCAGCAACTGATCCACAACTGTCCAACTTATTGGTTTTTAAGTTTTTATATATAAACTGAAGATAGTGGAAATGATACACAATACATACTCAGTCTTTAAGCAAAATATTAAAAAATTTTTTTAATTTTTTGTAGAGTATCAGGGGAAGTAACTCTGCATTACCCACAAAAGGCTTGACGGCTTAGACTCCTGGCCTTTTGTTCAAAGATATCAATCTCTCCTTTTACAAATTGATTCTTCTTGTTAATCATGAGACCCGAACTGTCAACCCAGAATTTGTGTCTGAAAGGAGAAAAAAAATAATACTATTAATTAGATCAAAATGTAAATATCAAATTTGAATTATTTGATTTGTTGTTTGAAAAAGAAAATACAGCTTTATCATCAAAGCAATGTCTATCAATTACATAGGTGCAAAAGTTTAAAAAAGAAATACTAGGTCTTTTTAATATAATCTGTACCAGTGGATGTGCATGTAGTGTAGCGGTTAGCACACTAATTCCACTTTCTGCACCCATAAATTTGTTCTCACTTTCACACAAATACAAATGGGAAAGGCATGACTCCATCTCTCCCAAGCTATGGAAAAAATACCAAGAAAGACTGCTCTTTAACATTGTGTTGACAACCAATATAGGAGAAGGACAACTCTAAATTAAAAATCAGTTGGGAGCTGGAAAATCCACCCCATGTATAATAAATAAAACTATTTGCTACATAGATACTAGTGTAGTGAGATTGTGACTCCCATTTTCCAATGGAGATACTTCTGGGCCTCAGGTATGGCCCTGATGTGGAGTGAAATCTGTATTTGATTTCTAATTTTCAAGAGTGCTAGGATCATTATTATTTAATAGTTGTCTGTATGATTTGTTTTCTGCCTCCCGGTAAAATTGTTGGCATATATACCTATTTTTCATATTCAGTAATTGCTTCCAAAATAGCACAAAGGAAAAATTTGAAAATAGATTCCAAGAAAAGACATGAAATAAAATTTCTGCATAAATATGTCCTTTTGTTTTGGGTGGAGTGTTACATTACAGTTCTCTGCCTTTTTGTCCGGAACATTAGCGATAGTCTCCTTGCTTGTAGCTCATATTCTTTAAATATCTTCATTCATCACCAGGTGTTCTCAATACTTGTCAATAGATCCATATCTTTGTCATTTTAAATTTTTTCTTCATTTGTAATGAAATTCTTCAGCACTCTCTGTCATCTAAGAGTGGCAGACATTACATAGAATTGAAGAAAAGAACATTGGATTATTAATGCTATTTTTTCAAAGGCCTATTCACTAAATAGTGCCCTTCACTAACAAAATGCATTAATATACAATGGTGTGTCATTGGACTCTTTATCCAATGACATTGTTGCAGTTTTAAAACTATTTTCTTATTGCTTCCTTTACATCAGGTGTGTGAAACTAGTGGGCTGCATATGGCATTTTACATGCATCTTGACGGCCCTCACAATGGTTTCTATAGCTGTGGTATATCGAGAATTTTTGTTGAAAGTACCTAGAAGTAGGGGGTACCTGGATTTTTTTTCCATATCTTTCTCAGACATTAAGAACTTTGGAAAGTTTGCCACAGAGATTATGGCGATTTGGTTCTACATATGTCTGTGAGCAGTTATTTTCATTTATAAAGGCCACAAAAATCTCATAGAACCAGATTAACTGATGACCATTTGTCATGTTTGATCAAAGTCGGATCTACACAGACATTCCAACCTGATACATTGAGAATAGTTTGTCTAAAGTAATGTCAATCATCAGGATAACATAAAAATGATTAACTTGTACTACCTTATATTGTAAATGATTTGTATTTAAAGTTTAGTTACCACTAGCTGTGATTAATGTAAGACTAAGCAGGTGCAGCCCTCAAGGCTGCAGATATGGCCTGATGTGACCCTCAATATGCCCTGGGGTTTGACATACCTGCTTTATATCATCCAAATATAATACAGTGTAACCCGGATATAAGAGAGATTTTCTGGTCCCAAATTAGAGCCTAATGTATATAAAATAGACCAAACCCGGATAAAAGAGAAACCCGGATATAAGAGAATTTTCTGGTCCCAAATTAGAGCCTAATGTATATAAATAGACCAAACCTGGATAAAAGAGAAACCCGGATATAAGAGAGATTTTCTCTGGTCCCAAATTAGAGCCTAATGTATATAAAATAGACCAAACCCGGATAAAAGAGAAACCCGGATATAAGAGAGATTTTCTCTGGTCCCAAATTAGAGCCTAATGTATATAAAATAGACCAAACCCGGATAAAAGAGAAACCCGGATATAAGAGAGATTTTCTCTGGTCCCAAATTAGAGCCTAATGTATATAAAATAGACCAAACCCGGATATAAGAGAGATTTTCTCTGGTCCCAAATTAGAGCCTAATGTATATAAAATAGACCAAACCCGATATAAGAGAGATTTTCTCTGGTCCCAAAACCTGATTAAGAGAGATTTTCCTGGTCCCAATTAGAGCCTATGTATAAAAAATAGACCAAACCCGGATAAAAGAGAAACCCGGATATAAGAGAGATTTTCTCTGGTCCCAAATTAGAGCCTTTACTTACCTAAACAAAATAGACCAAACCCGGATATAAGAGACTTCTTCTCCGGTCCCGACAACTCTCTTATAGCCGGGTTACACTGTAGTTTGTTTTTTTTCTTTTTTTGGTTGATTAAAAAAAAGCCAGGTGGCCACAAATCACTGTAAACAACTTGCACCAAATTTTTAGTGAATAAGAGGAATAGTGTTACTGAAAATTATTTGCTAGCCATAAGATTTGATTGCTACCACATAGGGTCTGGTGATCCTGCTATATATCCTTGAGATTCTTGTGAACATCTGAAGAATCAGCAATGTTATCAGTCCTGACATCTTGTCTTCAATCACTTTCCCACCACCATTATATAAATTCCCTATGTTTTTTCTATAAATATCTTCATGTCAGTTGTTCTGATGAGATTTTCTCTTTTGTACTTCAAATTCATGAATTTAAGTGTGGTACTAGATTGGCTGTTAGGTCTCATCACTTTACTGCTAAATTCTATTTTTATACTTTCTTCTCTTACACTTGTTACCTGTGAAACTCTTTTCTGGCTTTTCTGTATAGTCTACAATAATGTAACATCAATTGCCATCTTCTGATTTTTGGATCCTGTTCTTTTATTGTCCTTTTTCCTCAGTCTCAGTAAGCTCTGATACCTTAGTGGATTTATCATCTTGCTTGTGTGAAATGATTAAAAAGGAAAATGTTTACAATAGTAATAGCCATTTACTTATAAAGAAAGATTCGGCATTCATTGGCCGAGCAGTCTGTTCTACTCTTATGCTTTTCTTTCTTCCCTGTCTATTGAGTTAGGATCAAAGTGTATTATCTGTTCTCCTCATCTCTATTGGTCATATTATCCTTTTCTTTATAAGGAAACCTTTGGCATTCATTGGCTGAGCCACCAGTACTATTACTGGTTGAAATTTATAAAAAAACTTTCTATTAAAGGGAAAACTTATTTTTCAGGCAAAAAGGTTTCAGGAGTCCAGTAGCTGTGATCACTCTCCAGGTGTGGAATGTCGGCATCTTGAGCATGCCATTTTCTCTTCAATTTGCATGTGGTTTCTGTATCGCTAGTACACAATGTTCAGAAAAGGTTGGTTTTCACCAAGATCCACAGGCTTCACTTGCTCAAAGCCATTTTCAACCATTAATCTTAGAAAGTGTTTGTATCAGCTGACAGTTTAGATATTTCTAAACTAGTCTGGCATCATGCATGATGTCCATTTGAAAGTATCAATCTGACGAGGCCATTTAAGAACATGGCTCGAGTTTTTACGTTGATGTTTTGGTTTCGTAGCAATTTTGGACAACTGAACTAATTATATTGCTTTTGTGGTAACAAGTCTAATTAGTTTGAGCAACAGAGATTTAGCAATGATATCCTCTTGTTTTCTATACACCCTTTAACCTTTAGGATGTGTAGGTAGTATAACAGTTATCAGCACAGAAAATAGAAGTTGCAAACCAAATTGAAATTTTGGGCTAGTTGCACTCACTTTCGCACTAATGCCTTTGGATTCTTCAGCCATGGGTGGCAACCATTCAAGAGAAGGCAATGAAAAACCACAGGTAATAAATACCATCTGCTGAAGGGACATGGCATTTTTAAAAAGAAAAAAAGTAACACCAACTTTAACATCTTGTAAATGATATTGTTCACTGAGCAGGAATTTTATACCTTTACTGAGGGCATACTGTAGTGCATTTAAATTCCACAATTGTGCTCTGTCTTGTTCTAGTAGTAACAACCACAATATGACCTTGTTGAATAATACAGGGATGTACGTCGCAATTTTTGAAGAAGACATTAACAATAGTCAAAGGTCACTTACCTATACTGATTAGATTCATCCAATGTACGAACTCGTTTGTTTGCCATTATCAAGTAAATTTCTCCGACTTTGACATGCGGACAATGGCAAATGCCTTTCTGGAAAATGGCTACATGCTCTTCCAAATCTGGGATATCTGTTTCTGGTAAGCAAAGGCAAGAAAGAAAATTGTTTTAGAATATTCGTCACAGAAACAGGACACAAAGTAGGACACCTAGCCAAGGATTATGACGGAAAAGTTTGGGCAGTTGAACAATAATAATATGTAGTGAGTTTGATACTTATGAACAAACTATGTGAAACAAACATTCATTGTTCAATGACAATAATTTATTTATTTATATATATATATATATATATATATATATATATATATATATATATATATATAAGTGAATATAAAGTCAACACTTAGTTTGTTTCATGCTAGATGCAATCTTCAGGCCTCTAAGTGTTGACTTCTATGTTCACTTTATATTTACACACGCCTATCTCTGATATTGAGCATTTTATCCCATAAATATAGCACATCTTAAGACTATATTTCTTATATATATATATATATATATATATATATTTTTTTTTGGTAATTTGTAATTATAGTAATGTTTTTTTTTTGTTTTGTTTTTTTTGGTAAATATAGTAATATATATATATATATATATATATATATATATATATATATATATATATATATATAAGAAATATACTCTTAAGGTGTGCTATATTTATGGGATAAAGTGCTCAATTTCTGAGATAAATCGTCAGGCCTGAAACAGCCTGTCGCCTCTAAGTGTTGACTTCAATGTTCACTTATATATATATATATATATATGGTTTTTTGGTAATTAGTAATTATAGTTTTTATATATATATATATATATATATATATTTTTTTTTTTTGCTGTAAAGAATACATATGCTCTGTTATAATAAATACATTGAGCTCTCTGTGGATCAATTTTAATAACTAATATTACTAGGATTCACCCAGATTATATACCAATGGATCGATTACCTGTAATATATATATATATATAAATTCAAATATTATTTTTAGCAGTTTCTAGTGTTTGAAATAGACACCCTGTATTATATCTATTATGCTTTCTCAGATATGCAGACTGATAAACATTACAAAAACAAAAAAGACATAGCTAGGTGTTCATTCTTATTGAAACGCATCTGTCAGCATCAGCCAATGAAAAAAGGCTTTTTACACTCCCCTTCTATATACTGGTGTCTTTTTACTTCATTCAGTTTTGATACGAGTTACTTCCCCTGGATTCCTAACTCGGTAAGCAGGTTTTTTTTGTTTTTTTACATAGTTTAATCCAAATGTTTCATATGCTTTAAATTGCAATCCATAACATTACTAACCCTTTAACTAAAACCTACATGTGTACCGAACGCAAATCTATAATCTACCTATGCTAGTGCCAAAAATTAGTCTAATTTTGACACTTATCTTTTCCTTTCTCAGGAAAAAAAAAATTACTCACTATTCTTACTATCTGATAAATCTTTAAGTTTACATTTATATGCTTAAGCAAACAAAATTCCACAAAAAAGAAGAATCCCTATAGACGCGTGTACATGTATGCATCTACATGATGGTTGTCAACTCATGTCTGAGTATGACCATTACTACATATCTTTTTGGAGAATATCTACAGATGTGCTGAACAAATGTGGCTCTAGCCCAGCAAGGGACCTACATACTCTGGCACAAACAGGGCACTTAAGAGGTGCAACAGCGGATATTACATTATCATGCAATTTAAAATGTTTCATGAAACTGCTTCTGGACCTGCATGTCTTGCTGCAAATATTACATTTCAGTTGCTGCACATCTACAGTTTTATAAGTCAATTGCCACCCTCTGTTGGTGCGCTTTCAAGTGATTTCTTAGATCATTCATTGAGAAGCACACTCTAACACAATCAGTGCATGTCATATAAATGTATTTACATGAACATAGGTACACATGCATAAATTTATCTATCGCTCATTTACGTTAACTTACTTTTATGAAACCAGCCATTGCAAAATTAACTGTTTGTTTGAAATTCCTTCCCCGTTTCATGACTTACCAACTAAAATAATTCAATGGCTTCACCTAAGAGAGAGAAAAAAAAAATTAAGCTAACTACTCAATTAACTCATATTTACTGTTAAGTATTACTCGAAATAAATATGACCAATTAATACTAGTATCGACACTTGACATTTTCAAAACTATGATTACTACGATATCACTTAATCTCTATCTATAAAAGGCAGGATGTGTGTGTGTGTGTGTAACGAATGCATGGCCGTAATTTTCGACGGATTTGCACCAAAATTTACATGCACATGCTCCAAGTTAGCAGGAAGGCCAAGACTGACTTTGCATTTCCCAACTCCCATCGATAGTGGAAATAATCAAATTTTTCATGCTTCTACAGCAGTTTTCATGTAGTTTGCAGCCATTTTGTACTGGCCAGAGTGAGAGCCTATAGCTGGCTGCCACGAATAGGCAGGAAGATTCTATTGGTCAGCGTGAGAGCCAACAGCTGACTGACACGAATGTTAATTAGCACGCTAGCATGCAAAAAAAAAAAAAAATTGATAGCTGCATTTGTCACAAGTGGGAAAAATTTAAATCTGCATGGTACTTTACTCCAATTGGCTCATTCACTTGCTTAAACTCAACGTTGATTCTGATTCTGCAGAACTAGGTTGGGTGTGAAAAAGTATTTGTTGTTAACATTCTTTTTTCATTCGGTTTTTCCAGTTATGAGTCCTTTTGTAAAGCTGATCGTTTTGTGTTCATTTTGTTTAGTTCTTTTTTTGTAACAGATTTAATGTTTAGTATAGAGCTTAGAAAAAATTCGAAGTGTGAGATAGGCAAGAAGTAAGGCATGTAGCAACATCAGCATGGCAAAGGGTACTCCTTTAAAGGCAAAGAAGGGCAAAAATATTTTAAGTCAAGTGATAGCGATTGCTGTATGAGTCGTACGATTTTTGAATGAAGCACGGGCAACGCCAGGTCATGCTGCTAGTATATAATAATTTAAGTCTCTGAAATTACCTTCAAAAGAAGTAGGCAAGTAAGAATGAATATGAATAAGAAATGCAACTAAGCTGAATGAAATAGCAATAAATAGATGAAAAGCAAAAACAAAATTTTTTCACATCCATAGAACCCCCTCCCCCAACACATTTGCCAACAATTCTCAATCCCTATCCATAACAATTCAAATACCCTGACTCACTATATTACTTCAATATTCACTCGTACCTTGTAAACCCTCCCCTCTGTACCCCTAAGTATGTTCCACGCCCTTCTCACTCTCACTGCCCTCAATTCTTCCTCCATTGCTCTGATCTCTAAAGCCAAATCCACTTAGCAGTTAAAACTTAATTGCTAATGTCCTTCAGCTCTCTAGCCCTTGCTGTCACTACTGAGCCTCTTTTTGCTAGGGCTCTGCACAACAACTGTCCTGCAATTTCCATGATTTCTACTGATATTGTTCGACCAGTTCTTGATAGATATATGTATAGATATATATGTCTATATATAGAGATATATCCTTCTCATTCTGTAAAGCTAACTACTCTCTACCTTGAGAAATAGAAAAAGGTTTCAGAATCTCTCTAGACACATGATTATTGCACTTTAGGTCAATTCATGCCTAATAAGTCCCCCACCCCCCTCACATGCAATGTCTGCATGGGGATTTCAGTGAAATCACAAAGATAAGGATTCTTTTTCTCACCATGTTTATTCAACCTCTGCAGTGAGACAAATAATGCTACAAAATCTAAATATTATCTCTGCCGATAAATCCTTTAACAACAGTAGTAGCACCTGGCAAAATTCTTCTATGGCATCCTCACACCCTATAATATTTCTTGTCCCTTCCTATATTGCATCCTCAGTTCACACAACCGTCAATACCCCATAAATAATCAACTATCCCATTTTGACGATGAGAAAATGAAAGATAGGAGAGATAAAAAAAGTGTTTAATAATGCAATGGGGGGGGGACAAGACTTTCATCGTTTTTTCTCGTTTTATTTATATAAGTACTAGGATGGAAATGAAAAAGTTTTATCTTTCTCACTGAAGCTAAACAGTTTCTGTCTCCTCTTATAATAAAAACTGAATAGTCCGTTATTTATGCTGTATTGGTAAGGTAAGATGTAACATATGTCCTAACTAAAGAACAAGAAGAATTAGGTGATATGATACGTGGATGTCACTGTCAGAAGGAAAACTGAAAGGACTTAGACAACTTAGTAAAAGAAAAGACAGAAGACATATTAGTCATCAGTAAAAGAGACGGGCGAAATTGTGAGCTACATTTTCGAAGGGATGTCAAAATGAAGCACATACAGAAAGTTAATTATCTGGATAGTATAGTAACTGATGGAAAATGTGATACAAATTTACATATACATAGGAATAGCTAAAGATGCCTTTCAGAAACAAAGAAATAGACTACTGAGTAGCTATGTAATATCTAATCTTCAATACAACAGTGAAAACTTGACAATTTCTGCACAAATGAAGAAGTGACTTGAAGCAACATGGTTCTTCTGACAGGTGCTAAGAATATCATGGAAGGGACAAAGAAGTCTTGGGGAAAATAGGATCTTAAAGAAAAAGTATAGTTGCCTTCAGAAAGAGATAGTTGAAATATATGAGACATATGAGGAAAGAGGGCTTGGAGAACTTAACATGCACAAGACATTGAAGGTACAAGAAGTGGAAAAAAAATGAGTAACCTATTTAATAAGATAAAATCCAAAGAAAGATTAGCAACCTTACTGGCATCTCAGCTTCCATATCTTTCCCATCACCATAATGTTGCTTCCCTGTGCATTTCTCTATAAATACTTTTATGGTAATTGTTTTAGATAAACTCTTCACTGTGGTACCCAGGCTTTATGAATTTAAGTGCAGTACTAGATTGGCAACAATGTCTTATCCTTTTACAGCTGAATTGGCAAAATGAAACCATATGTTCTTTGCTAACAATTTCTTTTCTTGCCTGTGGGACTCTTCCAGATTCTTCCTTTCCAGTCAATTTTGATCTTTAAAAATGTCAATCGTTATCTGCTGTCTTCTTGATTCGTCTTATTTTATTTTTCTTGCTCCTTCATAAGGATTTTTCTTTTTCTTTTGCACTCAGTAACACTTTGCACCTTAGTGAATTTATTGCCTTGCTTGGGACGAAGAAGTTATAAAAAGACAAATTACAGTGCTGTTCAATAAAAGTGATTCACCTGAGTTTTTTTTTACTAAATGTTCTCTTCTCCAATGAAACGAAAGTTGAGCTAAATTCAAAGGATAAGCGATCTAAAATCCGAAGAAGCTGCTTTGAAAGCTCTTTGAAGTTAGCAGTAAGTACTGTCAAGCATCCGTTCAGTATAATGTTCTGGGGATGCTTTTCTTTTCATGGAACTGGTTTCTTAAAACCTATTGAAAAGACCCTCAAGAGCGAGCAGTACAAGAGAATTTTAGAGTCTTGTTTGCTCCCTTCTGCTGAAAGGGTGAAAATCGACCCCACCAAGCTCATTTTTATGCAGGATAATACTCCCTGTCACAAATCAAAATTGATGAAGGAATACTTTGATGAGAAGCATGACATGGCTGCCCCAATCTCCTGACCTCAACCCCATAGAAAACTTATGGAGCATTATAAAGTACAGTCTCTCGAGAAAGCAGTTGAGCAACAAAAGAGGATTTGATTGTGAATTTCATATCTGAATGGAATTCAATGCTTGGAGATGAGATTTGCCAGAACCTAATCAAGTCAATGCCAAAAAGGGTTGAAAAGATTATTCAAAATAAAGGAGGACCCATAGTTTATTAAATATTTCGAACTATATTACCTATCATAAATAAATTATACCTCTATTATTCTTTATTTAAAGCTGTTCGGTTATGTTTCTATTGATTACTAGTTGCAGGAAATAAGTGAAAAATATTTTTTGCACAAATCCCTAAATCTCATTTATATCCAAAATTATAATTATCAATAGAATACCTTAGGGTGAGTAAACTTTTTTACTAGGTGGTCGGGAAGGGGTCTTTATATTAGTAAGATTAAAAATTAGTTTGACCCCCAAAGCAATAGGCGAAAAAAAATTTTTAGCAAATAAAAAAAAAATCAGGTGAGTCACTTTTATCAAACAGCACTGTACTTAGAGCAACAAAAGATAGGAAGTTGGGAAGAGCCATGGTCACCCACATCCTGAAAGAATGTAGCACATATAAGAATATGAGAAAAGAAAATAGTCCTTGGGATTGAAAGACTGACAAAAAAAAAAATAATTTGAAACTTATGTGATATATTGCATATAGAAATATATCCCGAATATTTTTCTAGCATTAATCTTGAATAATACTAATAAACTTTTACTATTTTTCCTATTTGAACCTTAACTCTTAATGAATGAATAAGTTCTTTCATGTTCACTGCCATTGTTTACAGCAGTCCTTGGAAGGATAGTGTGTTCATTTCACTACACCACATAGGTTCCCTCAGTGACCCTGGTTTATGCTTAGCCAAAAACTATTGCCCAATATTCCCCAGGTCTGGCAACCCCCATATTCCATAGATCTTACCCCGTGTGAGTTTTTCCTCTTCAAAAATCAAATCTCACTAGAAAGAAGCAAGAATTCAAGTCATCAAGGAAATCCAAGAGAATGCTCTCATCAATGGAAGCAATGCTGGATAAAGCATATAGCTGCAGAATTGATGTGCTGTAATTTTCTTTTTATAACATCAGTCCCGATACTTTTTCCTCAGTCCTCAAACGTTGTTTCAAACTGACCTTTGCCACTACATTCAGTAGTCAAATCTATATGTCACCTCATTTTTTTTTCCCCATTGTTTTTTTGTTTGATATGAAATAATTCCTCAAATGATGTCCAAGGGGAATTAACTGCATTAATTGTAATTTGTAATTACTCGCCACCCCCACAACAAGATCAGGTTGTGACACAAGGTCAGTTTAATGTGGGGGAGCCTAAGCGCATACACCGGGGCTATGAACAAAAATTGCCCAAGCCAACCGCACTCATCAGTTTCCCTGGCTTCGATGTGAGCACCAATCCCTCTCTCTGAGGCAATGAGAAGGCATGGCCTCAGACAGCTGTTCCCCAGGGCTGGGCACCTCTCAGTATAATTTTCCTCAGTTGCGACTCTATCCTATACTTGAGTGCACTGGACCTGAACACAGAGACACAACTGAGATGATAAATAAACGTGTTACAAACTACTGTAATTATCCTACCACTAAAAACTAAAAACACAAAATACTAATGTTAAAGTATCTAGGAAAAAAGAATATATAGAAAATTAAAATTGTTTCTTACTTGACAAATCCTCTTGCACAAAACCATAAGCTGTGCCACTGCTGTCAAATGTGCTGGTCATGTTAACAATCATCACTATGAAAAGAAAAGGTTATATTAATGATTTATTATGTAAACAGTTCATATATGTATTTATTAGTGTGTTTCTTTCTTTTTTTCCATTTGTTAGAGTGAAAGTAGGGAGGTGAGAAAGAATGTGATTAGAGAGGGGGGAAAAATAGAGGAAAAAGGAAAATGACTAAAGGAAGGCATGGAGAGTTGATTGGACATTTTGGAAGCCCACTTCATTGCAATTTTTCAGACTAAACCATTTGGAGCCATGTCATGTAACACAGGTAATAATGATAGAGAAAGAGAAAATGTTTGTCTATCAGAAGTTCACTGGTTACAGTGTTTCCCTAATGAACATCTTCCTTTCCTCATCCATGGTAGATATTTAGTTTCCTCATTGGTATTAAACATTACTGCATGCATCTTTGACAAATTAAGTTCAATCCTCAGTGTTTTCTCCTCCTCTTCCTTTTATGGCGGCCATCTTCAAAGGACTCAGTTCCAGTTTGTTTTGTAGTGGTTTCACAGTGGAGGCTTGTATTTGTACTAAGTAAGTCCTAAAATAGGTTTGACGTACAAAACGTTAGGAACTTGATATAATAGGTAATGACACAGTAATCTAGTTGGGGTGGCTGATACTTTAATATCCGACTAACAGTCGTCCGACATCGACTGACTGACCAACTCTCTGCCGACTCGCTCCAGCGACTGCTACTATTACTCCTACTTATTATAGGTGGGAGAGTCTATTAACTATAGAATAGGTGTGTTCCATTATAACACAGTTTAAGTTATGCAGGAACAAATTGTAAGAAACTATTTTCAGTGAGTAATTGGACCGCCATTTATTTCTGGTGAACATCTCTGCAATCTCCCATTTTGATTTGGTCGTCATCAATGACTGCAAGCCTGTCAGAATGTTCTCCGTTTCCTCTATTAGAATTTCCACTTCTGAACCTAGAGCACCACTTAACAACAGTACTCTCAGCTCTGGCACCATCTTTATAAATGGTACATATCATCTTTGCTGTTTGTACAACAGAATTGCTGAAAAATTCTTAGCCTGATGAAAAAAATTTTTTTTTTTTTGCCAACATTTTTGGAAAGATTTCTTGGTCAGGCTGAGAACCCTTCAGCACCTCTTCAAATGTGTAAAGTGAATACCTAAACATATTTCATGTGGTCATTGTAAGTCCACGAAATCACTCATTTCTGGATTAAACTTTATATATATATATATATATATATATAATCAGGAATACATTCTGAAGCATTGAATACACATGAAGTTTCAATGTGTGTTAATTTACAAACTTTTAGAAATTGCTATATAAAAAACTAGCAACACCTATGAAAATTATATAAAAATGTTTGTTTTTTTTATATATGAAAATTATATAAAAATGTTTGTTTTTTTTATATATGAAAATTATATAAAAAATGTTAAATAAAAACGTTTGTTTTTATATAAAAAAATGCTATATAAAAAAAACTTGGAACACCCATGAAAATTTTGCAATTTTCCTATTTGAATTTTCTGATGAATCTAAATCATTGAATAAGTTCCTTGTGAGTTTTATAAATATGAAATATCTATGAAAATTCCCGTATTGCCTCATTAATTAGTTGAGTTTAACAACTTTAATAAAATACTGCAATAACAGTCCTAAGTATGAATGTAGGTCATTATTTAAAGAAAAGGGCACAAATAAATTGACAAGGATGTCAATTAAACACATGAGTGTCATCACTTCTTTCATTCTTTCTTTCCCTAATACCAAACAGCAACTTTGCTTATATCCTTTCTTATGTCTATCTTCTCAAACAAATAGGAATGGTCCATTGTTTATCTGAGGCAATGGCAGGGTGTAACATACTAGCTAACAAAGGAAGAAGCAGAATTATACAATACTTACCTATTTGTTCTTTTGCACATGACTTTTTCTCCAAGAATTTTAATTTGATATTTACCAATTCACTCATGCTTTCATAGCAGGTCACACAATCTCCTGACAAAAGTAGAAGAAATTTCGATCAGACTAAGAAAATAAAAGAGATACACACTCAAAGGAAATATATGAAAGTTTGTCCACAGTATCATGCTAGACACTTTTTCCTCTCCTGAATCTATCTTATATATTTATAAGTCTACCATTTGTCCATGCTTTGAATATTGCTGCCACATATGGTTTGGTGCTCCTGCTGTATATGTATAGATTCTTGATAAATGGATAAAATCCAAAGAAGAATCAGCAATATTGTTGGTCCTGAAATGGCATCTCAGCTTTAGTCCCTTCCCCATGGTCTAAAACAGTTTCCCTGTGCATTTTCTAAAAATATTTTCATGATAATTGTTTGGATGAACTCATTGTTATGGTACCCAGGCTTTATGAATTTTAGTGTGGTACTAGATTAGCAACAATGTCTCATTAATATACATGTGAATTGGCTAAATGTAACCATGATTTTTCTGCTAACAGTTCCTTTTCTGGCTTGTGGAACTGTGTTCTGGTTCCATGCTTTCAGCCAACTTTAATCTTTAAAAATTTTAAATTCAACATCAACCATTGTCTACTGTCCTCTTTACTCTTTTAATATTATCAATCTTTAATAATGTTTCTCCTCTTTCTTATTTCACACTCAGTAACCCCTTGTGTATTAGTACCTTTACTGTATATATGTTAAATGCAGATGTCACCATGTCACACATTTTTTTCAATTAAAGGGACACAACTCTAATTTTAAATTGTTACAGAAATTTTGGATTCTCAAGTTTTCATTACTGTGATGTTTTCAGGGATTTTTTTTTTGTTTCAAGCGTTTTGTACGATAATTTTTATAACGTGAAAATCAGTGTTGAAATTAATTGCGAAATCCAGCAAAAGTCAGCTATGAAATAAAAATAATTGTCTTTAAGTGCTGGCAGAAGAATTAGATGGTAATCTTAGATATTAATGCAAGACTTAAATGCAGTGATGAATCTTGAGTTCTTTTGAAGTTTATTGTTGCTTATCGCATCCAGCAGCAGAATAAAATCTCTGCCAACAGAGGACCAGGTTAAAATTAAAAAAGCCAAAGCAACAGCGAGGAAAAGAAAGTCCCATGTATAAATGAAAACCCTGATTAAATGGCATCCACAAGAGCTTCCAATATGCAAAGACTTAGAGACTCTCCAACTCCTGAAAAAGCCAAAGGCCCAATCAAGAGACTAAAAAGGAACTGGTTTAATTGCCGAACAATAGTGTGACTTTTAAGCCAGTGTGTGTATGTATACACATATATATATATATATATATATATATATGACGTCACACATATTAAATATTTGTATCTATAAAAAGAATGTTAAACATAAAAATGTATAAAATAATTGTTGGACTTTGTCCATTTCATAATGTGTGACGTCATTATATATATATATATATATACACACACACACATACAAATTCTGATTTCTTGCTTCCTTGATAACTACAATTTTCAAACATTTCAATGCATCATCAATTTTCATCTTGAACCCTGTACTTTCTTTTTTTTCTTTCGTGTTTCTCTCAGTCCTCTCCGTCTTCTCATTCATTTTCTCCCCCTATAATGACTCTCCTGCATTCTAGTGGCATTGTGGCCTTGCCTGGGGTGAATTCTTATCCACTTAAAAAAAAAAAGTCAATAATCATGATTCTAAGAGCAATTTTGGATGAGTATTTCTTTCATCTTTACTCCTGTCTATATTTCTAAGATGAGATATTGCAATTATTTACATTATTTGGACTGTTATCCTCATCTTTATTGTCATATTCATGACATTTAGGCTGTTCTCTCCCTTTAACTCCCAGTGGGGAAAAGCTTTGGTTGGATCCAGTGACTTGATCCGAAAAGTTGAGTTCAATACCTGACTATGGCAGTGGTGAACAAAAACTTGGAGTGCTGAGTTAAAAGGAAATAACTGATACACCCTGAAGAGGCATGGCATGTTGAACTAGAACAATCTACCCTGGTGGACGAAATAAAGGGTTCAGTATGAAATTGCAATCATCTGAAGAAGGCCAGAGCGTACAACGGGTAAAACAACATCAATATGGCAATCAAGATGAAGGACAACACTCTGAACATTGTAAATAATCCTTATTTCTTTTGCTTTCATTTCTCTAAGACCCTTAAACAATTCACATCAAAATAAACCTCTGGTAATATCTGAATTTGCATTCTTAATTCTTTAGAGCCTGTCATAGAATCAACAGTGCTAATTCCACCACAAATCTAATACATACACAAGTAATGCAGACAAACATATATTGCACTAAGTGCAAACTGTTAGCGAGCACTAAACTTTTATACATCACCAACTGAACTATGACCCCAATCCACATTCAGATATGACAGATTTAACGAAAATTGAAATTAAACACTAATATTTAATTTCAATTTTGGAGGCTCCAGATTTATAACAGACAAAAGTAAATTTATGAAGTGCAGGCGTGTGTGTGTGTGCGCATTCATCTGAAGATGACACTGTGAAAGTGACAGTCACCAAGCAAAGTTGATTCCTATATCCACAAAATTTATATCTACAAACATTATCTCCGATATTGAGTATTTTTCCTCTATGAACAACAAATCTTAAATGATATACTCCTGTATACATGTATCTAAAGATGCAAATTTTAAACATAGTTCTCATACATATATATAGAAAACCCTGGCACTTACTTTGTGCACATTTGCAGACTTTTTTGCTGGAGTCACACAAAAGGTTGATCAAATCTTTCTCCCGTGACAACTGATAAAATTTGGTGCAACTTTCAGCTGAAAAAAAAAAAAAAAAAAAAAATTTTTTTAACTATCCATAGGCAAGGGTAAATATCTACCATAATAAATCCTGTCAGTATTTCTGCTATAAAAGTGATAAGAACCAATGTTAGGAAAATCATAGCAGTGTCGTTGAAACTGACACAACAATCTCTGTGTACTAATAATGAGCAGGATGGTCTATGCTGATCAAACAGGTATTTATAGTTGTTATAAGAATGATGTTGAACAAAAAAAAAAAAAAAAATCAACATCCTCTACAAAGTGTCCCAAGAACCAAGCCTGGTCATAAGTTACCTGTCCTACATGGCCTCGTAATCTGCACTTATGACCTCCTCTTACATCCATACAATAATCTCATTTAGAAATCCTCTAGCTTGAGTGGTTGTTGGGCCTTGTATTAGGTGAACATTTAGTAAAAGAATAAAAAATTATAGGTAGTTGTGAGTATGCAGAGTAGGGGTTTTGTTTGTGTTACAGCATATTGCTCGTAATAATTATTTACAAAAATGTATTGCTGATATTTTCTTCAAAAATGTATTGCTGGTAATAATTTTTCGTCAAAAAATATATTGCTGGCATTAAAAACTATTTTTACACTTTCATAGTGTTTTGGCCCCAGTTTGTGTGTTAACTATTTGCCCATAGTTGTGACCCTAACAGGTGCTACCACCCTGGGTCAAGGTAGGAACACCAGCAATTAAGAGGTGGTTCCACACTCCTCAAAACCTCCTGATCAGAGGCATTGCTGTCTGATGTATTTTATCATCTTACCCAAGATGTGGATGTAGGTTATTGTCTGTTATACCATAATACCTATTCTATTGTAATAGACTCTCCCACACATAAGTAGCAGTAGTAGCGGTCGCCAGTTGGGCTCAGTGGTGTTGAGTGAGTCAGTCGATGTCAGACATTGAAGTATCAACCATCACAACTAGATTGCTGCGTCATTAACTCTTATTTCAAGTTCCTAACGTTTTGTACGTCAGACTCTTTTTAGGACTGACTTATTGAAATACAAGCCTCCGCTGAGAAAACTACTCTACAACATTGTCATACCCAGAATGAGCAGAGTATGGGATTGTAGGGTAAGAAGCCAGATGTTCTTTCAAAGAAGTACGTATTCTTAGCCGCCTAATAAAAGGAGGACTCTTAATAATTGCAGGGGGGGGTGATTATTTCTCAATATACAATTGATAGGGGTCTTTCTAAAATAGGTGGGGACAGGAAATCATAGTAAAAGTAAACAAATGCTACTAAAATAGTCAACATGGTCTCCAGAAACCTTGTTATGTCACTGTTCACATTTAGTTTCATGAAGAGTTTGCGAAAGTAGAGATATTGTAAAAATGTTTATTTGCAGTTATTGAAGTTGCTTTCAACATTAAAAATGTTGTCTGTTTGAAGAAAGTTGAAATAAAAATAAGCATGCACACAATCACGGGAAGGTGGAAAGAGAGAGCTTTTTTTTTCTCTAGTTCCTTCTCTCTATGCACCCCCACCCGCTTCCTACATGATAATAAATTCATATCTTTCTTTCACCACTTTCTATATATGACTTCTGGCAAACACACAGGCAACGTTCACAGACTTTTATAGTAATAAAGATGTACACCTTATTTTATTAAGAAATAAGATAAGAAATTTATAAGAGTTGATTAAGAAATAAGATGTATACCTAAAATAGCAATAGATATTTTAGAGTAGTTTTTATGTCAGATGATATCTGAACAATATCTTTCTCACTGCATAATGTTAAATATCTTTAAAACTGTGAATTAGGTAAATTTGCAGTTTAAGTTCTGCACACCAATTGTAAAGAAAATTTTCTGAAAATTTCCATTTTGGTATAAATGCTTTATTTCGAAAATAACAATAAAAGTTTGTGTAAATCTACCATTTAGGAGTTATCAACAATAGAAGTTCACTCATTCGTGTCATGGCTTCAGCATAGCAGCCATTACTGGCATTGTTTATCTCAAGTAGTGATGTGGCATGGAAGATTCACTTGTCTTGATTATTGTGCATGCAATGCAAAAACTTTGCGCAAAATTTAAAAAGAGCAAAATTATTTACAAAAAAGAATGCTAGTAAGGAATCAATAATAACAAAAAATAATTTTATGGTTCAAATTTTTTTTAATTAAATTTGAGGTTTTAAAAAGCATGATTATTTAAAAAAAAATGTGCTATTAAACAAGAATTCATTATCATTACAGCTTCACTATAAAAAAACAACAACACTTGTCCTTGCTTTTCTAAATAACATAAATTTAAACAAAGAAAATTCAATAAAAGCTTCACTTTCAAAAGTGTCTAAAGACTTCTTTTGGTTTTGTGCAATAATCGAGATGAATAAGAAGATAGGAAGATCAGTAAAAAGGTCGTTAAGTAAGTAAGATTCCGCACATGACTACTTGAGACAGACGTATGTAAACAACGCCAGTAATGGCGGATGGACCCAACACAAATGAGGCCAAACTTTTATTGTTGATAATGCCAAAATGGTAAATTTCTGCAAACATTTACTGTTATTTTCAAAATAAGCATGTAAATTTACACTGGAATGTAATAATGTAAATTTTCAGGAAATTTTAATTATAATTGGTGTTTAGGCCTTAAACTGCAAATTTACCTTGAATATAAAAAGTAAAAAAAAAAAACAAAGAATGATCCCTTATACATGATGTTGCTTAGTTAACATAGAAATCTATTTCAACTTTTTTATTTACTATTACTATGAAATCTAATAGTGAAAATGATTATTAACAATATCAAAAAAATGTTTAAAAATCATTAAATTTATGGGAGAATGGAACTTGGTAATTCTAGAAATAATAATAAAAGAACAGTATATTTTAAGACTTATGGCCATATAACATTGAAACTCCGATTCTCATACAATAACAAAAGTTAAGCAATGTCAAGTCTAGTCAGTACCCAGATGGGTGATTGTTTGGGAATAAATACAAACATGTATATTATCACTTTAAATGTTATTTTACTGGATACTCATATTTCAGTAGACGTTCTGTTTATTTATTAAACAATATATTTATTTTTGCTTACCAGCCTGAATATTCAAGAAAACTGAAGAAAAATATACAAAATATAAAATCCATTACTTCTTTAGAAATTGCTTTGTTTACGCTCGGATGCCAAACTGAGTAGGTATGAAATTTCAAGTATCTATTACAAGAAGAATCTCACTTAAAGGCACTATTCAGCCTTGCTTGATTGGCAAACGTCCTTCATGGCTTAGTCAGTATAAGCACATCAGATCTAATGATATTTTATCCTGTCAAGGCAGACACAGGGCAAATTCTATTTTTTCTTTAAGATCTCTTTTACATTCAGGCTGCGAGATGAAAATAAATATACCCTTTAATAAATAAATAGAACATCTACTCAAATATGAGTATCCAGTAAAATAATTTTTAAAGAGATAAAATATGTTGGATTAATAGATAAAAAAAATCCATTACTTATTTAGATACATGTATGAAAAATCAAATTGCAACAATTTAAAATAAAGTATTTGAAATAGCAAATGAGGCCTCCCAGAAGGTAAACAAAGTATTAAGAAAAATGAAAATTTTTTTTTCTTTTTTTATCAATTCACACCAAGCAAGACGATAAGACAGTTATTAATGAGAAGGAACGAGAAACCAAATCCTAAACAGGAAAAGGGATAAACCTCTATTCATGTTCAGTAAGCCAGGAAGGAGTGTGAACCAGATGATAGGCAAACCTATCTACTCCTAAACAAAGTGCTGAACTGCTATGTAACATCAATCATCTATGGAAGAGAATGATGGACAATTTTCTCATAGATGAAAAGAAGAATGAAGGGAAGAGAAATGTAGTTCTACAGAAGGATGCTGAGAATACCATGGATGGAGCTGTGTGAGTAATGAAGTTCACTTGTACTCAGAGACAGTTGAATTTTTTGGAAACGGATAATGAGGAAAGATGGCTTAGAGAATTTGACCCTCACAGGACCTATTTAGGGGCAGGTAGGGAAACAGTAAGTAAGAATGGGCAGGATAGTAAAAAGACAGATCTACAAAGGATGGGAAGTAGTGGAGAGCCATGATTGTCCACGTCCTGAAGAAACATAAAGAAGACTTACTTGCATTGTAGTAGACATAGACATTTATTGGTGCTGGCATGAGACGATTCATGTAGATCATTGTTCGAAACATTAAAAGTTTTATTTCTATTTCTTTGTTGAATGGAATCTGAGAAATAAAAAAAAGGAAAAATTAAAAAATTTATTTAACCCCTTCCCTGCCAATTATTTTTGGGAAAAATGTTTCATTTGTTTTTAGTATAGTGTTGGGGCGCACCCACCTTCTCATCAGAATGGACTGATCTCTCTACTACTAATAGGACAGTTCTATAGAGTTCTGGGGAGATCAGGTGACCATCACACTTCCGTCTCTCTACCGGAAGATACAGTTGGACTTTATACTCTTTCTGATTGTTACTGACTAACCTGCGTTCATTTGACTACTAATCTCTCTGTTGTGAATACCTCTTCAGATATACCAGTATTTTTCCCTACGTATGTGTTTGTCCTTATTTCAATACACGCACGCGGAAACACTCAACATCTCAACATATAGAAACTGAGGCACCTTGAAGTACCTGAATGAAGGCTAACACCTCGACCAGATGTACGAGATGACAATTAGACTCGTTTCAAGCTCAGAAGGGTATAAAAAGAATCAAGATCAACATATAAACATATCTGTAGCTGGTTTTTGAACGTTATATTTTGAACATGTTTATTCATCAGTGTCTGAAGAAGACACTTATGGTAAAAACGTATATAAATATGTCTATGCTGAAGAAATCCACAAGATGGTTAGTAATATGTAGGTTAAACCCTCGGTTACGATGACTTGTAACTTCATGCTTGAACAAGCAGTGATGGTTTTCAGTTTGTCTAATCAATTTAGGTTAACCCATTGAGTGATTTTTCAGGTATTTCCCAATTGTACTGCACACTGGGATCATCTCGCAAGGCATCTATTATCAAAAAGCCACCTTCCTGATAAATCAATTACAGTAAGATTCAAACTAAACTCTCCTGATCACAATGCTAATTTTCTAACAACTCTGCCTTATATAGACACACAAACAAGCCCTTTGATGATTTTGGAAGTGCACTGGGCAAAGAACTTCTCAGAGTGCATATATGTGTGTGTGTGTGTGTGTGTGTGGATATATATTTTTAAGAAATGGATTAAATCTGACAGATTTTTAATTTATTTGTTTAAACGTTATATTTTTTAACTGGATACTCATATTTGAGTAGACGCTCCATTTTTATTTATTTATTAAACAGTATATTTATTGAATATTCAAATCTTGCTAGAGGACATATTTTTATCACAAGATTCCTCAAATATTCGGGCCAGTATATATATATATATATATAAGTAATTCATCAAGTCTGAAAGAAACCTCAACAGAATGCAGAAAGCACTGGACTTAATTATAATTATCAAATCCTCCAGGGGGGCACAGTCCTATGGTTAGAGAGAATCTCAGTTGAGTTCCACCACGGAATATGTGAGCGAGCAGTGCTATATTGAGTCTGATTTGCTACCTCTTTGTCACCGAGGCCCGTTGGAACAGTTGGTATGACGTTTGCTTGATAACTTAACTGTCCGGGTTTCAATTCTCGGTAGTGGATGCGCACTGCTGATGAGTCCCAAATATAGGACAAAACGGCCATCCAGTGCTTTCTGTATTCTGTTGAGGTTTCTTTCAGACTCGATAAATTACTTAATTATAATTATCAAATCCTCCTAATAATCTCTATCATTTATATATATATATATATATATATATATATATATATATGCTCTACATTTGTATCGAGCACTATTTTTTAAAAAAAATAATAACTAAAAATACTAAGGAACTTTGGATCTACCTAATCAGTTCTTTTTCTATATATTTTCACAAATATATATATATATATATATATATATATATATATATATATATAGTATTTGGGCAGCAATCCCTGTTTTATTAAAGACAACTGACAAAGTACAGCGATTATGCTTTTTATTTAAATTCCTTGTGTTCATATAGGTATTTTCTTTTTTTTTTTAATCAGTTTCACCCCAGGCAAAGCAGTAAAGCCACTAAGATGCAAGAGGGTTAAAAGGTGTGGAAGAATTAGGAATAGAAACATTAATAATGAACGGAAGGAGAAAAGAGTAATCAGGAAGACAGTAGCGATTAACATTGCATTTAAATTTTTACAGATTAAAGTTGGCTGGAAGGCATAGAGCCGGAAGGGTTCCATGCTTTCCAGCCAAGCGAGAAGTGCAAGAAAATAAAATGTTAGCATAGAATTTATGGCAACATCTAGCCAGCTCAACAGTAAATTGATGAGATCTTGATGCCAGTCAAGTACAGAGCTTAAATTCAAAAAGTCTAGTTATCATTACGAAGAGCTTGTTTGAGCAATTAACATGAAAGTATTTATAGAAAAGACAGAGACAAGCTTATAGCAGTGAGAAAGTGACTGAAGCCAGGCTGCAAGATCAGGACACATAATATTGCTGATTCAGCTTTGGATTTTATCAAAGAGCTCAAGGTAAATAGCAGGGGTATCAGGCCATATTTGGCAGCAATATTCTAAGCATGGACCAATGGTAGACATAGATATGTATGATAAATTCTGAAGATAATTGTCTCGCACGACACAATGAACCAACTTTATTCACAACTGACCTAGCAATGGATTCAATATAATTTTTCCACTTCATGTCAGCTGAGAATGTTAGCCTGAGAAAGTGCAACGAGTCACTTTTCTGGAGGTTAGCATTAGCCATGCTGATGAAAAGTAGAGATAGGGATCTTTCAGATGATTAATGGAGATAAGTTTAGTTTTGGAGACATTAAAATTAACAAGCCATCTTTTGCCCCAGTTAATAACGGATTTGATGCCATTTTGGACATTGGCTTCCATTTTGACCTTGTGGACATAACATGTAAAAAAAACTCTGAATGTTCTCTATATATCCAAGCACTTTCAGATATGCTATTAATAGTTGATCGTTATTGAGAATGTTGGCTTATTCTTTTTTATTATTAATTCTTCCATTATTTTTAGTTGTTGTTGTTTTTTTTGTCCCCCCCCCCCATGTAGATGAGGCTATTATAGTTGTATTTTCTATGAGTATGATGCAGACAGTTTGGTAACTTTCCATGTGTCTTTTAATTGAACTATGGTGAGGGAGATGTAACGTGAGTCTTCTTGATAGGCATGTACTTGTATGTCCAATATAATTATTCATGAATTTGGTTTTGATCAGGAACGCACTTCCTTAAGAGACATATAAATTCATAAATAATAATAATTATGTATATTTTTTTAAGGCAATTCATCCCAAGCAAGGTGGGAGTGACACTAGCACACAAGGGGTTACAGAGGATTGAGAACAAGAGTAAAGAGGCTTGTTTGAGGAAAGGATACAGAGAAGGATGGGGAACAAGCTCAGGGAGTCAGATGTCAATTGGCATTACACTTGAATATTTGAAGATTATAGTCAATGGGGAAGCAAGTAAGGGGAAGGGAGTTTCACAGATGGGAAGTGCGAGAGAAGAAGCTGCATGAGAAGAAAAAACAATTACATTTAACCATTTTGACAGTGAAAGGGTGGGACCGAGATGCCAGCCTTGTAGCACGTTTAAAGTTATATAGTCCAGGAACCAGCGAAAGTAGCTCGTTGAAACAGTTGCTGCGAAAATATTTGTAGAAGAGACAGAGGGAGGCCACAGCACAACAGTGGGATAGCGATTGTAGACTAGATGCCAGATCAGGACCTATCAAACGTCAAATTATCCAAGGTCTGTATACCCTCTTTCATTTCCTAATACAAATTTGGTCCCTTGAAACTTCTCACATTTCCAAAAGCTAATATCATCATGGAAAGAGTATGTGGATGAGATTAGGGAGAATGTGACAAAGCAGCTGATAGTGATCCATAAAGAGGACTTTGCAAACTGTTTAGAACATTAGACTGGAGAAATGTGGTTCTGAGGGGAGTATATTGAAGGGAATTAAGATGTCATTGTTCTACTTTGAGTTAAGACTGAATGGTCGGATCATTTCCAGACATGGATGTTCATGGATGACAAATGAATTTAGTTCATGATATGTCCCAAAAATGGATATATTTGTTCAAAGTAGCAAAGTGGTTGTTGACTACTGTAACCAGGTAAGACAATCTAGCAGGTAGCCATAATGGACTGGTCCTCGTCGTAGTGGAAGGCAATAGGTGTAGCCCATGTACCTCCACATCAGTCTGTATTTATGGCTGACACCAGCCAATCATATTACTGTGAGGGGGAACCCAGGTGTATGCATATTCATTACATTAGTTCACTACAATGAAAATTTGTTTTCTAAAGAACTTACCGTGTTGAAATACAGGGTCAGTCTGGAGTTACCATGTTTATGATATTTGGCAATCAGTCGATCTAGTTTTAGCTGAAGAAGTAAAGAAAGAAACTTTATGAAAATGTCCAATGAATAAAAGTAACAAAATCTAAAGCAAGAATTTCATTTAGCAAAGAGTGTATGTTGAGATATATATATATATATATATATATATGTGTGTGTGTGTGATAAAAATATAGTTTTAACATATACTATATTTATGATTTAAAGTGGTAAATACCATGGATAGAGAATATGTAAAAAAACACAAATGGTCTGATGATTGCATTTAAACATTAAACAGACTGTTGCCACTGGGTGTTGACCTTATGAAGAAATATAGTTTTAAGGTATGCTATATTTATGGAATAAAGTGCTCAATATCAAAGATAGAGCATATGTAAATATAAATATAAAAGTGAACATTGAAGTCAACACTCAGAGGCGACAGGCTGTTTCATACTAGAACACAATCATCATGGATGATCGTGTCTAAGATTGAAACAGCCTGTCGCCTCCGAGTGCTGACTTCAATGTTCACTTTTATATATCTGTGCTTAAATAATGAATCATAGTATTTCCCCCTAAGATAGCATTTCTTGTGAATAAAGAACAAAGAAAATTCACACACACATTTCTTTCTTTTGTTTTTGATCCTGCTGAAGCCTAGAAAAGCAAAACATGTAATCAAATCAAGTTTCAATGAAATGTTTCCCATTTGTCAAATTTCTTAAAAACTTTGTTGGGATTATATATATATATATATATATATATATATATATATATTACTAGCCATCGGGCATACTTTAGGCTAGCTCCTGCAGAGGGCTTTTGGGCCTTTGACCTTTTACCTTCAGCGTCCTATGTACATAGAAATTATAAGAATTTAGAAATAATTAAATTATTTTAATTTTATTCAACACCTTCATTCACCATAATCTTTCTTCACATACACAACTGATCTCTGTAGTTTTCATACATTTATTTTACATGCAATTTTCATTTTCTTTTAAAATCCCAATTCTCTATGATCCCTTCATATTTACGTTTACATTATTCGGACTATTGTCCTCATCTTTGTCACCATATTTATTACATTTCAGTCGTGTACGCTCTGGCCTTCTTCAGGTAGTTGGAATGTCAAACTTAACCCTTTATTTCGCTCACAGGAGATAACTGATAACTGAAATCCATTAAAAACATGGCACATGGAACTAGAACAATCTACCCCAGCGAGCTAAATAAAGGGTTAAGTTCGACATTCCAACCACCTGAAGAAGGCCGGAGTGTACAATGGCCGAAATGTTGTAATAAATATGGTGACAGAGATGAGGACAATAGTCCAAATAATGTAAATAATGTAGGAAACAGTAATATAAAAAGTGCTCAATAAACATGTGAAAAAAAAATAAAGGTAAAAATAGGAGGTCAGATAGAGTATGCGACCTTGGTTTTGACCTCATAGTCTCATCAAGCTAATTCTATCAACTGACCATCGAATGCTTTATTTTTAAAAAGGTTTTAAACCTGAAATCTTAAGTCTTTGCCTTTATATCAATAAATTTTTATTAAGTGAATGTGAGGCCAGATAAAAAAAATGTAATTTAAAACCCCACCATTATTTTTACAATATGTTTGCTTCCCCAACCCTATCCTTCCCTATATTTACAAGACACCCTTCCTTAAATTTATGTTACACTTGCTTTTCTTTTCTACTTCTTTTCTTTATACATTTAAGATACACTTGCTTTCTTCTTTTCTTTTCTTTAAATAATTATGTAGTGTTCTTTGTGGGTTTTTAAAAATAAAGCGTTAGATGGTCAGTTGATAGAATTAGCCTGATGAGACCGTGAGGTCGAAACCAAAGTCTTGTATTCTATGTGACCTTCTAATTTTTAAATTTATATATACACACACACACACACACACACACACACACACACACTAGTAATAAGTACTGTTTATATCTAACAAAATCTGTTGGCAACTAAATTATTGGAGAATAGTGTGTAAATGATTAAACATTAAAAAATTCTTTCAACTCACAAATCCGGTCATCAGGAGGTGAGTAAATGTATGTACATATAATATTTCTCACCCGCTTGTTAGTGTTGATCTAATCTGATTTAAGATAGTGGTGGATTTAATTAACCCCATCACTTGGCAGTCAAAGAAAATAAGAAGATTAGTGAAAAGTATATTAGTCAATGAAATCCTGGCACTGATTGAGGGTGTTGATCATATCATTTGTTACTCCTGAGCTATGCTTCTACTACCAATGTTCACTTAATCTGATATAACTTCACCAGGCAAATAGGAGTTATAGGTATTTACCAGGATGCCCACAACCCAACCAGATGTGACACTAGGTTGTGGTTTAAAGTCGGTTTAACATCCGTATTGCAGAAAAATTCACAGGCTTCTTTGGTATTTCTCCTTTTGGGGACACCTCAGGCATGGGCCATAAACTCAGTCCCCTCAAGCCTGGGGGAAAATTCCCCTGGGGCTTGAGATAAAATCAAAGTATAAATCCCAGTCAAATGCAAAGGGATTTATAGATATTTACCACTGCTCCCACCATGTAACAGGTATGATACAAGATCAGTTTAAGGTGGGTTTATCAGTAGTACCATGGAAAAATTCCCAAACACCCTTGGCACTTCCCTTTTTGGAGATGCCTCAGGTACCAAGCAATAAACTCAGCTCCCTCTCAAGGGAGAGGTATAGCTTGAGGGAATGGGGATTGGGTTAAAATATAAATTCCAGCCAACAGCAAATGATTTATAGATATTTACTTTGGGTTACTTTTGTTGTTATCACAATGTTTTGACTGATCCATTCTCCAGTCTTCTTTAGGTGTAAAATGGATGACAAGTATTAAATGTTGTCACCTTAACCGACTCTAATGTGATGAGCACTTCAACTTTGATGTTTGTTTTTGGAATTATAAATACGATATCTTAACAATTCAGTTGATTTATCAGACCATCTGACTCTAATGACCAGTGTTACATGAAAGCTCTTTGAGCATTTTGTTATATATATATATATATATATATATATATATATATATATATACATGCACACAACAAACAAAAGAGTTCGTAAAACTTGCAATTGCAACTCCCCCAACACAAAGCCTGCCAAGTGACAAAAGAAAATAAAAATTCCTTAAAAACTGGAAGATGCCTTTTATCATTTTGTGAAGTTACAGTGATAGGAATGTAAATGAAGCTGAGATTCTATGCCAGGAATGATCAAATTAGAGATTCTTAGCAAAATCCAGAGCAAAATCTGAAGATACATAGTGAAAGCCCCAGACCAGATGTGGCAGCTATTACGGCTCTTCACAAATTCTATTATCTGTGAATCATCATGATTTTTTTTTTTGAAAAGGTTCTAGTGACGGTTCCCATCACTTTCTCTACGGTTCTGAATTCAGAATCTCCATCCCTGGTTACCACCCAAAGCTAGAGAGTTATGTCTACCCAGCTATTTCACCCGTATCTTGTCAAGAGAGGAAGGAAATGAGTCTTGCTTTCCCCTATCAGTCCGAGAATGAACATAAAAGAACTATTACAGAAAAGAAAATCCAAATATATTGTCACCTTTAAATACAAAAATGCATGCAAATTAGACTTACCTGTTCCAGAAGTTCCTCATGAGTATCATATCCTGTCAAAAGATCCATGTCTAAGACAACCATTCCAGGATCTGATGTTCCAAGGTATCTACAAGAAACAGACCTAAGAATGAGTAAATTTGCAACCTGATAATAACAGTTAACAATGCTTCAGCTAATAGAAAAATAAAAATGGTTATAGAAAAAATTTCAAGAGCTACTCACTCGGTGGTTGTCATTAAAACAAAGAAACATCTAGAAGAACAAGAAAATTTAATTTCAATCAAAGATCAGATTGTTGCAGCCATTGGTCATCTCAGTCTTACTGTACATCTGTGAATCTTGGACATTCACAGCAAAATTACTGTGAAGAATTCAACGATTAGAAATGAAATGTTAAAGAACTAATCTAGGCATCTCCTACACAGAGTGCATTACAAATGAGAGAGTGCAAGACATCATTGGACAAGAAACGGACCCATTGGAAAATGTTACAACAACTGCTAAGAAGAGAAAATTGAAATGGTATGACGACAAGCTAACAATTATTTCACTACCATCCTAGAAGATACTGATGGAATATTCCATACCTACCTGTCACCCTTACAGGATAATGCACTTTTCACGCATAATCACCTCTTAACCAATCAGCATCTTAGTTTCAGCAAACTAGGTTTTTCATTGGCTGAGACCTCAAGACTGTAGCAAGTTTGAGCAAAAATACCTTTTCCCGCGTACCACTTTTGGAGCCGACTCTGAGAGCTCAAAACTCAATAAATAGAAGCGTTTTGATTCGACTCAAACAGTCAGAACTTCAACCCTGGAGAGATCCTAAACAAATCCATGCTAGCCAAAACTATCTACACTTTTCGCATGCTAATTCTTCTGACTCAACAAACAGCACTTCGCTCTCTCAGGAACATTACTTACTAAAGAAAGTGAATTGACCCACTACTAAACAGTATTTGTAAATCTCAATCCAACATCACGACAACAGCTAAAGTTACACAACTCTTACAAACTTTGAACAGTAACTTTAACAAACGCACACATACACACTAGTGACTGAACTGCCATAAAAGACATTTTGTAATATGATAAAACATTGTTTAATTTTATACTTTGTGTATAAAATTAAACGATGTTTTATCATAACCACAAGCCTACACACATTGAAACTCAGCATAATTCCTCTACGTATTTTATTACAACTGGTCGTACTTGATCAGCAATATCTATCCCGATTGTGTATGTTCAATTGATATAAAATGAATGTTATTTGTTAAACCTTTAATCACGTTGTCCTCATTTTTGATTCCTCTTGAATGATTTTACCTTTCAATGTTCTTATTTTTATATTTGTTGTGGATGAATGTCTTGTGAACACCTACATTTCTAAGCCTTCTGATAACCTAACCTTCTGATACACAAAATACATTCGCCAATCTGCAACAATACCATGTTAGGCAAAAGAAGAAAATTTGGGTTGACAATGTGACCGAGTGGACTGGAATATATTTCACATAGACTCTAATATTGACAACTGAAGTGAATGCTTCAGAATTGGTTACGATAGAATAAAGTACAAATAAGAAATATTATAAATTCATTTTATTATTCTGTTGGATTTAATCCATATTTTTTTAAGCATTTCACCCCGAGCAAAGTAGGAGTCCCATTAACACGCAAGGTTGATGAAAGAGAACAGAGATGAAGGCAACAGAAGATGGCGATTGACAATGCATTTAAATATTTTGAAGATTATAGTTATCAGGGAAGAAAGTGAGAAGAAGGGAGTTCCAATGCTGGGAAGTACAAGGAAAGAAACTGTTGGAGTAGAAGTGGCGGTTACATTGAACTATTCAACAGTAAATGGGTGGGACCTAAATGCCAATCTAGTAACATGCTTAAATTCGTGTAGCTGAGGCACCAGGAGAAAAAGCTCCTCAGAGCAGTTGCCATGAAAATATTTGTAGAAAAGACACAAGGAAGCCACATCACATCAGTGAGAAAGTGTCTGAAGTTGAGAAGACAATTCAGGACCGATTACATTACAGACCCTTGAGATGAACAGCAAGGGCACCAGACCAGATATGGCAACAGTATTTAATGCAAGATATGTAAGATGGACTCTGATGAGAAATACCTTCTCGCACGACACAATGAACCAACTTTCCTTGCAGTAGATGCAGCTATTGATTCAATGTATTTGTTCCACTTCAAGTCAGTTGAAAACATGAGGCCAGGTTGGCACAGTGGGACGCTCTCCTGGAGTCCAGCATCAGCAATGCTGATGACGGGCAGGGAAGTTTCTCTATGGTGGTTAAATGAGAGCAGTTTAATTTTGGAAGCATTAAAATTTACAAGCCATTTCCTGCCCCAGTTAACCATTGATTGGAGGTCCTTTTCGAGAGCAGCAGCCAGATTAACTTTGTCAGTGCTGACGGGCTTACTATTGAGACAGGAGTAAATGGTAGTGTTGCCTGCATAGATACCTTCTTGGAAACTAATGACATCAGGAAGATTGTTGATGAAGATCAGAAACAGTGTAGGACTCAGGATTGGTCCTTGGGGAACATCCGCATTAGTATGAAAGGAACTGGAACAGAGCCTGTTCAGGACGACCTTCATTTCCCGATTAGATAGTAAACACCCTGTAATCCCGTAGCCCTGAAGCTTACGTAGAAGACCAGCTTGTCAAACTCTGTCAAACGCCTTCCAGATATGGAGAGCTACAGCTTGAGCTTCGCCATTATTATCAAGAGCTTGATATATATATTCAGCTATAAGCATGTCAGTGGTAGACCAAGCAAAACAGAATCCAGATTGTTTGTCAGAGAGTAGATTCATTCAGTGAGTTTTCTTTCTCTTGTTACAACTACTTGTCAAAAAATGCAATGATCTGAAAATTGTAACTGTTGACTGATTTATTAATTGTCGATTAAAATAAAGCAAATAAATAAATATTTGCATTCTTGTAAATAAGTAAAAATTTACACATCTTTTTTGACTGACGACACTCTTTTGTTTCTCTTCCTTCCCCAGCAAGCCCAGTAGATATTGGGGTCACCACAGATCAACTCTTCTTAGACCAAGTTTCCTGATGGACATTAAATTCAATTCAAAACTTTGGTATTTCCTGGTGTAAATCATGTACTACAATTATACAATCTGTTTCTGTACTTTTTGTTCCAATTTTAAACTTATACCAACCCACAACCCACTGCCATATTGATTTCACTTATTACTATTGTAAGTATATTGGAAAATAGAGTCTCCTTGAATATAAAATATGAACTGTAATGATAAGAATACAAGACTAAATTATTTCATATATAAAATAATTGTTTATTCATTTTTGGACTGTCAAATTAACACAGTTTGGGTCTTTCTTCAAACAGTCCATCTTGAAATAATATGAAGGATTCTATCTTTCACTTTGTAGGTTGAGCATTTATATAACTTCCTTTTATCTGTCTGTCTTGCATAAGTTCCGCTGGGATCAATTCTTTCTTCATGTCAATACACTCCATCTCTCACCACCAATATCCTTCATAGCCCAATTTTGCATTTGGTGGATTTGAGGTCACTGTCTAGAACAGAAGTCATCAAATCTTTTGGGGACCGGAGACTCCCTTTCGTTTCTCTTCCTTCTCCAGCAAGCCTCATTTAAAATATCTTCAAACTTTAAAACTTGCACTGATGTTGGCAATTAACTTTTCATATGTTATACTTAACATTTTAAGAAATTTGGACCAGGTCCAAAATTTTCCCCCAAAAATATATTTAAAAGAATATATTAAATAACTCCAATGAATCAAGCAAATAATATATGAACTACAGCAAGCCTAAATACAACCAATGCTATTGAACAGAAATGCATAACCACTTCTAATACCGTACTGCACATCTGTACTAACTAATTAAATTAAATAAACAAATATTGCATTATACTTGATGTAATCATAACAATCAGGCCAAATGACCTTTATAATCATAAGCTCTGTTTTACAGAGGTTGAAAAAAAAAAAAAAATTTATCTGAAAATCAACTTGGAACAATTAAAAAAGTGCAAAGAATGCATTAAATAAGTCTCATGAAAATAAGTTAGAAGCAACTTGAATAGATGTATCTTTTGATTCTGTTGATCGTCAAGCTCAGTGCCTTTCTTTCATCTGTACCGAAGAATACAACATACACGTAGAATAACTAAAATTTAGATCAGTATCATTCACATACCAAACCTCATTCAGCCCTTTGACTATCATCGACCCACTGGAACTCGTCGCTGACTCCTAGGGTGTCATTCAGATCGCATTTGATGACCCCTGGTCTAGAGCAACCCTTAAGGTTCCTAGGATTTTTGACTTTCCAAGGAGATACTGAGTACAAAATTTATTTTCATATCTCTTCTGGTGAAACCAGTAGATATTGGGGTCACCCCAGATCAACTCTTCTTAGACCAAAGTTTCTGATGGATATTAAATTCAATTCAGACCTTTGGTATTTCCTGGTGTTCCAAGTTTAAACTTATACCCATCCACAATCCACTGCCATATTGATTTCACTTATTACTACTGTAAATATACATTTCCGAAAGGTTATCTGCTTGCGATATGTCTACTTTCCCATTGCTGAAAATTGTCTTATTTGTATTATTATTTGCCTTCCAAACAGTTTCTGTTTGCCGTGGTTGATACAGGAAACGCTGAAAACTGCAGAAACTTTTTGACCCTCTGACAATTAAGCCAATAATTTAAAAATGTTAATTATTCTTACCGAAGGTAAATTTTCATGCATATTGTTTGGTCACTAACATCCCAATTTCTGAGAATGGGTCCATTCAGGTTACGACAGGATTCTCCACATAATGGACACCTACATTGAAAGTAGAGGAAAACAAAACAGGTGTCAATTTAAAAAAAAAAAAATGTACTGATTGAGGTGGAATTGCTTGAGACAATAAGAATCAATAACATTAAATTAACTTAATTTAAATTATTATTAAATTAATAAGAACTAATAACAGTTTGAAACAATAAGAATTAGCTTAGCAGTAAGTTTTAATTACCTCTGTAGAGTAGCAGAGTTCTCCCTAAAATTAAATGAAAAATTAAGTACAATCTTGAAGATTATGATTTCATAAAATACTCTAAATATTTAAACCCTCCTGGTAAGGAAAAAAAAAAAAAAAAAAAAAAAAATCACTTCCGGTATTGAACTGCCCCCCCACCTAAATTAAAGAAAAAGAGCTAAAAAAAAAAAAAAAATGTCCCTATTTATAATTGATATTGCAATATTTTGTTAAAGTTGATGGGCTCTTATCAAGCAGGTTAGGGTTGAACTCTTAAGAGGCAGGAAAGCCATAATGAAATAAAAGGAATATTTCTGATAAATTCACTCACCCTCGTTTGATTAAACGTCGAACATCTTTTTGTATTGGCATGATGATATGGGTGACATTAAAATGACAAGTTTCTCTTTGTGTAGGTGGACGGTAGTACCACATATTTAGTTCCATCTGGGCAGAACCAATTCCCATAGATTCTATCAGAACTTCGTCATTCATAGGAACCTCAAGAAAAAAGAATCAAGATTGGAGACGATAAAAGGGTTAAACAAAATTAAAATCTGAACAAAAAAAAAAAAAAAAAAAAAAAAAAAAAAAAAAAAAATCCTGTCCATTCTAAATGGTTGAAATAAAAATAAAACATTGTATAATAATTGTGTTTGTCCATCCCTTTGTTAGCTTGGATGACCATTACACCCTGCCAATAGTTCATAAATAATGGCCTATTTCATTTTGATCATGTGGAAAGACAAAAGACTTATCAGAAAAGTTATCTAGTTTCAGTGAAAAAGAAAAATCTTTAATATCTCCTGCTAATACCTCATAAATAATAGACTATTCCATTTTGATAGTGTGAAAAGACAAAAGATGTATATCAAAGACGCTACTTGGTTTTGGTGAGAAAATGAAAGAAAGAAGGCAAGATGGACGTGTTTAACGTCTGTTTTAGTGAAATAGAAAAAAGTTGTCAATTTCAAATCTTTTGATTTGTACCCTTTTACTTCTTAAAATAATGACAATCATTCATATTTATGATTGTCATTGCAATATTTTGTCAAAGTTGTTAAGCTTGAATATTAAACAATGCAGTAGGGGAATTTCTAAAGATATATATATTAAGATTCATCAGAAAATTCAAATAGGAAAACCTGTGATATTTTCACAGGCTAAAACTAGTAAACCATAATTCTAATTGTTCATCTGTTAGTAATTATAACCCTTCATTTTGACTGGGGAAATCTCTGGGTCTGATCAATGATAAAACAATATTTTTGAGGTATTCAAAGTAATAAGCCAGTGATCCACCTGTTGAGGTCTTGCTGCAAGACTCCACCTGTTGTACATTTGTAGATGTGTATGAAAATAAAACTGTTTTAAACATGCAATAAAGCATAGAAATGAATACAATATGTGAACCAGTAATAAGGAGTGCCAGAGAAAAGCGATAACAAAAATTGCAATATGAGCTCTGGTAAAAACATGTATTGATAACAGCAAAAATTGCAATATGAGCATTGGTTGCTGAAGACATTAGGTTTATAATACCCAGAAATTCATATACAGATGTCCTCAATGGCACAGTGGATAAAGGCGTTAGTTAGATCCAGTGACAGGACCCAAAGAGTGTGAGTTCAATACCTGGTTAAGGCAGTGGAGAACTTTCAGAGGGGAATTAACAGGAGATAACTGATAACTGACATCCATTAAGCATGGCGAGTGGAACTAGAACAGTCTACCCCAGTGAGTGAAATAAAGGGTTCAGTTTGACATTCCAACCACCTGAAGAAGGCTGGAACGTACAATGGCTGAAACATTGTAATAAATATGGCGACAGAGATGAGGACAATAGTCTGAATAATGTAAATAATATGCAATAAAGACTTTTTATGAATCTTTTCATGAAAAAAAAAAATTGCATGGAAATTGCAACAAATATTTTTGGCAGTGCAAAGGTTAGATGTTTAAATAGAAAAAAATGCTCAAATTGAATGATGACTCAGAAATGAAATTGATGATTAATTTGATGTTAACGGCATGGATGGTGACTCTTCTTGAGAAAGGCAGGGATAAAAAAAATAAGATTTGTAAGAGAAAAAGAAACAGTGATAAGAAGGAAATAAAAAGGTTCAGATGATTAATCTGGTATTAATGGCGTGGTGGTATTTCATAATTTTAATTCTATTAGGTTGGTGCAAAAATAATGACGTAATAATGTTGTTTTTTGACGTATTTTTTAACGTCAAAAAACGACATTCTTACGTCATTATTTTTACACCAACCTAATATTTTGAGATTAAAAAAAAAAAATTGATAATAGTAAAAAGTGGAAAAAAAAAAAAAAAAAAAAATTAAAAAAACAAAGGAAAACTAATTTTCAAAAATACATGAGAAAATACAAAGAAAAAGAAGGAAAATACAATGAAGAAGAAAAAATGAAGAAAAGAATAGAAAAGAACAAAGATGGGGAAAAGAGAAGAAAGAAAAGTATAGGGAACAAAAATAGAAAGAGAAGAAGAAAACAAAAAGAGGAAAAAAGAAGAAAGAAAAGAGAAGAAAGAAAAGCAGAAAGCACAAAAAGAAAAAAAGAAAGAAAAGAAGAAAAGTAAAAAGAGAAGAAATAACAAAGAAAAAAATGATTCAAGAAATAAAAAATGTCTTTTTACATCTGGAATGATATGGCTCCAAAGTGAAGTTTCTTTGTTGACTGTCAAATGTTTGTGGAGATGCGCACGAGATGAAGTCAGATTAAAGAAGAGGTTGATATCCGGAGTGATGGTCTTGATTCCATATTCAGCTAATGCCTGAAGGGCCATCACCGTGTCCTAAAACAGATTTTAGAAAATTACTTTATTGGATGGAGATATCAATAAATACGAGTTTCTAATTCTAAACAGACAAATGTTCGAGACCAAACTTTCACAAAATGCAATTTGCAGGCTGCATGTGACCCAAAAGATGACTCAGCATGACCCACAAGGGGTTTTCAAAATAGTAAATTTTTAGCAATCAGAATAAGTTCAGAGACTCAGCAAGTACAAAAAATTCAGTTTTGTGATAGCATGACTTTATTCAGTTTCTGAATAAAAAAAAAAAACTTATGAAATTTTCTTTGTTTATCACTTTCAGTGAAATATATATATATATATATATATATATATATATATATATATATATATTGACGTTTTGACGTATGAGGATCTGACAACCAATTGATTCAGTTATGAAATTTTGTATGATAATCTTAAGTAGCACTTAAGACCCGCTTAGTGATTTACAAAAGAGGCCGCATATGGAACAAGAGTGAGGATTGTGGGATGAGATCACTTCTAGATTGGCAGACCTTTTAGATCTTGCTCTCACTTCTTGAAGATGATTCAGACAAGCAGATTGAAAAACTGCTGAGTTCACTAAAACACGTTGATCTCCATTCTACCTGCTCCAAGGTTAAGCGCTCAAGGGTATTATGTGGTATATTGACAGCTGACAAATTGCTTTACAGTTTGTCTTTGTATCTTAGCCATGGGCATCCTACATTCCTGTAGCCCTGATCTAACTGGCTGTACATTAGGATCTTGGGTATCCTGACATCAGACATTCTCAAGACATAACCAGTCCACCATAACTGAGACTGTATGATAAAAGTCTCAATTCCTCCAATATTACACCTGTTAAACAGGTCTACGTTAGATGTCTTACCTTTAAGGTTAACTCCACAGATTGCATGCAGACAGCTTTTATGCAAAACATCCAGCTGGCATATATATATATATATATATATATATATGTGTGTGTGTGTGTAGCGTAAACATTAATAAAACAAAACCATTAAAATTTTATACTGGTCACATGTTCACCAAATTGTTATAGACTAATACACTACCTATCAAGACTTAGGGAATTTTCTATTTCCCTTTAAATCACGAGAGACATTATAACTCCATTAATAGAAAAATATGAGCAACAAACTTTAGTAAGGGCTACAAAGAACATGAAGGGACATGGCACATAGAAAAAGAAGACTTGTAAAGAAAAACTCCAAGTACTTGAAGCAATTCTTTTTTTCTTAACTAAAGTTTGATACAAGACTCAAGAGGTACTCAAGATAGATGATTACGAAATGAAGTGTGTGATAGAATTGTAACAGGAGGAAGAAAGAAATTATGATAAGGAGGATATATAATGATTTACCCTTGACTTGTAGAAGTTAAGAAAATAATGTTCGGCAAAGCATCTACATAGGAGTCTATTTCCCAAAGTAACCATTCTTGGAGTAAAAGCTCATTTGATTGTTTTGTTTTTAAGGCTTATCAACTCTTTGCAAGTTATTTAAGGCCAGAGAATATTTTTAGATTGTAAGAGTTTTTTATGTGGTATAAATTCGGGGATCAATTCTATATTACAATCAATAAACTGATCCCTTACTTTGTGACCACATTATTTTCTATACATTTATATTCCAGAGAATGTAAATAAATCTAAAAGACATGTCTATATATCTAATCATTGATTGATCAATTTGTTATTATGGCTTATCAACCCTTTGCAAGTTATTTAAAGTCAGAGAATATTTTTAGATTGTAAGAATTTTTATTTTTTAGATAATAATGGTTTTAGTGATACAAATCTTGCTAATTAACCCATAGATGGTGGGAGGAAAGGTGGATTTATACCTTTTTCAAGGGTATTTATGTATAAGTGAATATAATGAAACCTACGGGAATTGGAACTCAGCTCACTGAGCAACAATTCCAAGCCATCATCCATTACACCACCTGCACATCCACACTTACAGCACCTGGTATACCCATCTAGATATTGACCAGGCTCAACATTGCTTAACTATAATGATCGCATGGGAACCAGTGTTTCAATTTGATGTGGCCGTTAGCTGGAAAAAGTTGTGGAACTTCTTCTTTACAAATGGAATACTGAGAGAATGTAGGATTAAGAATAATGCTTTTGAACTCTTGTCAAGTTTGGAAAGAGAGGATTGGACAGCGCCCTTCAGCCTGGCTTTGAATATAACGAACAGATTTAACGTTTTTTCGAATAGCAAAACCACCAGAAAATCGCCAGTCACAGCAGCGACAGCCAAGCTGGAAAGGATACAGAAGGGCAACATCAGCTTCCATACCAAGTTCAAGCTCTACAAATGACTGGTTGTAGCCATCCTCGTTTATGGGTGTGAGACTTGGACACTCTTGGTCAAGGCAGGAAAAAGAATCCAGGCGTTCAGGAACAAATGCTTGAGATAGCTCCTCAGCATCTCCTACTGAAAGCACAAAACAAATAACAATGTACAGACCAGGGTCAATCTCTCCTTGCCAATATTGTCAGAAGCTGTCATGGTTCGGCTATGTCACACGGCATAACAGCCTCTGCAAGACCATCATGCAAGGCACTGGTCAAGGTGGATGCAAGTGGAGATGCCAATGCAAAAGCTGATTAGGCAACATCAAAGAGTGAATGGACATGACTGCCAGAACACTTGAGAGCCACCGCCAACAGATCATTCTGAAGGAGGTTGTCTGTTTCTTCTGCTTGTAGGCCTACCCCCACCCACCCCAAACTGATGATGATGATTAACCTGTGTCGACTTGAACATCCCAGCACTGTTTCTCTGTTCAATCAGCCATTTGACAATAGGGCCAACATGTTCAACTTCTCCATAATGCATTTCCGTGAGAAGGGCATACGCTGTGGCTTCAACGGACAAATATGACTCTTCTGTGTGGTACCAGGCAGAGACTTTTTTGGCAGTCACATTGGAATAACCTCCGACCCGCCAGTAAAGATAACCTTTATCTGAAATATTAGCAAAAGAAATGATTATCCAAAACTTTCTCAATGCATGAAAACTCAAAGTAACTTTCATATATAAGTGTGCATGTAAAAATTCATAAATAAATAAAAAATATATCTGTAAAGACGACATAAATAAAAGACGATAAAACTTTTTATACCAATGCTATTCGTTCCTTGACACTTCCCTTGATAAAGTTCATCAAGGAACAACACACATTGACATAAAAAAAAGCTTTCCTAGTCTTTTTCTCACACACACACACACATATATATATATTTATGTATGTACATTATTTTCAGATAGAGTGTATCTGGGAAAGAACAAAATGAATAAAAAGACAAGAGGAAAAACCTTAGCCAATGTGTTTCGTCCTTTGAGAGATTTTATCAGCACAAATGTAGGATTTATTTTGTTGCACAAATATACAAGAATAAGGATGTCATTGCTTTATCAAGGCTTTTAAATTTGAGAACATTCATGAATATTCATTAGGTGGTCGAAAGGTCAGTCAAAACATGTGGAGGAGATAATGTGCCATAATTCTCAGTATGGTAAGACAAACATAAGCAAGTAATATTCAAGAAATATATTAATTTATTTTTTTTAAATAAATTAATATTATTTAAATTGTGATCAGATTGTTATGGTTTAGGATGGACAAATTTGGTGTGCATCTTCATAAACATGAGGCGATGAATTTAACCATTGTCTTTTGATTTTTTTAACATTTTCATGGTCATGTATATTGGCTTGGGAAAGTAGTCATTCTTTCAGGAATGGTAAGATTGGAAAGAAACAGGGGCATAGATTTATATTTTGATAAGATTCGATAGCAGCACTATCAAGAATTTTCCATCTGAGTAAATTACTTTCTTTTTTGATAAGTGTAGCATTTTTTAGATCAAAATTCCAGTTGAATTTATTTCTGTGTATGATTCATGCATTTGATAAATTGTTATGCATAAGATCCCTTTTGTGTTCAAATTTAAAAACTTTTTATTTAATTTCATATACGTAATACACACACACTATATTCTTGGTTATTGTAATATAGACATCATCCTATCTAACCTATTATGTTATTAAAAAATATAACAATCATTGGGAATATATTTAATGATGTCTGTACGGCACCAGTGTGAAACTATCTTCACTAGTCAGTGCCCACTAGTTAATGGGTTCCTTGAGACATGTACTTTATTTTAAGAGTTACACAAGAGTAAAAAGGTTGAGAAACGCTGATATAAACACAGAACAAGAAGGAAGAAGTTTCTGAAAAGAAACATTTTAAAGTGGGGACCACTGTATCCAGTAGTTATCTCAAGGAAACAAATAATTATCACAAGATTACAGTTGTGCATCAGATTATCTCACCATTTTGGTTTTTGATTCTGACACAGAATTTCTTGGATATGAATAAATTATTACTTGTTTTTGGTTTTTTTTCGTAAATTCCTGAACAACCATTTTCTCAAGGAGGCAGAATTCACCAAAAAACCTTACAGAAATTCAAGCATGAAATTTCTCCAGAGACGTTAAATGTCAATAACAGAATAAAATCTGGGATCTTAAATAAAAAAAATAAATAAAATAAAATCAACCTACGGTGGGTGGGGAATTCAGAAAGAAAATGGGACTTAATGATTCTTGACAGGTGAAAAAAAACAAATTCAATTAAACAGAATGTCAACAGGTAAGAGAATTGATTGTGACAAGTATTGGGCAGGATGAGGAATTAAAAACTGAATACTTGCCCCCAGGTGAGAAAAGCTAGCTTCCTTGGAATGGGAAAAAAAAGCACTTCATTCTTTGATCCATACAGAATCAGGCAGATATTTATGAAAAAATTTTACAATAGCAATACTATACATAGCAGTTATTTTAATATTTCTTACTTGTTAACTATGCTGGCTCTTGTGGTCCTACCAAGGATTGAACTCACTATCCATGGCTAACAAATTTCAGAAGATATTAGACTCTCACTCCTCAGCTTAATGAACGCATTCTAAGCAGTAGCAGGCTTGTCTCCCTTCCTACCAAAATGGATTTAACTTTTAGTCATTATTTATGTTTACTGAAACTTCACCCCCAGTGAATATCTGTTTATTGTTTGGGGAAGTGCCGTCATTCCGTTTACTGATCAACATTCTGTTTTATCATTGCTCATTACTTATACATAGCTGATAACACAGCAATAAAAAACTTTTTGAAATTATATATATATATATATATATATATATATATATATATAATAAAAAGGCTTAAACACTAATATTCCTACTTGTATATGTTTTTTTTTGTGTGTATTAGTATGTGTTTTTGAACATAGAAATATTTGGTCCTTGCGAAATGAGACAATCGTTATATTCATCTTCATATATTTATATTTGATTTAATTTTCCCAATTACGAAGCGTGCCCTTTATGTAAACACATTTTTATTTTCCTTCGTCCCATCCCTCCCCCCACCCCTTTCCCTTTTTTTTTTTTTTTTTTTTTTTTTCCTTCCTATCCGAATTGTCTGTGGTGTGTATATGTCACCACGAAATGTATCTTTATGTATTAGACATCCGTCGACTTTCTTTCTCTCCTCTTTTTAAATCCACCCCACCCACATCTCCAAAAATTCTCTCTGTCACTCATCCTCATACTTACCCTTTCTCTAAATTCTGTTTTGATTTCCGGAGTTGTTTTTTTCTGTTTTCATTTTGAATTTGTAGGTCTGATGATTTGGATCGTATTTACGATTCCAATGGAATTAATTATGACCATGGAATATTAGTGTTTAAGCCTTTTATTATATCCTTACTCTGTCCTAGACATTGAGTTCTACCTGGATCCTTCCTCTTGGAAAATTTTTTCTGAAAATATACATGTATGGGAATTTTTTAGATATATTTTTCATATGTATGTATATTTTCCACTAATATTATATATATATATATATATATATATATATATATATATATATATGTTGTAACCTAGAAAGGGTTACTGAATGAGGAATAACCAAAACAGAGGTTGGAAATAAAATGGTAATTTTTATAACATCAACAAAATACAATACTCGCCAGTGGCATGAAGTAGATAAACTACTGCTAGTGGTGGACTACTTAGACAGCATATCACCCCCACTTACTAGTGTCCAACATATTAATGAGGATTGAGACATACCCATTAGTGTTCATAAGTACGGATCTTCAGGGTAAACTGGCTTACCCTGAAGATCCATTAAGGTGAAACCTAGGTAGGTAGCTTCTGGCTCACTAGGATTTTTTATACTCAGCTCTACTTTGTGTATTGAGCACTTTATGTTTTTTCTTATTTTACTCAATTGGTGTTTTCTTTGGACTAGAAATTACAACACTGGGTGATTTTTTTCTCAGATGTTTTTATTCTTTTTGTTTTTTTCCCAAATACCTATTTGTTTTAATATATTTTTATTTGCAAATTGTACTATTCAGGTGTTTTTTACATCAGTCAAGTATAGATATTAACATTTTATATATATATATATATATATATATATATATATATATATATATATATATATGAATGAACTGGCAAAACTATGTTGACAGGAGTAATTTCTGTGCTTATTTGTCTTTTTCTTATATTCACCCAGTACAAGGTCCAAGAGCTACTCAAAGCAGAGGGTTACTGTTTGGATTTATATTAACCTAGGAAAGAACAAGTGTTAAGATTACAGAGTTGAAGTAGACTTTAAAAGGAACTGGAAACCCAATCCTAAACAGGAGACAAGCGATAAAACTATACACAAAAAAAAAACCCCAAAAAAACATTTTCTGTGGTCTGGTCCCAAGGGCGCCAAATTAAATAGGTTGCTTTGCCTTACATATATTGTTTGCTTAATATTATTTTTATTTTATCTTTTCTTTCTCTTTTTATTGTTTATTGCAAACTTTATCAATTCTGTTTGTTGACATTTTTGCCAATTCCTCTACAATTATAATTCCCCTCCAAGTGTACCATCTTGGTTTTTGATTCAATTTCTCAAATTGTGCATGTCATTCGATAGCATCATTACCCAAATAAATTACAATGATAAATAATAAAAGGTCTTTAACAAGTGGTCAAATTTTCATTGGGTATTTGTCCAGAAATGTAATCAAAACTTCATATTTTACCATAATTCTCAATAGCCATACTACGGAGTTTTATTCGGGCCTCGTATTTTCTGGAACTGTCAGCCAATGCCAGAGCATAAGAAATAATAGCCATATCATAAGTGTCATAGGTCACAGCCATCTGTTTCTCCAAATACCGGATTGCTAAGTCGATTTCATTTTTCCGCCTGTAAATCTGAAAAACCAAAATGAAAGTGTTCAAATAAAAAATTTAAAGATTAAAAAATTAATAAATTTTTTTTTTTTAATCAAGTCACCCCAAGCAAGGCAATAATTCCATTAAAAGGTACAGGGCTACTAGGATGAAAGAGAATGAAAAACTTTAGTAGGAACTGGGAAGCAAATCCTAAACAGGAAACAAGAGATAAATCTCTACTCCTGTTCAAAAGACCAGAGAAGAGTGAGATCACAGCTATAGATGAACCTATCTATTCAAAACTTCATTTTTTTATGGTTCCAGGTGAAAATATTTGTCTTCAGTCTTTTACTATTTGTGGAAGTCACACTGCCCAAACTCTGATATATATGTGTGTGTGTGTGTAAAAATATATAGAAAATAGGAAAGAACTCATTAGGTAAATAATCCAAAGTTCTTTAGTATTTTTGTTATTATTTTCGCATTGAATAATTAACATAAAAACAAACAAACAATAAAATAATTTTTAAATTCCATAGTCTAAATAAATAGTTTAAATGCCTTACAAAAAAAAAAAAGAAAAGAAACATAACCCTTTATGAAGTAGTCAAAAAAACAAATGTTAGTGACTTACGACAGTTTTTTTATATACACAAAACCCTTTCAGAAAAAAAATAAAATAAAAAAAATAAATAAATCTCCATAAACACTTAACCAGATGATGTCATCTTCCGCTTTAAATTTATACACTCCAACCTTACCCTGACTTAACGTCTGTTAATGTAACTGAGATATTGATACAAATTATTAACCCTTACGCCCCTTTTCTTTAAACAATTGCTCTAGCCGTTACCATAGTAATGTTAATTTCAATAATGAATATGCTTATAAAATGCATAAATTTCAGGAATTAGTTATTCAAAAAAAAATTTCACTTGAAGATGGGACAGTACTTTAATTCAATTTAATTTAGTTTTCAGCTCTTGTTTTTAAACATCAGAACTCTTATGTAGCGTTGGAATCATATCATATTTTTAAATAAATAATTATATATATATATATATATATATATATATATATATATATATATATATATATAAAATAAATAAATTAATGAGCCAGGCAAACCTAGTCACTTTACCCTGAAGATTCCGCTTAGGTGAAACTAGTTAGGTTTGCCTGGCTCATTAGGATTTATTCTAGTTTATCACTCTACTTAGTGTATTGAGCACTCTACATTTTAGTCTTTCTATTCATTTGCGTTTTTTCTTTGGACTAAGGACTTAAAGCACTTGCCAATTTGTTTTGTCTTGTTCTGATGTTTTTAGTTCTTTCTTTTATTATTTCCAATTTTTTCCTCAGGTATCGATTTGTCCTGACATATCTGCAATTTGAGCTATCCGAGGTTTTCCAAACGAGTACTACTATATATATATATATATACACACACAAACACACACATTTATTAACACTGTATCATGCTTTATTGCAGGTCCCATTTTTGTTGATATTTTGAATATTAAAAATTGTACAGAAGTGAAAATTGGTACACTGAAAGATTCTAAAGAGGTAAGAATGCAGTGAAAATTTCAATCATATTGATAAGCTACATACAACATTATGTTACGTATTTTAAAGTGTTTTTAACTCTGTTACACTTTATTGCAGGTGTACAAGAATGCCACTAAAATAACGTCTGACAGTTATAGAAAAGACACAGATTGTTTCAGGTTTTGCGGAAGGCTTATCTTTGGGTGAATTAACCAAAGAGCTTGGTCGGCATATAAGAACATTGAAGTCCTAAGTGGAAAAATCACATAAGCAAACCAAGACAGGATAAAGGAATGAGAAAAAGTGTATCTCAGCATGACATTCAAAAAATACATAGACAAGTGAGAAAAGACCATGGTAGCACAAGTGCTGCCATATTTGAATGTGTTTGGTTTGCTCCTTTGTCTAGAAGCATCCGGTGTAGGATTCTTAAAGAGACGGCATTAAACCCTGTTGTAACCTGGGGAAGGTTACTGAATAGAATAATCACATGAAGGTTGGTAATGAATAATAATACTTAGGACAAGAACAACACATATAAGATTTGCCAGTGACACGTAGAAGTAGTAGTAAACTGCTAGAAGTGAATCAAGTGAATTCCACAATGAATCTCCAACTGCAGACCAACATACAGTATTTACTACTGTATTTATGTGAATGGAGACATACTCATTATTGTCCGTAGATATGCTACAACAAACCCATTGCCAGATCCATCCTAAACAAGACCCACAAAGAGAAGCGTATTCCTTGGGCAAAGAAATATATGAAGACCAATTTCCAAGATGTTCTATTCACGAATAAGGCTACACTGGATGACCCTGATGGATGGGTCAAAGCTTGGGTAACACTTGGAACCTCACTCCTGCATTGCATTCAACATCAACAAGGTGGCGGTGGTGTTATATTTTGGGCTGGCTTCATAGTCAGAACATTTCGAGTGCCAGAAGGTGTCAAACTCATCAGCAGTTTCTACACTGCATTTCGGGAGGTGAATTTTTCAGCATGGTTGGATGATTTGCCACTCTCACATAGACGGCAGTTGATTTTTATGCATGAAATTGCACCATCATATTCAGCCAAGGCTACAATTTTGTACCTTGCAACTTTGTGATTTGAAGGACAAATACTTATGACTTGGCCTCCTTGTTCCTCAGACCTTCACCCTATTGAGCATCTCTGGTCAATCTTGAAGAGGAAAGTTTAGGAAGGAGGTGAGCAGTTTTCATTGATGGATGACCTGCGGGAAAAGATCAAGGTTGTTGCTGGTACCATAACATCTCAAATTAGTCAGCTAACAGTGTTTTTTTCTATTTATTTTGCTTTCATTATTTAGTTACATGCACCATTATTATAATAAAATGCTAATATAAAGATAATATCTTGTTTCATTAACATAAATTGATATTTTTGCACACCTGCAATAAAGTGGGATACAGTTGAAAACACTTTAAAATACATAAGTTAATGTTGAATGTAGCTTATCAATACGATTGAAATTTTCACTGCATACTTACCTTAGAATCTTTCAGTGTAGCAAGGTTTCACTTTCACTATATATACACACACATACATATGTTTATTTTAATACCTATACTCAATTGGTATAAATAAAAAAAAAAACTGGATAATACAATTTGTAAATAAAAATATATTTAAACAAACTGGTATCTAGAGAAAAAATTTGGAAAGAAAAGACTAAAAACATCTAATGTGTTTGAAAAAAAACAAAAAAAAACACCCAACACTGCAATGCCTAGTCAAAAGAAAAACCCAAATCGAGTAAGATAAAAAAAAAAACATAAAGTGCTCAATGCACTAAGTAGAGCACAATATAAAAATCCTAGTGAGCCAGAAACTACCTACCTAGGTTTCACTTAAATTGAACTGGCTGAAGAGGATAGGATAAAGGAACATATTTACTGGTAAAAACTAACAGCAAAAACTAAAATTAGTATAAAACCTAATGACATTAAAAAAAAAAAATTTTAATTATTAAAACAATTACTATTCTTTTATTCCAGTAACCATGCTTTCTTATGTATACACCTTTTAAGGATTTCTGATCTTTACTTAAGTAAGATATCAGATTTACTAAAAGTAGCTATGACTAGTTTTTCCTCCATACATAATAGGCAATACCTATTGCCAACTTTATCTCTATAACATTTCTTTATTATCTCCCATTTTAAAATTGGGTTGATTCCTTTTTCTTTTTTAATTTTCCATATGTGGTTACCTAGTCTGGTGCTATGTCTATAACTTTCATGTTTGAAACTGCTTATGTGCTTATCTTTTTTAAAAGTTTCTTGAGTAGAACGAATATAAACTTTTTTTGTTCTCATGACTAATGCTAGATTTATTTCTGTATACTTCTACTTTGTAAACTACACATTCATGCTGGCACTTTTTCCTTAAGTGGACAGGATGCTTTATTTCTGCAGTTACATTTGGGAGGATTATATATTATTTTTTTAATCCAATTAGCCACGATGAGCATATGACTGTAGCTCAGTCTGACTGTATTCCTATTTTAAAAATTTTTTTTTCCTATTTTGGTGATTACAGCTAAATTGTATGGTGGGGTAAACAATAATATTTTTCTGATCCTACTTTTCCTCCTATCGCATATATTGGAAGAATTATCCATATTCACATAGACTAGCTTGGTTTTGTATCCACTTTTTTTCCAATGCCATCTCGTAATCGTGACTGTTTTGATTGAAGATACTAGTGTTAGAAGAATTGGTGGATAACTTGAACATGATTTTGTTGAGGATTTGTTTAAAGACATGTTTTGAGTGGTTGGAACCTACATCAATATAGCAGGGCTGTTGGTTACTTTTCCTAAATTGGGAAATAGTGTCATTACACAAATCAAGCATAACATCTAGATAATCCATGATTTTTAAATTGGTTCGTCTATCTAACTTAAATCCAAATTTATTAAACATCCAGTAACTTCTTATATATGATATCTCCTTTTCTAGGGGTACAGTTATTGACAATAATTAAACCTTCATCCCAGTACAGGCTATGATTACTGGGGTCAATAAATTCATTTAGGTTAGTCAATAATAAACATCCTACCAACTCACATAATTCAGCCCCATCATATTCTCCCATTGGGTTGTCAAAATTGCCACTAGTACTTTTATTAATCCATAATGTCTTATTATGGTACAGTAAAGACTTACAATAATGCATGGTGACTTTAATTTTATCTTCTGGTATAGATACATATTCTTTAGTTAGATCTAATGCCTCTTTAACCATTTTTTCTGTGATTTATGGGTAAAACTCTTTAATATTGTATTTTATAAAAGAGCATTTGCTATTTTTGTTGTAATTATTAAACTACTTAATACAGTCAGAAGTACTGTGCCATTGATTAATATTTAAGGCTATTCTAAGTATATCACAAATTTCCTGTAAGATAACTTTACTAATTCTCCTCATTTGCATTTTAGTTGGGTCCAAGTAAAATGCAAATAGGAAGAATTTTCTGAATGAAAATTTGTTCATGCAAAGGAAGTCCTGGTGAAAAGGCTCAGAGAAAGGGCTAAAGGGAGATAACCACGGATTAAAAGTCAGAACATTATTAATGATAACTCTCTTCTTCAGTTTGCAAAGCCCAGTTACTCTATTCTTAATATGTGATGCAATGCAAAAATATCGCAATGATAAAATAGATCAACAATTATTTATAACTATTTATACTGGGACTCACGCATACAATTACAAGTCATCCATAATAATATTTTAAATTTTGAAATCATATTTATTTTTGGCATATGAATTTTTTGAAACTGTTTCTAAATCTTTGTCTTTCAATCATTCTGCCTCACCTGCTATCCTCTTCCACCACATCAATGAGGCATACCACACCATTTGGGAAATCATCATTTTAAACATTGATTATAAGTTGGCCAATGTTAATGAAGCAAAGATATTTCAGCCTGTGATAAGGAAGTAATTTAATTTTGGCCAATGATAAGAAAGTGAAAATCTTTTTTGCTGATAAGATGGAATCACCATATTAATTCAAGTATAAAGTGGAATAATGATCAATCAAAATAGATAAATTTTGTCAAATGAAAAGTTCTCTTAACAAATAGAAAGATAGAAATATTAACCAATAAAAATTGACTTCTCATAAATCATCAGAACTTACCTCAACTGGGTGCATTTTGTAGCCACACTCCATTAAACTTATCAGGACAAAAGCTGTCATCACTCTGTCATTAACACCACCCTAGGAGAAAAAATATGATGAAAATATATCAATTACAAATATGATGAAACTGAAAAGACATCAAATATGATGATACTATGAAGTTTGGGGTTGTCTTTCCCTAGACTGCTTGCCAATCATGGCTAAGACACTCTTCCCTATTATTTGAATCTGATAATGTATAAAATGTTCCAGCCAACTTACAACCATCTCTTGGTGGATGACAGGATAATCTTCTATAAAAGAACCATCCAGACGTTGTTTCTGAAAGAGCCACGTCATGGCAGACTTGGTCAAGTGGGAATCAACATGTTCAAATTCTGAAGCTTGGCAAAAAACCTTCAGTACAAAAGCAGTCAACCTGAAAAGATGAATTTTGAATCTTCAGTCTTTTGATTATGACAAATTTATCTAAAATGCAAACCTTGGGGTGTTCAGAAAGTAATTACATTTTATAAGAAAGGATATTTAAAAAAATAAATAAATAAATAAAAGATAATTAAATTTATTTAAATACTTGTTTAAAAGTCACACTCCATGGACTAAGATTAATTGGATCTCTGACCCAAAACTAAAAGAACCTCTGGCCCAGCTTAGAAAACAGCAATGATAATTTTGAAGAAATAGCTTTGAATTCTTCAATTCACTCAATGGAACTTCAAAACCTCACTTTAATTCGGGCTATAAGTCTGATTCCAGCCAAAAGACTGATTTGGGCCAAAATAGCAATTTAAGCTGAAAAATGAGTTCTTCAAATGACAAACTCTGTATAACTTAAAAATTTCATGACATTTTGACGAAGTAAAATTGATTTCCACAATTCACAAAGTTTTGGAGATATTTTAAACTGAATTTAAAACAAAAAAACTTTTTGTGTTACTCTAAACTCAAAATAAATTAGAACTTTTCAAATTGCGATTATTTTTTAGTTATTTTAAAATTTGAATTCTTAATTGTTCCCTCCTCATCCAGACACAAATCCCAAAGCTGGATGTTCAAGCAACAGATGAAAGGCAGATTACGTATAATATGTCTATGTGGAGCTACTGTGGCCCAAGTTAGAGGGGTTTTCAGCCACAAGGACGAACAGACAGAATTTGCCATTTATTTATTTAGAATAGAAAGATTTGAATTATTAATGATTCCCTCATCATTCGGATATAATTCCCGAGGATGGATGTTCAAGCAGCAGTTGAAGAGCAGATTTTTAATCCCAGGATCATACTGATCTCCAAAAATATATAATACATCGATACAGAGCAAGTGTGGGTCAAGTTCGTAGAGTTTCAGACACAAGGATGAACCGACAAAATTTCCTGTTTGTTTATTTAGAATAGAAAGACGATTTGAATTTTTAATGGTTCCCTCATCATTTGGACACAAATCCCAATGCTGGATGTTGAAGTTCTAAATGAAGGGCAGATCTTTCAATCCTGGCATCATCCTGATTCCACAAAGGTATAAAATGTCTATGTAGAGCAAGTGCGGCCCAAGTTCGAGGGGTTTCAGACACACAAATGGACAGACAGAATTTGCTGATTATTTATTTAGATTATTTACCTAAAACATAATCACCTTTAGTTTCAATGACTGCATCCCTATGGGAATGTAAACATTCAATGTGATCCTTGCCACTGACTGGTCAAGGATTACCCCACATTGCATTTTCATTTTCAATCTCATCAGTGTGCACCTAAAGCTGATGAAGGGCATGCTGCATGCTTACAAGGTAACAAAATTAAAGACAAACGCCATATTGAGAAATCAGAACACGAACCCTGTTTTTTTATGTTATATGTAGGTGTTTTATACAAGGCTTTGTCTGCTTGCCCAGGAACATTGGTAGGAACAGCTCCTGCTATGCCAGCTCTTCCCCTTATGAACTCCTCAGCCATCTATTCATCCCATCGTCATGATTGGCAACACAAAATGGAGGCTTCAGAATTGCTTGGCAGATACATCCATCTATCATCAAGGGTGGACCAAAATCCTCCTTGATCCTATGCATAAGTATTGATATAGACCAGTACCTGGATATATTCTATTTCTGATTTTGTTGCTACTTGATCTCTAAAAATCTTCTATCTACCCCTTTCTTTCTTATTCCCCTTCAGTTAAAGTGGATATTGTTTAGAGGGTTAACTTCAAATGTTCTATCAGACATTTAAAATTTATTAAAATTTTTAAATTAATATTAAAAAAAAAAAAAACATATGAATATCAGTTTTTGGTCCAAAAAGTTTTTGCCAGTGTTTATTGACTCCTTTTTTTTATCAACTCCCATTTTGAGCCCCCAGGCATTTATAGATCTCATTTCATATCCCTGGACAGTCCCAATGACCCCAGATATTTTCAATTTCTTTGCTTCTGAAGGTTGAAAATTCCTCATCCACCCCCTTACTTCCCATTCCCTTTTGGTTAAAGTCAATGTCACTTACAAAACTAAACTTCAAAAAGGAACCATTAGCTGGTCTAACAAAAAGAAATACTTGAGATCAAGATAAAATTAATGCTTCCCTTCCTACATGAGTATCCATAGTATCACAAGAAGGCAATTTTTCAATTCCATATTGTTAGTTCCAATCTTACTTGGAATGAATGCTAAATACTTTCCCTCTCAAATTTATCGGCAGAAGCACACAAATGCATGCTGGGATTTCTTCCTAGCTAATAAAATAGGCCACTTCTTGGTCTCATCTGACTCAGTTCCAGTCTGTCTTAAGTAAGAATGCTACGTTTACTTGTCCAAACTTGCTCTTGTGTGTCAACCCCAATTTTTAGTTTGTGAACTTTTTGCCATATTTTTGTTGCTTTGCTTTATTACTGTTAATTTGGCTTGCATATATTGTTTGCTTGCTTTAGATTATTTTTTGTCCTTTTTTTTTTCTTTCTATTGCTTATTACAAACTTTGTCAATTCTGTTTATTGGGCAGATCCGTCATTTATTTACATTTATCCATGGCCACATACTATACACATGCCCAAAGAAATTAGAATTTTTCTCTCCAAAATGTTTGAAATTCAATACTAAATCTGGTTTTATCTCTATCTATAAAAGGCAGGATGTGTGTGTGTGTGTGTGTGTGTGTGTGTGTGTGTGTGTGTGTGTGTGCGTAACAAATGCGCGGCTGCAATTTTCGAAAGATTTGCACCAAAATTTGGCTGCTGTTATGATGTGAAAGACCCCACAAAGTATGTACACGAGTAAAAATATTTAGATCAATAAAACACAAATAAGGATTCTTGTCCATTTAATGGTAAAATACAAGATATGGTATAATGATATAATAGACAATGGTATATACAGGGTGCAATAGATATATTCTCTTCTAAATTACGCAAAAATGAAAATAACACCGACATCTCATTTTTAAAACACACACACAGTTAAAGTGGTCTGTTTTTATTTAAAATATATATATATATATATATATATATATATATATATATATCATTCCCAGACAGTACTGTATCACAGCTCCTCAGTGTGACGAGACATCTGAATGCTTCAAGCCAGGAGCAAAACCCAACTGATTTGGTGTCAATCAGAGTTATACAAAAATATCTTGAAATACTAAAGAGTAAATTTCTTCAGTAAAATCACCATTGGCTTCAAGTACAGTCTCCATAAGACTTCCAAATCTCCTGCAAATTTTCTGAACGGACTCTTTGTTTAAGTTGGTAAATCCTTGCTTTCAGTTCATCTTTGGTGTTATAAGAAGTTTTCTTGGTCTCTCCCTCAACTGCACTCAACACATAATAATCTAGGAGATTGCAGTCTGGGGAGTTAGGTGGCCAGATGTAAGGAGATGATGTGGTCACAGAAATTATCTGACAGCCATGACTGGGGTCTGCTTGTGTGGCATGTTGCAGAGTCCTGTTGCCAGACATAGGGTTTTCCAGCAGCCACCTTCTTAACCCAGGGCAGCACTACCTCCTCAAGGCACCTGATGTAGACCTCTGTCTTGAGTCAGAGACCCTATGGGAAGATGAATAGAGGCATAACATCGCCATCACTAGTGATCACTCTAAACACCTTTGTAGTCGCCATTAGACTCTTTCTGAAACCTTTGCACTATCACCCAAACACTCTGAAATGTTCATATTGGAGCTTCTGGTGTGAATGCCAAGCAGTATAGCATGCCATTTCCAAATTTCATCATGGTGCTCTTTTTCTCACAGAAAGTGCCCAACTAATGATACTATACTGAGCAGTCAACAAAATCAAAAACAAACAACGTGCATGTGGCAAAATTAAAAATATAAAATGGCGACAATTTACCCATCGCCCCCTGTATAATAGTATAACAGAAAAAGAAATTTGTCATAATATTTAATACAGTTAAATCTAAAAATATTGGAACTGTCTGTATCATTCATTGAATGATATACACTTATATAGTTAAGTGTTAGCTACAATAAATACACTTACCAAACACTTGATGGATTCTGATCAAATGCTGCATATGATCCGTCCATTTTACGGAATTCTTGTTCTCTTAAAATACCTAAAAACGAAAATCAGAAATTATCAAAAAAAAAAAAAAAAAAAAAAAAAAATTAATTTTGCTGTATGATGAAATGCTGATTACAATTAATTTGCTTTAAAATTGTAATTATTTTTCTATTCTCAAATATAAACAAAGAATATAGACAGACATATCTTGAAATTTATAAAATATTTTATGATAAACAGTAAAATTTACAAGCATGTCAATGGAAAGCGTTAAGAGACTGGATAAAGTCAATGAACAGTGTTAAGAGACTGGATAAAGTCAATGAACAGCGTTAAGAGACTGGATAAAGTCAATGAACAGCGTTAAGAGACTGGATCAAGTCATTGAAAAGCGTTAAGAGACTGGATCAAGTCATTGAAAAGCATTAAGGGACTGGATCAAGTCATTGAAAAGCATTAAAGGCCTTGATAGATGTAACTAAGGCTTTTGATTCTGTTGATTGTCGAACTCAGTGCCTTTTTTTCATCTGCACCGAAGAATACAACATACACGTATACTAACTAAAATTTAGCTCAGTTTCATTCACACACCTATCCTTCATTTGACCCCTTGACTATCATCAACCCCCTGGAACTCCTCATTCAAACCATGTTTGACAAACCCTGGTCTACTAAAACATGGTTATCCCCAACAAATAATGCTTCAAATGGTCAAATTTATACAAAATTGAGCAGATATGAACTTTTTATTGATTCATTTTTTGTGGCTTATCAACCCTTTGCATGTTATTTAAAGCTAGAAAAAATTTTGAAATTGCAAAATTTTGGGATGGGGAGATAATAATGATTTAGTGATAAAAGTCTTATTAATTAACCCATAGCTGGAGGGTAGAAGATGTGAAGTTATACCTTTCCCAAAGGCATTTGCATGGAAGTGAATATAATGAATGCCACTGAGATTATAACTTGGCTCTCCAATCAACAATTCCTAGCTATTTTTAATGATGTTACCCACACATCCAAGCTTACAGCACCTGATATTCCCAAATGGTCACTCATCTAGTCAACAGCCAGGCTCAACCTTGCTTAACTTTGGTGATTGTATAGGAACTGGAGTTTCAATGTGATATGGCTGTAAGTCTTGATTATATAGAAACAACTAATATTACCATTACAGATGAGGAGAACAGATGCTACACTTTGATCCCAGCACAATGGCCAGGAAGTGGAGAACAGTGTAACTTGAATAGCACTGGCTGCTCGGTCAATGAATGCTAAATGTTTCTGTATCAGGCACGAAGAATGCATTTCTCAGGCAGGAAAGTTTTGCATTGCATTCTGAGAGAAATTCTATTATTTTGATTTTATTCATTTTATTTTAAACAAAGTTTTAATGTTATTAGTTTTATATTTTTTATTTATTAATAATAATAATAATAATAATAATGTTCCTACAGATTCATTTCATTGCTAATAAAAATATTCCTACTTAGAAACCATGTCACATAAAAAATGTTTATAACCAAACTTTTCATTCTTTCATATTCTATGTTAAAGTATTAAAAATACCTAGAAGCACCCCAGAAAATTTCACGGTTTTCCTATCTTAATTATCTGATGAATTTTAATTCTTCAGTTAATGATTGAGTAAGCTCATGGCGAGTTCTATGACAATAAAACATCTGTATAAATTTCCTTCTCACATCATTAAATATTTAAGCTTAACAACTTTAACAAAATATTGCAATAACAATCATAAATATGGATGCTGGTTGTTATTTTAAGAAGTGGGTACAAATGAAAATAAATTGACAACTTTTTCCATATCACTGAAACAACCATTAAACACTTCTAACTTCCCTTCTTTCTTTCATTTTCTTACTGAAACCAAGTAGTGTTTTTTCCTCTCTTTCCACAATCAAAACATTATTTATGAGGTATTGGCAGGGTGTAATGGTCGTGCCTACTAACGAAAGGTGGGAACAAGCGCGGTTATAATAGGATAATTATGTTAAGAAATGGACAAGGTCCGACAATTTATTTATTAAAGACATTTTATTTATGTTTAACGTTGTTATTTTATAGATACAAGTATTTAAGCAAATGCTCTGTTTAAGATAAACAGTATTAAATAACATTTACCGGAATGTCAAGAAATTTTCATTTATTCGTTCATAGACAGGATTGAACCTGCATCCTATTTTCATATACGCTGACATGCCATAACCACTGGCCACCATGAACCTTATGGTAGACAAGGTCGAATTTACTGTTATAAACTACAATCTTCCATGAATCTCGTACATTCATAACTGCTCTGGCGTGTCGAATGTAAACAAATGTATGTTAAGAAATGGACAAGGTCCGACAATTTATTTATTAAAGACATTTTTTTTATTTATGTTTAACGTTGTTATTTTATAGATACAAATATTTAAGCAAATGCTCTGTTTAAAATAAACAGTATTAAATAACATTTACCGGCCTGAATGTCCGATAAATTTTCATAGAAAATATTAGTTCATAACATATTCGAACCTTTGTTCCTATCATTCGACTGTCATATAATTCCGTAGCTGACAGTAACCACTCAAATGCTTAAATACATCTATAAAATAAAATGTCTTTAATAATATGACGCCATTTGTTTTACATTATGGAGCAGTTATGAATGTAAATTCATGGAAGATTGTAGTTTATAACAGTAAATTGACCTTGTCATTCATAATAAATTAAGGCATGTCAGCGATATGACAGTTCAGATAGGATGCAAACAAATATTTTCTATGAAAATTCTCGGACATTCAGGCCGGTAAATGTTATTTAATACTGTTTATCTTAAACAGAGCATTTGCTTAAATACTTGTAACTGGTAAAATAACAACGTTAAACATAAATAAAAATGTCAAAATAATTTTAATTATTTTTTTATTATGACATCAATTTTATTTTTTCTTTAATTCTTACTAGTTTGTAAAAGAAAAAAAAAAAACATCGATTGTGCATGGTCATTTCCTTCTTTACAATATTGGGTTGTCTCAGTTGATCTTATATATGGCACCTAGTGAGGATCAATCTCAATAATCAGTAGTAATGGTCAACTAGAGTAGCCTTGCTTACCATTAACTGATTGTTGGTTGTTTGGTTGGCATGTCAACCTTTTTTGGGTTATTTAATGTTGAATTTTGCATGGGGCACCCAGTGAGCATCAAACTCACTACACAGTACTAATTTTTTTATACTATTGTTCATCCAGTGCAAAACCCAAGATTCACCCAAGGTAAAGCTTAAACAACTTTAACAAAATATTGCAATAACAATCATAAATATGAATGCCGGTCGTTATTTTAAGAAGGGTGTACAACTGAAAAGATTTGATATTGACAACTTTTTCCATTTCATTGAAACAGCCGTTAAACACTTCCCTTCTTCTGAATGAGGCAGTTGTAAGGGTGTACAGGGATAGAGTAGGCGATGCATATTATGAGGATATGTAGGATAGATAATGGTTGACTCTTGACTTGTAGAGGATAAGATTGCCATAATTAGGGAAGAATTACTCAATGTCAAGGCACCATTTTAAATATTGCTAAGGACAAAAATATTTAAAAAGAAAAAAAGTTGCAGACTGACCAAGTCTGATGTATCTTGTAGCATTTTCGTAAATCACCTGGCTGCCTTGGTTTGTACTGTTCAAATAACTGAGGATGTAGACACAAGGTGCCAAAAAGATCATCGTCTGTTCTCCACATCCATATGGCTTATCGAGTAATTTGTGCGGTTCTTTGAGAGTTGTTTGGATCGTGGAACCAAGGATGTTTCCTGTGGAGAAAAAAAAAAAATTTAAATTTACGATAAAAAATAATTTTAAACAATGTCAAATATTTTAAAAAAAAGAGTAAAAATATATTTTTTTTCTATCCATGGAGTTAAAGTTTTGAAAAGAAATACAGGGTATCCCAAAAGATTGATGTCATTTAAAATGTGAATATCTGAGTAACTACATCTCTCAGGCAAATGAAATTAAATTGGCTTCATGTCAAACAATAAAAGATTTATTTATCAAAATTCGTACAAGATATTCAAAGGGATGTCGATATTATAACAGATTTCAATATGCGTACCACCTGTGACATGATAAACATCAAGTCGGTAGTCCAGCTCCTACTAAACATGCTGTAGCATGTCTTGCGTAACATTCTCCAACGCCTCAGTGATTCTCTGCTTAAGTTCCTCTAGGTTTGTAGGAAGAGTGGAGGAATTTTTTTAAAAATTGGTTTCACCCCATGCAAGGCAGTAAAGCCACTAAAACATAAGGGGTTACTGTGTGTGGAAGAATTAGGAACAGAAACATTAATAATGAGCAAGAAGAGAAAAGAGGACAGTAGATTGACATTGCATTTAAATTTTTGAAAATCAAAGTTCAAACCAAGCAAGGCAATAAAGCCACTAAGATACAAAGGGTTACTCAATGTGAAAGAATATGAGAAAAGGAAAACATTAATGAGAGAGAATATTTATTTTACAAAAATACTATTTTTTGCCCTTTGGAACAAAGTCCAGATATATTTTATTGCCTTCCTAACATAACATTTAACAGAGCAATGCTGGGAACTTTTGCAACCTCATTGTGATTCTCCCCAAATGTTGAATTTGGATTCATTGACGCTTCAGCAAAAGAAGAAAACAAAATAAACAGTGCAAAGCTAAAGAGTCCAGTCTACTCTACTATTTCACCTCTAAGTAGAGGAAGAAGAGATGGATTTATGTTTTTCCCCGAGGAACTAGACATAATCAAATGTTGTATCCTTAAAGAGGTTACAAACAGACAAATGTGGTACTCGAGTGAAAGGAATAGCAACATGAGCGTAGACGAAAGAAAGAGAGGTTTATTGTAAAAGAGAATACATTACTGAAAGACAGGAAATTGGTTAGCAAGCTATTAATTCCCGAGGCAAGTCTGCCAGGCATATCCCGTGCTCACTATATATATCTACCGATATAGTGAGTCCACATAGGCAATAGGGAGTGTGGGACATTCCATTACAACATCAAGATGTTGACGTTCCAATACTTAACATTAGTCGAGGGTGCTGGTTTATTTGCCAACCTCCTATCCATGTGACAAGTTATACAGGATTACATGTTGCCAGTAGCAGGGCTAAGTTTGATCATACCACCATTATCATAATATCTACACTACTGCATTACATACAGATTTCAACAAAGAAGACATTATATCAGAGCTGGGCAACCCTTGGCAGGTGTGCCAAACATGGGATGCCGATTAGTAGTTCCTGGCGCAAAACTTATTCATTACATTCCTTTTTTGACCTTTTATTCTTTCTCCTCTTTTATGTATATCATTATCTCATGTATTTTTATTTTCTGCTCTTCACAGATTGTGCAGAATGTCACAATCATTAGCTAAGAAATGATGTCATTCAAATGAAGAGGATATTAGAGAATTTAATGAATAATGAATTGAAAAATTTGGCATGGTTAAGTAAGATGATAAAGCTTTATTCATTTTCTGTTTGGAAACAATTGTTTATTGGACTTCTTCTGTAAAGAGACATTTTGAAATAAAGGACTGAAAACTTACAACAATGTTTGTTGGCTTAGCCAAGGTTTGGTTCTGAAATGATTTGTTGAATGCTTAGGAGGTGGCACAGTGGAGTAGTAAGAGGAGGCATGGGGGAGTAGTAAGAGGAGGCATGGGGGAGTAATGGATAGCGGCTCAGATTGAGGAATCAGATAGCCAAGTTCGAATTCCAGTTGAATCTTACATTCACTTACATGCTAATACCCTTGGGAAAGGTATGAATCCTCTTCTCCCCCCAGCTATGGGTAAATAGCAGGACAGACTGGGGTCTATAACCTTGGCTGGCAACTGGTTTACCACAAAAAGAAATGGCAACTTACTGCGAGAATAAAAATCTGCCTTGTCAGTCATGTATCAAAAGATACATGATCGTTTAAGCATGGATCACGCATGGCACATAACTGACTGACTGAATGCTTAGATGAGATAAAGCTCTTTTTGAATGACCAACAAGTGTCTTATCAAGAATTGTCTGACATATAGATTTGTAAACTGTTTATTGCAGATTTTTGTGAACATTTAAATGACTTGAATATTAAATTACGGGGTTCTGGTAAAATACTTGATGTTGTTTGGTTACATAAAGGCTTTTCAAATGGAACTAGAAGTTTTTTTTAAGTGGGATGTAGATTATGAGAGATTTAAATACTTCCCAAACCTAAAGGGGCACATCAATGATTTCCCAAAAGATGGCAGAACAGATTGCCAATGTCTTCAAAAGCTGTTTTTAAATACAATCGAATCAACTGTTGGGCAGTTCTTTACATGATTTGATAAAATCAGAGAACTGGAAGAGACAGCAAAATTCATTAATTTTCCATACAGTATCAAACTGGATGAACTAAACTTGCAAATGTTTTCATGGATAGACATGGATGATTTTGAAATGCAGTTGATTGAATTTCACAGTAGCTCAATTTGGAAGCAGAAATTTATTGACTTTAGAGTTGACTTGGAAAATACTGAAAAGGAGCAATTAGAAACGGGAATATCAGAGAGAAATGCAAAAAACAAAGTATTAAGGACTTCTAATAACATTCCAGAAAATTTTGTCTGTTTAAAAAACTTTGCAGCAACATTGCAATCCATGTTTACATCTACATATGCTTGTGAATCTTTGTTTTCAGTCATGAACTTTGTTATGTCTCATAACAGGAGGAGCCTGGCAGATTAAACTAGTGATGCATGCATATCTCTCGAGGTTACTCAATATAAACCTAATATAAAATGTCTGTCAGCAATGATGCAGCAGTAGAAGTCTCACTATATATATATATATATATATAAATAAATAAAAAGAAAGAACAGTAAGATATATAATCCGGTGTTCTTATAGATATTTTTATTTTTACAAAATAGTGCTCAATGTAAATTTACAGAGCATTAATATTATAAATTAATTGATTTAAAATATGGTTTTTTTTCGTAACACAGTTCTAACCATGTTTCAAAAATGGAAGCTAAAAGCCCCGAATTTAATTTTGTAATTAAATTAAAGACATTAGTTCCATTTCATCCTCAAGCAAATTTTGGAGTAACTTTTAAAATTACTGGAAATGTGAATTATGATTTTAGCTGTGTCTTTAAAACCCAGTAATTTTAAAAGTTACTCCAAAATTCGCTTGAGGATGAAATGGAACTAATGTCTTTAATTTAATTACAAAATTAAATTCGGGGCTTTTAGCTTCCATTTTTGAAACATGGTTAGAACTGTGTAGCGAAAAAAAAACCATATATATATATATATATGTGAAAATATATAGATAGACCTCTTATGTAGCGTGTTGGAATCATATTTTTAAATATATATATATATATATATATATATATATATATATATAAAAAGAGTCAACAAGTTTCCTAGCTCAAGTTTTATGTGATGCTTTCTTTTGAAAGTGGCAAATGTTCAGGGCTGTTTAAATGTAGTTTTGAAGGTAAATAAATATATTTTGTTTTTTTATACATCATTAATAAGGGATTTAAAATTAGCAAAAGATTATTTTTAATAACCTTTTACTGTGTTTTAGTCATAAAAATGTATAACTGGCAAAAATGATGACTGATTAATCAAAGAAATAACTTTTGTGTGTTGATATAAATACTAAACGTCATGGATTGTGTAAACGTCAGTGGATTGATTTAAGTTTCTTTCCACCTCTCTCTCTTTCTTTCCACCTCTCTCTTTCTTCCACCTCTCTCCCCCTTCCACCTCTCTCCCTTTCCACCTCTCTCTCCCTTTTCTCTGATCTTTTCCACCTCTCTCTCCCCCTTTCCACCTCTCTCCCTTTCCACCTCTCTCTCTCCTTCTTTCCACTTCTCTCTCCCCCTTTCCACTTCTCTCCTTTCTTTCCACCTCTCTCCCCCTTTCCACCTCTCTTTCTCTTTCCACTTCTCTCTCCCCTTTCCACCTCTCTCCCCTTTCCACCTCTCTCTCCCCCTTTCCACCTCTCTCCCCCCCTTCCACTTCTCTCCCCTTTCCACCTCTCTCTTTCTTTCTCTCCCCCTTTCCACCTCTCTCTCCCCCTTTCACCTCTCTCCCTTCTCCCCTTTCCTCTTCCCCCCCTTTCCACCTCTCTCTCCCCCCCTTTCCACTTCTCTCTCCCCCTTTCCACCTCTCTCCCTTTCCACTTCTCTCTCCCCCTTTCCACCTCTCTCCCCCTTTCCACCTCTTCCTCTCTCCCCCTTTCCACCTCTCTCCCTTTCTCCCACCTCTCTCTCCCCCTTTCCCCTCCCCCCCTTTCCCTTTCTCTCCCCTTTTCTCTCTCTCCCCTTTCCACCTCTCCCCTTCCCACCTCTCTCTCCCCCTTTCCACCTCTCCCCCCTCTCTCTCTCTCCCCCTTCTCTCCCCCCTTTCCACCTCTCTCCCTTTCCACCTCTCTCTCCCCCTTTCCACCTCTCTCTTCTCTCTCTTGCATCTCTCTCTCCCCTTTCCATTTCCCCTTTCCATTCTCTCTCCCCTTTCCATTCTCTCAACCTCTCTCTCCCCCTTTCCACCTCTCTCTCTCTTCTTTCCATTCTTCTCCCCCTTTCCACTTCTCTTGATTGCATATGTGCTTAAACAAACAATATTTTAAATATTTAAAAAATATTTTTTGTCATGTTTAAAAAATATTTGCAAGTGAATATGATTTTAAAATATTTTTTGGCATATTAAAAAAATATTTTTAATTTAGTTGGATTTAAAAAATATTTTAAGTGAATAAGATTTAAAAATACAAATTGTTTATACAGTAAGTATTTATATTTCAACTTTCTTCAAGCAGACAATTTTTTTAATGTTAAAATCAACTTCATTGTTTTATAACCTGAACTGTCAATGACCCAATGGGTTACAGGTAGTCTAGTAATAAATAGTTAATAGTGTCTATCAATTGTGTGACTATGTATGGCAGTTAAATTTATACTTATAGGCTAATAAAAAATATCACAAAAAAACTTTCTTGTAAAATCCTGTCAAAATTCTTTCATTCAGTTTTACATGATTTAACATAATTTTTTACGATAATGCATCTTTGCTGCTCTGAGGTGATTTTCTATCATTTAAAAAAGTTCTTCACATATTTAAAAAATAGCAAATAATATGTTCTGGAAAATTTTTGTTGGCAGGTGGAAAAATTTTGTTTCACAGATTTGGCCAGTTTGGGCATGCACTCTCAAAAAGGTTGCCCACCCCTTCATTATGCCAACAACTTACCTGTGATGACAATGTCTCCTTTTGCTGATCCATCAATGGCTTCTGCTGGTTGAGTGAGTTTCATGATTATTCGCTGCATTTTTTGGGAAGCAGAAATTTCATCTGAAAATAGAAACACAAATGAATTAAATATTTTGTTGGCCAAATCAGAAAATTAAAACGTTCGTTTAAATTTTGAAATGGCTACATGTAACCATAAGTTCTATGCTAACAGTTTTCTCTGTCACACTTCTCGCTTATGGGACTCTCTTCCAGCTTCTTGCTTCCCAGTCAGCATTGATCTTCAAAAATGTAAATGCAAAGTCAATTGTTATCATCTGTTTTCTTAATTCTTGTTCTTTTATTGTCTTCTCTCCTTAAAAGTAGCTTTTCTCATATTCTCTTACACTCAGTAACCTCCTTGTGTCCTAGTGGCTTTATTACCTTGCTTGGAGTGAAATGATTAAAAAAAAAAAGCAAGTTTCAAAGATGAGTGTGACACTATTTGACACTGGTAAATGGAAAGAAAGGGGTTAACTCAAAAATATAGCTCGGAATGAAGTGAGAAGGGTTAATGAATAGAACGATGGATAGACTGAGAGAAAGAAGGAAGATTTCTCTTTTCCAAAAGAGAAAATCTTAATTTTTAAAGGAACTAGAAAACCTTACTTGAAGAAAAGTGATATTACCACAAGGAAGCCATGAAGTAATCTTTAAGCTGACAGCTGATTAATGAGGCAGCTTAAGAAAGCACTGGATATGAAAACAGAATATAAGTGGGACAGATAAGATTTGATCTGTAACCAAATCAGTGGAATAGACTTTCATTGTGTAATCTAGGGTGCTTGGAGTACAATGACACTGGCAGGGTTGTGGGGGGGGCTAGAGGAACAATCTGGTAAATTTCTGATTTTCAAGAAAAAACCAGGCTGAGAAAATTTTCCTAATGAGAAAATCCAAATGATAATTTCAATTAATGACCATAAGTTAAGCCATACCAAGCGGTCAAGAGCCAGATTAGTTGAAGGGTTGCCAAGGTGGGAGACACAGGTGAAATATCAAGGTAGAGGAATTGCCCACGCCCATTGGGAAGGGTTGGTGAAAGGTGCCAAAATGAGAAGGAAAGAGGTGGGAGCAGATCGATATCCTGTGACCACTCCTCATGGAAGAGGGAATCTCCCCAGAATTGGCCATGTAATTAATCCCCCACTCCGGAGCTAGACAACAATGGGCTCTTGTTGACAGTTAGGGGAATCCCCTGAACCCCAGACAGCATCATACCTCATGCCACTTTTAGGCGTAGGTCCATATAAACAGAAAATCGAGACAGTTGTTCCAGACACCAGATGAGAGACGACTGCTTACCTGATCTCACGTGACTTTCTGCCTTACAGAAACTTCTGACAAAGCCTTGTGCCAGAAGCCTTGTGTGGACTTAGCTAAACCAACTGAAGTGTCATGTTTAATTTATGTAGCGGGAAGGGTTGATATATTTTCTGCATAAAGAACTAATAATTTTTAATATCAAGAATTAACCAAATCCTGCACAAAGTTTGTATATATCAAGACATTTTCTTTTACTCAAATTATTTTTTTTAATTGTAACTTCAATCTGCCCAGACCAACCCAATACAACAATTCCAATCATCAATTTGATCTTTGCCAGCCTTATGATCAAAGGCTTAGATCGAAGCAGTCAACTCATTGATCAGCTGCGAGGATTGGACATTAGACAAACTGGCCAAAAAGAAAACTACAGAGGAATTATCATTATTATACACTGATCACTTCAGACTAGTGTCTGCATTTTTGCTGTTACATCCAGAATGACTTGAGTGCCGTAACCTCCAGTCTTCTCCTGATGACTGTTACATTTCTATTATTACATTCCATTTGGGACCACTCTTTCAGATAAGTATTTAGTGACCTGCAGGGAATTTCAAACTGAAATTATTCATATTCTGCCCTTTGAGCTAATATCATCATCAGAGATGTTTCGACTGAAAATCAATGTGATTTTTCATCTTCAGCATGTCCTTCTGCTTCAACACCCAAACAAGCCAATATGTAGTTTATACAGCAACTAGTTGAGCATACCTTAATTAGAGTTCAAGTATGTGGACTATCAGGGCCACATTTCGAATTCAGAGTTGTCTATGGCTAGAGAGTTCAGTATGCTCTGTTATTTAATCAATAGCTTGGGGGAGAAGAGATGGTGGCATAGTTTTTATCAAGGGTATTTATGCAAAAGTAAATGATATCAATTAAACTGGAATTCAAACTTGGCACACTGATTTCTTGTTCTATGTCTCAAACCATTAAACCAACTGCATATCTGAGAAGATATAGCAGTCAATTCTTTGTTGATTTCTATTCATGATATCACATTTTGATATCAACTCATGATATCACATTTTGCCTTAACACCCCACCCCACTGAATAAGAATATATAATTTTTATTTTGTAATCAGTTCAGGCTTTTGACCAGTACTTGTATTGCTTGATTTTTTTTTCTTTAACAAGAATAGGTATTCAAGTTACTTAAAAGGTTGCTTAAAACTTTTGTGTTTTGGTCTAATAAATAGAGAAAAAAAGAAGAGATTTCAATCTAAGTGAATTAATAGAATTCTTGAATACAGTAGTACAAGAACTTACAAGATTGGGTCATGTGTTTTATTGAGGGACAATTGTAGACCTTCCTGATCTTGTTTGTTTTGTAATTGGAGAATTCAATTAGTGATTCTTCCAAGTCTTTATATCTTACAGACATCAATCATTGTTATTCCTTAATTAGTGGTTCAGTCTATATTATGTTTGTAAATATATTTTTTGTTTCCTCACTGCTTTCGGCTTTTCTGTTTGTTCTGTTGTAAGTGTTTCCCCTTTACAGAAAAAAGTTGTTTATAATTGTTAAATTATTACATTATAAAGAATTACAAGACACAAGCTGTAGTTTGTCAGGCAATAAGTTGCAACCCAACAAAGTCTAAGAAAAGGTAAGGCTGCAATTTTTCACTCTTTATAACACTTGTTACCCGTTTTGTAAGTCAAGTTTATTTTTTCGTTTTCTGTTATCCATGGTAATTTGAAGAAGTAGAAAATGAAGTATTTAGTAACATTTATGACTTAATTTTACTTTTGTCTTTTTTAGTTGATTAAGGTACATTCAAATTTGAGATGTTTATTAAAATAACATGTGAGTACAGTTGCTTATTAAAATAACATTTGAGTACAGTGGCTTATTAAAATAACATTTAAGTAGTGGCTTATTAAAATAACATGCGAGTACAGTGGCTTATTAAAATAACATGCGAGTACAGTGGCTTATTAAAATAACATTTGGGTACAGTGGCTTATTAAAATAGCATTTGGGTACAGTTGCTTATTAAAATAGCATTTGGGTACAGTTGCTTATCAAAATAACATTTGAGTACAGTTGCTTAATAATACATTTGCATACAGTTAATAAAGCAACAACATTTGATTTGTTGGTTGATTTTGTTTAGCAGCATATCAACTTCTATGGGTAACTAATTGCCAAAATCTAAATATTTTGTCCATAATTTAATACTTTCAGGGTAAAGGTATATTTTTTAGATATATACTTTGTAGATAATAAAATGTATTGCAGGGGAAAAGTGCAAACAGGTAAGGGGTACAAAGTACAGTTGGTTTTAGTAGAGTGCATATCTTAGTACAATAAATTTTCATCCATTTTATTTGGAAAAATTAAAAGTTTTATTATTTAACATACAAAATACTCCCACTATTTTAAAAAGAATTTAATGATTAAAATAACAAATCCTTATTTAATAAAAATGCAATATTGTTTTTTGCGTATCTTTTCTTTAAGTTTATTTTCTTTGGAGAGATACAATTTTTTTTTCCCCCTATAATTTTCTTTTATTTTCCCCCATATTAAATCAATGATTTTAACATTTTTGCAAATTGGCCCCAAACCAAGGATAAATAAAACTAAGGTTGAGGATTACACAGATGATGACAGTCTACTGTACTGTCTTTAACTAGAAGCATGCTGAAGGGGACTTTGTTCATTAAGCACAGTAACTCCAATTAGTGAACAATATGTTTGTTTGAATTTCCCAATTGTGTTGTTATATCCTGCTATGGCAACAGTGAAAATAGCATTGACTGAAATCAAGAACTACTGCAGATGAGGGTTAGCCATATACAGTGGAAAGGGAAGTAATATTAATGAATGATGTAGAATGCTAAAGAAAATAAAGACGCTTTTTATGGCATAAAATAAAAGTAAATTTGTGTTTCTTCTCTTGCAGTTACTTGGAACTATTGTACGTTTTAGCTCAGGCCATGCTGTAATATTCTTTTTTTGAGATTCAGCAGGCTTTCAAAAAATTTGTCCTCCTTTCTTGAAGATGTTTGCCTCCCACAAAGATGCACAAACTATTTTCACAAGCTTTGTTTGCACAAAGACACACAAATTATTTGATAAGTCTTACTCTCATAAAGATGTACAAATTATTTTGACAAATAAAGAAATGCAGTAAAAAGAGAAAAAAAAAAAAAAGAACTCACTTTTAGGAATTGTAACATCTTTAAAAATATGACGCCGGTGTCTTTTATGGCCAGAATAAGTCCCAGATGGATCCAACATCAAAGAAAAACTGTTGGTCTTTTTCACTCCTTCATACTGAAAAGAATAAATAGTTTCTGTCTGAATTTCTTGGGTGAAGAGATATCATTATTTACATTATTTGCGAATGGACTATTGTTGCATTCTTTCTCTCATCTTGTCCGACCTGGAGATTGTTAAATGTTTTGGGTCCAGAGCTGAAAAGACTTTAACACAGAATTTTAACTTAACTATTTTATTAATGTCAAACATGTACTAACTATCCAATGGGGATCATTCACCCTCATTTCAATCACTAAAGTTAAGCAATGTTGAGCCTCGTCAGTGACTGCTTGGAAATACCAGGTGATGTAAGCTTGAATGTGCAAGTGATATGATGGAAAATGGCTTGGAATTGGAAATTAGAGATCCAAGTTCAAATTCTAGTTGGGTTTGTTATATTCACTTATGTGCAAATATCCTTGGAAAAGGTATGAATCCACCACTTCTCCCCTCTAGCTAGAACTTGCACAAAATTTAATTTTTTTCTTTTCAGATAATCCAGAGAACCCATAATGGCCAATAATTTAAATACTCATGCAAGAAAATGTCTGTTAAAAGATAATTGGAAGTCTCAAAATATGGAAATTGTTAGAACAAAATGGCTTGAAACATTTGAGACTTAAGCCCCAAAGAAACAAACCATTTACCACAATTGTAACAAATTTGATGCCATTGGCTCAATTGTTAATTCTCAATTCTTAATGCTCTAAAAACTGGTTGACCCAAAACAGTTTTCAAAGAGGATGATAAACAACTTGTTGCTGAAACATTTTTTCACAGTCCCAAAAAGTATACCAGAAGAGCCCAAGCAGAATTGGATATTTCACAAACCTCTATTATATGAATTCTGAAATCTATTGGGTTGAAAGGTTATTGTCCACGGCTAAATGGAGGATGACCCAGACAGGTAACCACAATTTAGTGAGATCATGCTGAATGAAAATAAAGAAAATCGAATAATGGTGGAGTAGTGGATAGCGGCTCGGATTGAGGAATCAAAGAGCTGAGTTCAAATTCCAGTCGAATCCATTACATTCACTTATGTGCTAATACCCTCTTCTTCTCCCTCCAGCTATGGGTAAATAGAAGGACAGACTGGGTTCTATAGCCTTGGATGGCAACTGGTCTAGGACAACTCTGAATTCAAAACCTGCAGAGGGTCATTTGGGGACCTTGTGGCTTGTACTGCACCAGGTTTCTGTATTCAGCCCTTCAAAAAAATGTGGTTGGTTCTGTACAAAGCCTTCATCACTATAATCAAATCACATGTGCTGGTGTCCAGGCTGTCGGTTTCTATGAACTGAGCTGCTTGACCCTCATATGTCAAATACAATGGGAGAGTCCACATATATATATATATATATATATATATATATATATATATAAAAAAAAATGATATATATTTTTATATATCAACAACAATATTAGAGAAAATGTAAGACAAAGTGGAAGAAGTTTTCTTGTGACATATTTCATTCTTTAGGACTGCAGTAGACTAAATTTGTTACATTGGTATCACTAGACATGTATGAGGAGGCACGGTGGAGTAATGGATAGCGGCTCGGATTGAGGAATCGGAGAGCCGAATTTGAATTCCAGTTGAATCCATTACATTCACTTACGTGCTAATACGCTTGGGAAAGGTGTGAATCCTCTTCTTCTCCCTCCTTATCAATTTTTGATCATCTAGTTTTAAAGATCATCTGAAAACATGTACAGAAATACCTAATTTCTGCAGAATTTTGCTTCTAAACTGACTTCAAAAGTTGATATCTTTTGTATTATATACAATGAATGGAAAATATATTCAAACCAGAATCACCACAAGCAAAATATGCAATTTTTTTACAGTATTCAATAAATAAAAACCGAGCAAAAGAATTGGAAAAGATTACAAAAAAGGAAACTCAATGAATAAGATCTTACACCATTTGTTAGGTCATAATTAATAAAACCAAAAAATAAATAAAAGTGTATATAACACCATAATACTACTGGGCACAAATTATAAGACAAAATGTTTTAAATTTGCATTGTTTATTGAAAATTGCAATAAAACTACTGTACTGTATATTACATCATAATATAGCTAAATTGTTCTGTATAATTTTCCTTTGAATTAAATAAAGGTTTTATTTGATAGCACAATAATTTAGTAATAATGTTCTTGTGCCATGCATTCTGTCCATATACAATTTGCAAAGTTTGAGTAAATTATAAATTTTATAAGACTCTACTATAAATTCCAATGCTATAATTTTGAACCTAAACTTAATCTTCAAACTAGTTTCCTCAAAAACAGTAAGGACTTGGAAAAAAATATTCTATGTCATTATTTATCATGTTGAACGACAAGTTTCAAATTGAGTGCAATACCACAGTTACAAAATTGGCCTGCCCTAATATATATATATATATATATATATATATATATAGCCTTAAAACGCTCCTGACAGACAGGCTTAATCACAAATTTAACATAGATAGAATTAATATATAATCACAAATCAGGACCTACCCACACAAGACACATGCTTGCGGAGGTGCTGAGGCCTCACACTTATACACACACTCATACTAATATACACACTTATACACATCATACTCACTCACTCCCTAAGAACAAATAACACACACACTTAACAGAGACACATCCCAGGAACCAATAAAACTGTCAAAATGACCAAGGGAATTCAGAACAGCATGAATCTATCCAGCTCTTATCTCAAATAACAACTTAAAAGAGACAGTTTGGCCAACATAAGGACTGACCAAAATTCATGTTAAAAAAAAATAAAAAACAAATGAAAACTACAGACAAAAGTTAATTTTCTTCATCAAGTCATTCATTTCTGTAGTTCACTTCTACTAATAAGTAGAATTTTTTTTCTCCTGATGATGGCCATGTTGGCCGAAACTAGTTGAGGAATCTAACTGAAATAAAAAAAAAAAAATGAAAGAATATTAATATACAACCCAGTGTGTCTGAAGATTTTAATTTTTTAATATTTTTTATTGTTCAGAACACACACACACACACACACACACACTTAGATAGAAATGCTAATTATTTTTTGGATGTTCATTTCTCATAGAAATATACTTTTCTTGATGGTTAGTCTGACTGAGGCTTCTTTGCAATGTAGGATTGTTTCTTCATGGTCTATCCAGCCCTTCTGGATTATTTAAAACTGAAACATATTCTCAGATTGTAGAAAGTTACTTACAGTAACCAGTATTCCCAAGCCTCCCCACCCCCTCCAAGTATGAACTGGATTTAATACAGAGGGTTAAATGAAAATGAAGATCACTGCTGATGGCTTTTGAGATGAGCATGCTAACCACTTCCCATAAGACTATGGTGGAATAAGCACCTGAAGGAGTAAAGCAAAAAAAAGAAAATAAAAGCAGGTATTTATTCCTTTATCTTTGAGGCAAGAAGAAACACGTTACCTTGACATGGAGCACTTTCTCAATAATTTCCAGAGTGTTACTCTCCACTTCATAAACTTCGATATGGATGGTGAAATTGCCGGCTTTAAGAGGAACAATGACCACTCCTGCCACCCCAATGTCCTTGGCAGGAATAGACAGTTTAACTGGGAAAGGTTTACCAGGGGCAGCATGTGAGCAGATCTCTTTGGTTTCATGAAAATTAACTTTAACCTAGAAACCAAGAACAAAATACACAGTTCAAAGTTCAAATGCAGAATATTGAAAATATTTGGAGGCATAAATTAAATTCATTTTCTGAAGAAACAGTGGAAAACTATTGCATGTAAAATGGTGATTTTCTAAATGCAACTTAGATGTGGCACAAGGCCAAAAGTATTGAACTCCCTATTCAGTTGGAATGGTTCTAGTGAGACAAGCGTGCTAACCATTACACCATGTCAAGTTGCCCATATTGTATGTCAAATGATACTTAACATTATGTTAGTAACAGCCAATAGAAATTGTGACAAATTGCCTGAGGCTAAATAAACATAATGCTTTTGTGTGTAGACAGCCATTTGCAATGAGAAAAGGTGTGCATGAGCAAGCACAATGTATATAATAATGAGTTTGATATGCATTTATGTGTGCAAATCACTCTTTGGAGTGGTTTGTAACACATTATTTATCATCTCTCAGTTGCGTCTCTGTCCTTGGTCAGAGTGCACTCAGGGGCAACTCCGTCAAAGGACAGAGTTGGAACTGAGGAAAATTATACTGAGAGGTGCCCAGCCCTGGGGAACAGCTGCCTGAGGCTGCACCCTCTCAGTGCACCAGAGAGAGCGATCAGTGCTTACACCAAGGCCAGAACAATCAATTGAATTTAATTTATGCCTCCAATTGTCGCGGGGGCTGTGGGCAATTTTTGTTCTTGGCCTGGGTGTATGTGCTCGGGTCCCCACTTTAAAAAAAAGACCTTGTGTCACAACTTGCCTTAGTGGGGAGACAGAGTAACTACCTAATACCATTGGTTGATGAATATTCATGAGTTTGGTATGTATTTAAGGATTCATTTGAAGAAGCAAGCTATTTCCTGCTAGAAACTCTTGACAGAAGATTGTGATTTATTTTTCTGTTTCTCTCTGTGTTCACCACCATATGTAAAATCATTTTCTATTTATTTCTGGAATCTATCAAATTAATGTTGCCTGTGAAGGTATATTACTTTCAGAGCTTTGAATTTTTTAATCTTCTTTATATCCCCACCACCCCCTTGGAGATTTATATAATTTCCTGTCATTTGGTTGTCTTGTATGTGTATATTCTAAGCTTGACTTGGTTGAATTCCTGTTTGTATTGGTACAACCACCCACATCATTTGAGGCCCTATTCTGCACTTGGTGAATACAAGATCACCTTCTCAGTCAACCCACTGAGGCACCAAGTTCTTTAGATGGGACACCAAGTTCAAAGTATAGTTTGATATCTGTTATAGGGAGACCAGTACGTATTAGGGTCACCACAAGTCAACACCTTCAAAGGTTAATGGGTAATATTAAATAAAATAGCGACCTCTGATATTTCATATTATATCATATATAATGACATAATGGCATATCAACTCATTATGAGTCATTTAATACTGAAATCTGAGAGCTTTGAAGTAATAAAAATATGTTATATGTTATTCTGCTTTCACAATTGAATACATGGTAGATAATACTCAGCTTTTGTGCATATACATGTTTGTGTGGACATAATTACTAGAGGCGGTGATATGTGTATATTATGTTGTAGTTTTGTTGAAGTTATATTTTGGTTTGGTTTGGTTTGGTTTATTTTGTTTTATGGCATATCAACCTCAATGGGTTATTTAATGCCGACAACATTTTTTAGGATAGATTCGTATGAATAGAGTATGTATTCTTTGGTTTAGATTGGTTTGGTTTATTTTGTTTTATGGCATATCAACCTCAATGGGTTATTTAATGTTGACAAAAATTTTTATTGCTGGTAATAATTTTTTTCAAAAAAGGTATTGCTGGTAATAGTTAACTATTTGCCCATAGCCGGGACCCTAGCAGGTGCCACCACCCTGGGTCAGGGTGGACCTGGGAACACCAGCAATTAAGAGGTGGTTCCACGCTCCTCAAAACCTCCTGATCAGAGGCCTTGCTGCTGGACATAGTTTAACGTCTTACCCAGGACGCAGATGTAGTTTAACGTCTTACCCAGGACATGGATGTAGCTTAACGTCTTACCCAGGATGTATATTTTGGAATACAGTTTGATTTCTTTTGAAATAAAACTAATTAAGACATGCGTGTCCGTCAACCTTAAACAATAATCTTTGTCAATTTTATTTTTCAGTCTTTATGATGGTCGATACTTGATCTATCTTTTACTTTTACATCCCTGGGCAACGCCGGGCTCTACTGCTAGTACCATATAAATGATTTACAATGAAATGATATTTCAATTGATGTTTTTTATGGAAATTCACAAACAACATACGAAGTACTCTCTAAACATATCTAGACAAAAAACTTTAAGGAAAACAAAAAAAAAACCAGTAAACTTGGACCTTTGTGCTGGAAATGAAAATAGAGTATATAAAAGATAGATTTTCCACCATTTATTTATTATTTTGCTTAACAGAATGGCAATTAGCCAGTGTTTTGCCAATCAATGGACTTGAACTTTATAAAATGGTAAATAATAAGGATTTCCTTATAATTGATTCACATATTTTAATAATTAAGTAAATATCTATAAATTTATGAATAAAAAATAGTTTTCATTTTTATTTCTTTATAAATTCATAAATGATAAATATTGCATTGCATTAATTTTAATTGTATTCGTCTTTAGAAGGTTGTAAATAATAAATTATTCTTGTAAATAAACAATCTAATAAATAAATAGTGATTAATATTTTTGTTATAAATTCTCCAGAACAAAAAAGGAAAATGTATAACTTTACTTTCCTATGTTTAGGTTTTATTCCAATTCTAATCATTGCTTTTTAAAACAATAAACATTGTCAAGGAGTGAAGGTAGTTAACCATGGTATCAATGGAAAAAAGTGTCTTTTTGAGAATACATTTTTTTAGCAAGCGCAAAGGTCCAAGTTTGACCCCCAAAACCAAAATCCTTACATTAATTGGGTGAGTCTTGTAGTTGTAGACAACAGCCTTGATATAAATTTGTTCCAGTCTTTTCACAACACGTGGGAAATTCAGTTTTGTGATGACGTTCTTAAAAGTAGTCAGGCTGATCGGTTTTGACACACAGAATGGACTTGTGTCTGAAAGGCTCATTCCCTGGATGTGCCAAGTAGTTAGAGAATCTGGTAATGTGAAGTTCAATTTGTGCAAACCAGAGGGACTAGAAGGAACACAGAAAAAAAAAAAACGTGTGATAGCAACTGAAATGGTGAGGTCATCAGATGTTAGTCCTCAAGAGAAAAGGGAGATTTTTAAGAAGTATCAATTAAACCATATAATAATTATCAATGTGTATTTATATATTTCCTGTCCCATTTGAGGCTAAAATGTACTCTTGCTATTTCATGATGTAAATTACCGTATCAGTTTGAGACAAAAGGTTTTGCACATTGGAAAAGCTTCTCCCCCATGATGTATTATATTTCTCTCTTATGTTTTTGGCAATCTGATTTTTTTTTTTCAACAGGAATTAAATTTTCAAATCAAAATTAAAATCAAAAAAGAATCAGTAATATTATTGGTCCTAACCTGGCATCTCGGTTTCAGTCACTTTCCCATCACCGTAAATTTGCTTCCCTGTGCCTTTTTCTATAAATACTTTCATGGTAATTGTTCGGATGTGCTCTTTGCTATGGTAACTAGAATTTAAGTGCAGTTTGGGAAAGGCATGAATCATCTTTTTCTCCCCCCAGCTATGGATAAATAGCAGGACAAACCAGGTTCTATAGCCTTGGATGGCAACTGGTCTACCACAGAAAGAAATGGCAACCTACTGCGGGAAAAAAAATCTGCCTCATCAGTCATATATCAAAAGATACATGATTGCCTACATATGTATCATGCATGGCACATAACTGACTGACTAGATTGACAAGTTCTCGGCATTTTACAGTTGAATTAGCTAGATGTAACTGTAGGTTCTGTGCTAACAATTTTTCTCACACTTCTCACTTGTGGAACTCTCTTCTCGCTCCATATTTTCCAGCCAACTTTGACCTTCAAAAATTTAAATAAAATGCCAATCGTTATCTACTGTCTTCCTGATTACTCTTCTATTGTTCTTGCTCCTTAATAATGTTTCTGTTTTCTAATTTTCTCACACTCAGTAACCCCTCATGTCTCAGTGGATTTTACTGCATTGCATGGGGTGAATTTGATTAAAATGAATAAAACATTGTCTGTATTTTACAAGTTTCCATAAAATTACTCCAAGTAGTAGTTAAAGTACAATATCCAACAAACAAAAGACAAATAAGGAAAAATTTTTATGACATATATTACGAAGTTATGATAAAATATAAGCTGTACAAGGCCCAAGAGCCACTCGAGGTAGAAGGTTACATAAGGGAAAAGCTTTAGAAGGAACTGGAAACACAATCTTAAACAGGAAATAGGGAGCATGCCAGTGTGATACTATTGCAAAGGTGCTAGTAAATTGAAAAAAAAACTAGAAGACAGAAAAAAAAAAAAAATTTTCAATAGACTGAAGATATACTGATGACCAGACAAAGGAAAATAGAAAAAGAATGGTAATTAAATTTTTTCTTCTGCCGGACATGTAAAACAAAGAGTCCATCTGGTTTTGATCAGAACTGATATTAAGTGATGGCATATTCTTGGAGGTTCAAGGACCTCCTGGAAAGAAATAGATAATATTTTTGCAATCACTGAGTGATGGAGAGGAAGATAGACCTCTGACTGCAAATTCAGTCGATTGATAAGGATTAACTTTTAAAAGCAGACAGGTTTCCTAAAGAAAATAGGAAAAGAATGGTAATTAAATTTGACATCTGCTGAAACATGATAAATTTTCCCAAATCAATGGATTGTCCCCCTTTTTTTTAATTTTTTTTCCACTTATTGGCCAAAGGGTTGACAAGAGGATAAAAAAAAAATGATAATTCGCAAATGCGAAAATGACCACACACAAAAGCACGATAAGAAAGAATTTTGAACAATAATTAAATTTTGGCCATTTGGGCTAGACCATGCTTAGCCCTTGGGGATGTGTTTGGTCAGGTGACCAAAAAGGAAAAGGGCCAAGTAGAATTTCAAAGAAGACAGAGGACTTTCCATACTCCTCAGGCAGTGATTACAAGACACACACACACAAAGCAGGAAGGAGACAGGTTGAATTAGGTGACCAAACGAAGGAAAAGGTCCTGGTAGAATTCCAAAGGGGGAGGAGGGGCTCCCCCATATTTGGACATTTGCAGGGAGAGCCCTGATTGTTTGTTTGGGGAACACTGGCATTCCCAGGGCACATCATGTCCCACCCCAGCCCATGCACAGAGGTCCATAAAAAACAAAATGCCAAGTAGATGCGGATGGTAGACACTGCGGAGACAAGACTGAAAAGAGAGATGAGAACCACTGCTTTGCCTGATCTGATGTGATTCACTGCCCTGAAGAAAAACCTTTGACTTAAAGCCTTGTTCCAGAAGTTTCATTCAAAACCATAACAGCAAATGATGTGTCACGATAATCCAGAAAGGTTAACAGTTATTGCATGGAGAATATAGGCCTGCTTAAGCCATCAATAACTGTATTATTGACTTTGTATCAAGGAATTGTATATAAATACTTTTTTTTTTCTTTTATGCAATTTATCTTTACTCTAACTGAACTAAACCAAGTCATCAATTCCAGTTGACCATTCAGACTAGGCCAGGCTTGTAATCAATTAACACAACATGGACAAGACTTGGGCCAAAGTGATCAACTCCATGATCATCTGAGAACATTGAGCTTGAACACAGAGTGGCTAGAGTAGATGTCATACCAGTACAACCAGGCAACAATGCTATAACAATACAGCAGTGAAAGTTGATATTTTTTTTCAATGATATTCACCCTGTACAAGGCCCAAGAGCCACTTGAGGTAGAAGGTTACATAAGGGAAAAGCTTTAAAAGGAACTGGAAACCTAATCCTAAACAGGAAATAGAAAGCATGCTAGTACAATCAGTTAACAATACTATAACAATACAGCAGTGAAAGTTTTTATTATTTTTTTGTTTTTTACAATGATATTCACCCTGTACAAGGCCCAAGAGCCACTCGAGGCATGAACCAGAAACCCAATCCTAAACAGGAAACAAGGTATTAACCTCCACTCCTGTTCAAAGGACCAGGGAATAGTACGAACCAGACGATAGGCAAACATAATAGCAAAAATGAATAAAAGCAGAAAGGAAGCCAAGAAAGAAAAGAGAATCAAAAATCAGCCACTGACTTGAGTCTATATTCCTGAAACAGTTCCGATTCAGGAAAATAAAGGCTGAAAATTGGGGAAATGGATTTAGCATCTTGTCGAAGACGGGCAGATGGTGTTCTTTCATTCTCCGACTCGTCCACTGGAAAGAAGAAGAAAAAAGTTAAGTGATAATAATTCAACACATTCAAATGTATCTATCGTGAAAACAGCACTCAACAAGAAACAGCTCAGCAGATGTCTGCTTTCCATCTCACTACAAACTGAGGAAAGATTTGCAAAGCATTCTGGGAGAAGTAAAGATGAGCTTATCAGTGATGTTTTGTTGTGGACACCAAAACATGAAGACACTAGCATTCATTACTCATTCAAAACATTCTTTCAACAAATATATTAAGGGACAGGATGCCAACCAGAAGACATACCAGGCAAAATGGATAATTATGAAGACTGGAGTGAAAGAGTTTGTGTAGATCCATGGAATTGCCAGGGTTCTTTAAAACAAGTTAGAATAAAGAAACTGGTATGAAAATGAATTAAATTCATTTCTCTTCACAACTATGAGGGTTGATTTAGAAGTAAGGTCCTCAAACCCACAAAATAAGATCAGAAAAATGAAACTGGTATAAAAATGAATTAAGTTTATTTCTCTTCAAATCTACAAGGGTTGATTGAGTAACAAGGTTGCCAAACCCATAAAGCAAGTTTCAGACCAGATTGAAAAATGAAACTGGTATCAAAATGATGGAAATTTATTTCTCTTTAACATTATGAGGATTGAGAAATAAGATCTTGAATACTATAAAAAAAGTTTGAGAGCAAACCTCTATTTGCCGTACATGACATTGGCGATCATGGCTCTCCAGAATTTCCTGTCATTTGTAGCTTTTAGTAAATTTTCTCTTTTTGATATCTCTCCTAAACCCTGTTCTACCAGCCACTTATACAATCTCATTAGATTATGCATTGTTTTCCTCTGCTCATCTTGCCTTCAATCTGTCCTGTGAGTGTCAAATTTTCAAATCCTTCTTTTCTCATTATTTGCCCTAGAAATATCATCTCTCTCTCTCTCTTCCTGATGTTAAGTTTACTTTTTGTTTCCATTTTCTCTAAAACTTTGACATTGCTCACATGTTCAATCCATGCTATCCTCAGCATCCTCCTGTAGAACCACATTTATCTTCTTCATCTGTGATGAGATCATTCAGCATTCACTGCCACATAGGAGTTACATAACAGTGTTGACCATGTTTGCCGTAGTCTCTGAATATGGAATCCAGTGAAGTCCGTAATCTCTTCAATATCAGAGGTTGGCAATGTAGATTCGGAGAAAGTAGCAGCTGCTAATTCTTTAAGTCTTCAATATCAGGTTGGCAGTAGGGATATTTTGGGAGAAAAAACAAAATGGCTGCCTTTCTACACATCGCATTGAATATTTTGAGCTCTCTGATTGGTTAACCCTTCTATTGGTGAACTATAAAATGAGTCAGCTCATTTTGACTGGCTCACTAGTACATATATCCAAAAAACTGTAACAAACAGTTCAGCACTCTTCTTTGTTGCTAATGAAATTTTCCTGTTTCTTAATATTTTGCTTAGCTTTTGGAAGTCATCTTTCCTGTTATATGAAAACTGTCTTCAAACAAGATAGCTGACTAAAAAAACAAAAACATTTGTAAATGTTAATATTAGATGTTTCCCTATAAGGAAACATTTGGTATTCATTGAACCAGCAACCAATACTGTTTTCAGTTGATATTTATAAAAAATCTTTATCATAAAATCCCTTTTTTCTAGGAAAATAGTCTTCTCAAGTCCAGTAGCTATTATCACTCTCTCTAATATTGATGGGGAGTTTCCTTACTGACCTTTCGTTTGAAGTAGTGTGGAATGTCAACATCTTAATTATGTCATTATTTTCTCTTCTCAAGTCCAGTAGCTGTTATCACTCTTTCCAGTATTGATGGAGGTTTCCATCCTAACCTTTTGTTTGAATTAGTGTGGAATGTCAACATCTTGATCATGTCATCATTCCCTCTTCGAATCATATGTGCTATCCATTCCAGCTACTGTTGCCATTGGTAGTCCCCAAGTGATGTGCTTTCTTTTGTTTGTTACAGTTCTTTGTAATTCTGTAGAGCCATTCCATGATCTTCAAAGAAGGTATTATGTTTTGGTCTAAATCTATTTTTTGGTTTCATTGTTTTTGTTTAGTGGCACATCAACCTATATGGGCTACCCAATTCTGAAATCTAAATACAAAAATTCAAACTTTACAATTAATTCGAGAGAATGAAACCATTTCATGACCAAATTCCAATTACTTAGTTGCATTTTTTTTGTACCAAACATCCCCACAAAATTAAACAAGGAGTGAAAACTTTACAAGAAATGAAACCAATCATAGAAAATTGTTTTTTTTTTCTGACAATGCATGTCATGTCTTCAGTTTTACTATAAAAATGTATTGTTGCCTATAGCTGAGACCCTAACAGATGCTACCACCCCAGGTCAGTGTACACCTAGGAAGAACAGCATTTAAAAGGTGGTTCCATGCTGCTCAAAACCTTCAGTTTTCAAATCAGAGACCTTGCTGCCAGATGCAGTTTATCGTCATACCCAGGATGAACAAAACAGCAGAATTACAGTGAAGAATCCAAGCATTGGAAATGAGATCCTTGGTATCTCCTACAAAGAGTACATCACAAATGATGTTATCACAATGTTTCATCTGTTTTACTCTCCGGTCTTCTTCAGGTGTATATAGATCTGGGTAACCTACAGGGAATTCTGAAATGAAGCCTTTATTTAATCTATAGGGGTAGACTGTTCTCATTCCACTGCCCACATCTAGAGATATCTTGTCTAGTTCATATTTTTTTAGTACATCTCTTGCCGGTTTCCACTGAATACGACTACACACTGCCCAACCCAGGGATTGAACTCACAACCACTATAGCACAGATATTATTTATTACTTAATTATTATTATTGATCCCCTTTGAGGATCACAGCATCAGAGTACACAAGATCACAAGATATTAATGGTCTAGCTGGCAAAGAAAAGGAACTTTGGAAAGACAAGACATCTGCCTAAAATCAAAGATCAGATTGTTGTGTACTTTGGCCTCATCATCAGACAAGAAACGGGAAAACCACATGCACAGCTGTGAGTAAATCCTACCTTCTCCAGAGGTTATAACTTTTCTAGTCGGAGGCAATTCTGGAGCTGGATTGCAACATTGCATAAAAGCAGATCGGCAAAATTCTGTTTTTCGGTAGTAGCTGAACTCTTGCCAGGCAACTTTACAGTTGTGGCCACGACGGTATCTGCCACTTATACAGCAAAAATCTGTCAAAAACAATAAAAAAAAATAAAGCAGAACAAAAATAAGCAATTGTAAAAAATAAAAAAAGAAAAACGAAGCAGATTTTTAAACTCATTAAATTTGTGGCCTTGAGCCAGACTAACTTCATTATATGTCAGGCTCTCTTAAACTTTGTACATTCTTAAAAGAGGCAGATATATTTATTAATATTAATTGTTATCTGACAAATGCTTGAAAATTGAGGACTTTTTTTATCCACAACCAGACATTTCCTTTTATAAAAATTATAAACAAAAAACGAGATATTTTTTTTTTAATGAACTTTAGGGCATATTTCAGTAATTAAAGCCTTAGGGACAAAGATCATCCTTCTTTGTGGACAGGCACTACAGAATCACAAAGAACCGCACCAAATAACAGAAACCACATCACTTGAGAACTACCAACAGCAGCAACAACTTAAATGGATAGCTCATATGGCTCAAAGAGAAAATAATAACATGATCAAGATGTTAACATGCCACACCACTTCAAATAGGGGGTTAAGGAAGGAGGCCCTTGTCAATACCGGAAAAAGCAATAACAGCTACTGAATTTGAAAATCCTCTTTTTTCTAAAACTAGTGTTTTAAAAGAAAGATTTTATAAATTTCAATCGAAAGCAGTACTGGCTGCTTGATCAATGAATTCCAAATGTTTCCTTATAGGGAAACAACTAATATTACCATTATCATTCCCTACATCTATCAAAGATTTAAACTGATTTAATGTTTTGATCAATTCATTCTTTATGGCTTATCAACCCTTTTGCGGGTTACTTCAAGCCAGAAAGTATTTTTAGATTGTAGGAATTTTTTTTTTCATTTGAGATAATAATGGTTTAGTGATACAAGTCTTACTAAGAGGGGAGGAGGTGAGTTCATACCTTTCCCAAGGGTATTTGCACATAAGTGAATATAATGAACCCAACTGGAATTGAAACTCAGCTTCCTGATTACCAATTCTGAGCCATTACCCATTACATCGTCTGCACATCCAAGCTTATAGCACCTGGTATTCCCAAGCAGTCACCCATCTAGGTACTGACCAGTCTCGACATTGCCTAACTTTGTTGATCGTACAGGAACCAGTGTTCCAATGTGATGTGGCTGTAACCTATTTGAAATAAGAGTTTTTTTAAGCTGAGTAAATGGTTGGTTGATTTTGTTTGATGGCATGTGACCCATGTGACATATCTCCACCAAACAGAGATAAGTGCCTTTTGTATTCCTACAGAATTATGGGGGTTTTAGAGTATTGTTGGTATCAGTGGCAGTAGTACAATTGAGTCCCTGGGTCATGATAGCAAAATTGGATAATCATTTTAAGAATGGTAAAGAATTACATTTGGGGGGGGGATTTTGTACTCGATCATGAACTTTATGTTCTGGTGTTGAGAACTTAAATAATTTCAAAAGGGCAGAGCCTGTTCTTTTTCTTTGAAACTACAAAAGATATCATCTACATAATTTATTAATATAAATTAACGTTTTAATTGATCCGAAATGAATTTGCTTACCAGAAGCCCTTCTGTATCGGCCAAATGATACTTCAGCTGTGATTTGTTTCAAAGAGCATAGAATATTGTTGATTTCAGTGGCAGGGGTGCGATCAAGATCCTGGGTCATGATAACAAAACCAGCATGCTGCAAACCAAAAAAAATAAAGCAGTCTAAGAAAAAGTAAGGAAACAAAACCCAAATTTACAGATTTAAATTAAATGCAAATAAAACATTACAGTGTTGAGAGAAATTAAAATTATAAGGCAAATGGTACACTGAAAGGTTCTTATACAAACATACAATTAGTCTTTTCTCAGATTTTCACAGACTAGACAATTAACCCCCATACTCTGCCTCTGTTCTCATTTGTGTCGACATGCACAAAAACTGAGAAAGGTATACTCTACATTCATAAGGGAAATGAAAGATGAAATTAATGCCACAATTAGAAATAAAAATGCAAATCCTGTTTCCCATATATTTTATCTGTTTATTCAGAGATTCAATTGCATAGTCAGGAGGGGTGGGGCAATAGGTGGGTGATAACTTCTAATTTTATCAAGACAGACTAACAGACCAGATTTTCCCTCCATCTAATAAGAATTCTGACTTTCGCCTAATACCAGTCGGCCCTCCTCTTACAATTCACACATGGGTGGCTTTAAACTACTCTTGAAATGAGCCTGTGTCAGAACTCTTCTCAAGTCTGTGACTGTTTACAGAACTTTCTTCCTTCCAGCCAAGTGGCACTTGTTCCCAAAAGCTTTCATTTACTATATATATATATATACTTGAGTATAGTGAAAGTTTTTATGATCAGTTTTTTTACACAAAATAGAATGACCATGGCTTAATTATTAAAAACGTTAGTTTGTGATTTTGGTGACATAGTGGTTGTGAGTTCAATCCATGGCTCAGGCAGTATGTACTTGTACTCAGTAGAAACAGGCAGGCAATAACTGAACACTACTAAATAGCATAAGAATTTGATAAGATGTCCATAAACATGACCAGTTGAACGAGAACAGTCTACTCCCATGGATTAAATAAAGGATTCAGTTCAAAATTCCTTGTAGATTACCCAGATTGATATACACCTTAGGAAGGCTGTAGGGCACAACTGCCAAAACATTGTGATAAAAACAATAAAGATGGGGACAATAATCCAAATATAAATAGGATACATAAAATATATATGCATTTTCGGTGACTGGTTATACGATACACAAGTAAATTTTTTCTAGAGGAGGTTTAAATTCAGGCAAAAATATTCAGAGGTTGTACTATACATAAATTTGGCTTGTATATGTACTTATATGGTATTTACTTATTTATTTCATTCTGATCAAGTGGGTGGTCACTTTGAAGATGCTACTTCATAGACTTTACTGCTGGTCAAAAAAACACAAGACAATTCATATTAAGATAAAATCATAAGACTGTTCATTTTGATGAGAACCCTGATCACAACTAGGTTCCATTGTGTTACACTTGCACCAACCAAGAAATCTTTCATTTCATCAGATTTTGGGAAGTGAGTCAGGTTGTAAACTATATGGAATATTAAGAACATATCATCTCAGACATTTAGAAAATAATATCATGGGTTGATAGATTTTATGACCTCATATGTTAGGTTTTTAATGCTAAAATCTGTTTTTTATTATACTTGAGCCTATGGGGAAATGTCAGTGGGGCATATACTTGAGCCTATGGGGAAATGTCAGTGGGGCATATACTTGAGCCTATGGGGAAATGTCAGTGGGGCATATACTTGAGCCTATGGGGAAATGTCAGTGGGGCATATACTTGAGCCTATGGGGAAATGTCAGTCAGGCTTATACTTGAGCCTATGGTGCTTCTTAGACAGAGATAAATCATTCAGACATATTTGAGTCTATGAGGAAACAGCTGAGCTTATGACTGAGGCTAGAGGGAAAATTTAGTCAAGTTTATACTAGAGTCTACAGAAAAAATTTGTTCAAGATTATACTTGAGCCAATGGCAAAAGGTTAGTTGGGGTGATACCACAGCCAGCAAGGATAACTCAGTAAATTTTAAAGGGAAATTTAGTTCAGTTTTATACTTAAGTTTATAAGGAAAATTCAGCTGGGCTTATACTTAAGCCTACAGGGAAAATTTGCTCAGGCTTATACTTGAGCCTATAGCAAAACTTCAGTTGTGGTTATACTTGAGCCTATCAGGAAAAGTCATGGTGATACTTGAACATCAGCAAGCATTCTTCCAGAAGATGGTCACTTTTTATAGGGGCTTACTTGTCTTCAAGCAATGCAGTCACTGCATTCTAACCCCCAACTACAAAATAACTATATTAAGTTAAAAATGCTTCAACAGATTTATTGCTCCATTGGTTAAACCTGACCATAGGCTCAAATGAAAGTCTGACCAATGTTTCCCCATAGGCTCAAATACAAGCCTGACTAACATTTCCCTGCAGGCTCAAATAGAAGTCTGACCAGTGTTTCTCTGTAGACTCAAATACAAGCCTGACTAACCTTTACCTGTAGGCTGAAATATGAGCTTAGAACTAAACCCTCAGTTCTCCCACCCCCTAAGATCCGCAACACCATTTACATTGTGGTGAATGGCCCTCATTCTATTTGTATTCAATTAGCAAGGAAAAAGTTTCACTCAGCTTCTTAAGAAATGTTGCTTTGTAGAACAGAATCCCAGGACGATGCCTTCTCAAATTCTTTAACCTCTTCAAGTCTAGGTTTAACCGTTATCTTTCCCATATGAACTGCTCTGCTTACCCTTATCACCCATACAACAACAACCACCTTCAGTAACCCTCTACCTTGAGTTGCCCTTGGGCCTTGTATAAAGTGAACTAAATTAAAAAATAAATAAAGCCAGGCAATGAATAAAGATGTTCATCAGAAGGAATACACAATATGACATAAGAAGTACTTGCATATCATTTGGCAAAGGTTTATATTTTAAAATTTTTATTTATTTCCCATATAAGAGTTTTTAGTTATTCTAAGTCTTTATTAATCAATTATTTTCATGCAAGTTAATTATCAATTATTGACTCAGTGAAGGCCAACTATTGAATGCGTCAGCACTCACCCTAGTTTGGATGCTAACTAATAAAAAGTAAGAAGTTGTGTGCAATGGGAAATGAAGCAAAACAACATGTGGTCAGATTAATGATCACATGACCATTTTTGTTATTTACACGTTTTTATGCATCTGTAAATTTTTAAACCAGGGAGAAGGCAATGGCAAATTCCCACAAGCATAATGATGACAATGCAGATTTTACATGTATGTAAAAAAAAAAAAAAAAAAAAGAAGTTGTGGAGAACCATGATCAACCACATTCTGAAGGGATATGGAACTTAAAGAGAGAGGAGTTTTATTAATAAAGATTGTTAGTCTCAATCTCTGGAATGACCGCTAAAAACATCCCCCTCCCCAAATTTATAGACAAATCCTACAGATGCATGCTGGGATTTCTCCTTGACCCATAAAAATGGACCACTTCTCAGTTTTAGCCCCCATATTTTTGTTCTTTATCTTGAAGTCAGAACACTATAATCACTTGACTGTATCCTTTTTGCATGTGAACACCATTCTTATTTTGTAAACTTTTAGCCTTATTACTGTTGCCTTGCCTAGTTTTGACTTCCATATATGTTGTTTGCTTTGTTCTTTTTCTTCCTTTTCTGACTATTTATTGGAAACTTTATCAATTCTGTTTGATGAGCCTTTCAGCCAATTACACTTAACCATGGCCAATTACTTCACAAAAATGACCCCAGCTCATGAAATGAAATAATCTGCCTTGTCAGACAAACTGGTTGAATTACTTGTTGATTAGTCAGAATTATCAAATAAAAAAAGTAAAAAAAATAAAGAGAAATATTATGTACTTACATAAAACACCTGGCCAACATGTAGCCCTCCACCAGGTGAGCAAGCAAGGTCACCTAACTTCATGGTATCTTTCACCTGGAAGAAATAAAAATGTATTTTTCATTTGCTTTATATACATAATAACAAGATCACTAACACTTAACACATCAACCAGTGAATTCCTGGAAGTAATTATGCTCAAAATGAGCAATTTTTGTAAATGAAATGCATGAAATTAAAACAGGGCAACAATAGTTCATAGATAAATAAAAGTTCAAATGACTTTCTGTTATGGGACCTTACCCATAATAACATAATGGACTATTCCATACGTAATAAATACTGTGCCTCAAGAGGAAGCTGGGAGTTCCATCTGAAGTCTCAGAGTTCCGTCTAAAGTCGGAGTGAAGTCTGTCAGAAGTCAGTCAGTCAAGTCAGAGGCAGTCCGAAACCCGAAACAGAGTCGCGTTCAGACAATTACTACTAAACCTGATTGTTCGTACTAACACTTTTCTACCTCTCTGTATATATTCCTGTTTGTAATATATCTGTATTATTCCATATCTGCCTTCAAGTTCTTCTTTATTGGTTCTACAATGGACTATCACCATGGTACAAGGAACCGGACCATAATACTTTCTATTATAAGTTCTAAAGAAATACTGTCCATCTTATCAGGGTCAAATAAATCTATTGATTTCATTGATAGATATCAGATTTATTATTTATTTTAAATAATTTATGTAAGAAAAAAGTAAATGCCAATTGCCAAAGTTAACCAAATTTTAAACCTGTTTTATGCTAATATATATATATATATATATATCACTTATTAGTGGAAACCGATATTTGAGTAGACGTTCCATTTATTTTTGTTTAAAACAGTATTTACTTTTTGTCCACTAGACTGAATATTAAAGAAAATCTTATTAATGAAAAATGTGCCCTCCAGAAGGATTTGAATAATAAGATTTATCAAATATTCAAGCTGGAAGATGAGAATAAATACTATTTAAAAAAAATTAATAAACAGAATGTCTACTCAAATATGGATATCCACTAAAAATAACATTTAAAGTAATAAAAATATGTTGGATTAATAAATAAAAATCCATTACTTCTTTATTAATAAACATACATATTATTCCTCACCACTAGCACAACTCGGAGTTTCATATACAACACAATCTTCAGGTGGACTATTTCATAATTTGAATTTTTTTTAATATATATATATATATATATATATATATATATATATATATATATATATATATGCATGGGTAATGCAATGCTAGTGTAGTTATATATTATACTGGGATTATAGTTTTTTAATTTCAAAAAATTATATTTGCCAAGTAAAATAAAATTTTTATATGTATATATAAAAAAAATTTTTTAATTTTTTATTTTTGTGTTATGAATATTCATTTTTTAATTAAAGGGAATTTACTTGTTCTTATTTACAAAAAAACAAACAGTAATTTATATTAAAAATAAACAGTAATTTACATTAAAAATAAACCATAATCTACATTAAAAATTAATCTGGATCAATGCATTTAAGCAAATATTTATTTTTATGCCTACATGTAACCATCATTTCATTTCTTTTGTTTAATAAGCTTGGGTTATTTAAGTATTTTAAGATAACCAGTTTTTCAACAAGACATAAGTTACATTTATTTCTTATTCTATTATAAAGATTTGGCTCTTGTTATAATTATCCAGTTAATAGAAGGGAAACTACCAGTATTTTTTAATTTCCAGAAATATTTATAGAGTGCAGTGCTGTTTCTGTATTTTATATTACCTAAAGTCATTCAATGATGGTAGAAATAAAATTTCCAAGAATTTTCAGTGGAACCAAAATAAAATCTAACATCATTACCAGAATATATGCTTGCTCAGTATACAAGATTATCGGTCATACATTGACCATTTAAGAGATAGATCATATTTTTTGGCAGTTGCATTTATTTTTATAAAAATTTACGTTTTCTTTGTTGGAAATATATTTGTTTAATATGATGTTTTTATGCTGGGAAATGGATTTGTTTATATTATTAATGCAGCTATAGCTGATCTTAACATTATTTTTGTTAAAAATCTTTTTTTAGTATTGGCAATTGGTTAAAGTGCTTATGAATTAAATTTAGGAAAATTCTTCTAATATTAGTATGGATATTACGGTTAAAAGATGGATTAAACAATAATGTTAAGATCAGCTGTAGCTGCGTTAATAATATAAACAAATCTATTTCCCATCATAACAACATTATATTAAACAAATATATTTCCATAGAAGACAACATGTTCCTTAAATAAGATACTTCATTAATTTACACTAGTTACATGCTGACTATTGTCCCCATCTTTGTTGTTGTTATCACAACGTTTCGGCCATTGTGCCCTCTGGCCTTCATCAGGTGTATGTCGAGCTGGGTAAACTCCAGGGAATTCCAAATACAACCCTTCCTTTATTTAAACTACAAGGGTAGACTGTTCTCATTCTACTGCTCATGTCTAGGGATATCTTGTCTAGGTCTTATTTTTAGTACTGCTCAGTTATTGTTCACTGTTTCCACTAAGCCAAAGTACATACTGCCCAGCCCAGCCCAGGGATTGAACTTATAATTACTATGTCACCAAATTCATAAATCAACACTTTAATCCACTAGATAATTCCCTAGTGCTTTTGAGCCTTGGCTAGCTACCAGTCTAGGAGATGGTCAACTCTGATTCCAAACAAGAATGGAGGCACTAAAGCAGACTTATTCTTGTTCTTTCAATCAATCAGGTTACTTCAAGGCAGCACACCTAATTTTTCTTATCCTGCAGGATTCTACTTACCAATTTCCTGGTGAGTTTGTTTTTGTCGTTTATCAAATATACTGCTTTGTCAACTGCTGAAAGACCCACAGTTGCACGAGGAGAACCCTTCAACTGAATCTCCACATTTGTCATTGGGTGATGCACTTTTTTTGCTGGTGATGTCGAGAGTTGCAACTAAGAAAAGAAAGAAAAAAAAACAAAAAAAAAGAGAGAGAAATAACCTCTCTGAGATTTCAAGGAAGTACAGCGATGAAAAAAAAAGTAAAACAAGAAATAAAAAAAAAGAACAGCACCAAAGTCAACATATTTTTATTATCAACTGAATATGTAATCTATTAATATCACAGGTAGGATTCATGAAATAATTGTCATCTTCTGATGACTTGATCCTCATTCTTCTTTTTATCCTTTCCTCAATCCCCCTATACACTAGTCTTTTCTCTTACTTTCACCCTCTTTAACCCCCTGTGTACAAGCAGCACTCCCTTGGGGTGAAATGCTTTATATATATATATATATGTATATATTTATATATATATATATATATAAAGAGAGAAAGAAAGCAAAAGAGAGAGAAAGAAAGCAAAAGAGAGAGAAAGAGAGAAAGAAAGCAAAAGAAAGAGAAAGAGAGAAAGAAAGCAAAAGAAAGAGAAAGAGAGAAAGAAAGCAAAAGAGAGAAAGAAAGCAAAAGAGAGAGAAAGAAAGCAAAAGAGAGAAAGAGAGAAAGAAAGCAAAAGAGAGAAAGAGAGAAAGAAAGCAAAAGAGAGAAAGAGAGAAAGAAAGCAAAAGAGAGAAAGAAAGCAAAAGAGAGAGAAAGAGAGAAAGAAAGCAAGAAAGAGAGAAAGAAAGCAAGAAAGAGAGAAAGAAAGCAAGAAAGAGAGAAAGAAAGCAAAAGAGAGAGAAAGAAAGCGAAAGAGAAAGCGAAAGAGAAAGCGAAAGAGAGAGAAAGAGAAAGAGAGAAAGAAAGAGGGACATAGCAAATACAAGTTATTTTAACAAGACAGTTCATTGAATTTTTACCACTTTTTAATAAGATGCCCATTAATTTGAATTTTTGCCACTTAATAAGGTGCCTGTTAATTTGAATTTTTATCACTTTTCAATAAAATGCCTGTAAATTTGAATTTTTATCACTTTTCAATAAGATGCCTGTAAATTTGAATTTTTATCACTTTTCAATAAGATGCCTGTAAATTTGAATTTTTGTCATTTTTTTGATAAGATGCCGGTTAATTTAAATTTTTGCCACTTTTTAATAGGATGACTGTTCATTTAAATTTTTATCACATTTTAACAAAACACTCATTAATTAGAATTGCTGCTACTTTTTAAGAGGCCCATTATCACTTTTTGACAAGAAACGCATTAATTAGAATTTTATCACTTGTTACAAAGGGGCCCATTAATTTGAATTTTTGCCACTTTTTAACAAGTCTTCCATTAATTTGAATTCTCTCTTTTTTTACAAAATCCCCATTACTTTCAATTTTTATCACATTTTAATAAGATGGGTATTTTCCTAATTTCTATAACATTTTAACACAACTACAATGTGGACAATTTATTTTTTATATATTTTAATTATTACTACTTTAATATGGAACTTTATTAATGAAAATTAAGAAAAAAAATATCACAACAAAAAATAAAAATTTGAATTATTTTTTCCATTCCTGAAAAATATGTCATTCATTTTGTAAATTTAAAAATTAATAGACTAACAAAAATTCAAATATTTGTGAATTTAAAAAAAAAAAAATAATAATAATTCTCTATGTGAATGATATGTGTACTTCCCCAAAGGAAAGATCTAGAAGTCTGTGTTCAGGTGATAGACAGACTGTAGTTTATAGGAGGAACAAAATCGAGTTACTGACCTCTGGTTTGCCACAAATGTCAAGGACGTTAAAAGATCGAGAGTCAGCCACAATCTCATTCCGGCGTTCATAATAGGCAATTACTCTCCCCACGGGTATCATGTCACTGGTGACCTCAAAGCTAATCTGCCATCTTCCGTTATTGTATGGGAGAATGTCGTACTTTAAAATCTTGCTTTTGCCTATAATCTGAAAAGACAAGCAGAAAAGCTAACTGAATGACATGGCAATAAAGAAAAACAAAAGATGGAAAGATGAATTCTAACAGAAAAAAGTAGAACAATATATACGCACATACATATGTAGACACATACAGACATATATCTACCCACACATACAAAGACATAGTTATATGAATAAATTCATATACATGTCACATGCACACAACTATGTTTATGTATGTAAACAACAGTGTTAAAAATGAATAAAAGGCAAAAAATGAAAAAATATAAGCAGCAAATTGCTGATATCCCCTGAAGAGTGGACGGTTAGGTCCTTCTATGAAACTCTGGAATCAGGATGCTGAAGGTAACATCAAACAGCTAAGTGACAAACTTTACTCACATTAATCCTATATATTTCCTTCTGGATTTAAAGGCCTGATGAATTGGGGCCGTTTTTATGACCCTAATGAAATAAATATAACCTCATGAAGTTTTAGTGTTTGTGCCTTTTATAATAGTATATATATATATATATATATATTCGAAAATTATAACACACGTTATAAAATCACTACAAAAATAGCCATTTTGTTTCAACACTTCTGGGGTCTTATCAAGTGATGGTGTTGAATGTAGAATAAAGGGTTTTAAAAGGTTCAAATCAATCAAACATCCCTCACTAGGGGAAACGCTGTTACATAAGCCAGAATGACTAATCAAAATACAAGTATATGAGAATTCAAAAAACTTGACAACGGACTTTAAGGTTATAATAATTATTTAATGCTTTAATATTAGGGTTAGACTAAAATAGAATTTATTCTAATAAATACTAAATTATGAGATAAGATTTAAAATTAAAAATTACCAATTTTAAATTTAATCTATATTAAGTTTAAAATTATAAATTTATTTAAAGAAGAAACCGAGGAAAAAAAAATACATATGTTTTGCTATTTATTTTGTTTTTATTGAAATATTGTGTCTTATCAAGTAATGATGTTACAGCTGCATTCCCTTTCACAAAAATATCCTTAAGAAAGATACAAATCCATCTCTTCTTCCCCCCCAGCTATGGGTTAAATAGCCTTAACTGGCAACCAGTGTAGGAGAAGGACCACTCTTAACTCAAAATCTGAGGAGGGCTGTTTCGAGACATCGTGATATGCTCTGCACCATTTCTTTCATCAATTCTTCCCCAAAATATGGCTAGTTTTGTACAAGCATTAACCACTATAATCAAATCATATATGTGGGTGGGTCAGGCCATTCAGTTCTGGGAGCTGATCTCCTGGACCTTCATATCAATAAAGGCAGATCTCATTTTATACATACAAACATAATATATATATATATATATATATATATATATATATATATATATATATATATATATATGATAAGCAAATATAAATGGATATAAATCCGACAGAATGAAGAAAATATCTGGAAAAACAAAAACAAAAATCCTTAAAACAGTTTTGGATAAGACTTGTTTTTATGTCCATCATTTTCGTCATGTTATACTGATTATGTTAATTGTATTTTTAATGAATATTGTCCTGAAGAAGGTTATTAAAACCGAAACGTCAGACGTCGACATTTCATTCATATTTAAAACAACATAATCGCATTTAAGATTTTTGTTTTTTTTTTCCAGATATTTTCTTCATATATATATATATATATATATATATATATATATATATATGTATGTGTGTGTATCTATTGGTCTGCACATTTCAGAAATATTTCTTGAATGTACAGGCCAATAGACAATAGGATAGACCTAATATACCCTGTTTAAAATAAAAACGGGGTGTCTATTTAAAATACGAGTATCCACTAAATAATAAACTTTGAAGTAATAAAAATCAAGATCAAGAATAAATCAAGTCTTTAAATATATATATATATATATATATATATATATATATATATATATATATATATATATAAAAGGTAACTTCACTGAGTTGCTAAAAATGAGTATACCATGATGAAAAAAATGCCTTAATAAAAACAAAGTTTTATTGCCAAAATCTTTGTTATTATTAAGTGGAAAACCCAAAGGATTTTTTGATTATTAAATTATAGTTTTGACCCTTTTTAGAACCTTTAAGATTTTAGTTAAAATCTTTTTTCTTGCATTAGTGGGTGACTATAAATAAATCTATGAAATTTTAGCGTCTTTTTTATAGTGGAAAAATGTACTGATTTAGAAATTCCTGCAAAAATCAAATAATTGTCAGATTTTAATGAAACTTTCAGGACTTATTTACAAATGAAAGAAATGTTTCTTTTATAGAAAATCTTGGTAAAGCTTTTTTTCTATATCTGTTACACTCAACTTAATAAATTTTATAAAATTTTGAGAAATTCTTTTCTGTGTCTATATTAGTTATAAGCAGAAGTCTTTGGAGAATACAAATCATCAATTTTTTTCTAAAACAGTACCCTCAGTCACTAAAAATCTGCTCTGAATCATAAAATAAAACATCCAATATTACTAACACATTATCTAATTAGAAAAGCTTCTATGAATAAGATAAATTATGAACACTGTTCTCTAAAAAACAAAAACAAAAACAAAAACAAAAAAAACTGGGTGATTAGAATGTTAGCATTCCGACCATCACAAGATCAAGGTTTCTTTCCCACCAGGGTTAATCTGTCCAAGATGATGACTTCTTGATAATATCAGATTGGAAAGATAATCACAGTTTCTGGTACAGTTGGAAAGTTTTAATCTATTAACCATTTTCCAGGATTTGGGTTTAATTCATTCATTTTCTACAGCTTATCAACTCCTTGAAGATTATTTAAAATGAGAAAATATTTTTTTTAGATTGTAAGAATTTTTTTTTTGAGATGATATAGTGATACAAATATTATTAATTAACCCATAGCTGGAGGAGAGAAGGCATGGATTCATATCTTTGCATAAGTGAATATAACAAATTCAACAGGAATTAGAACTGGGAAAGCAGAGTTCAAATCCCAAGCCCTGATCTATTACACCGTCTTTAATTACTCAAGTCTTACAGTACTTGGTATTTCCTTCTTTAATACTCTGGTATTTCCATATTTAATACACCGGTATTTCTATCTTTAATACTCAAGCACTTGGTGTTTCCTTCTTTAATACTCTGGTATTTCCATATTTAATACACTGGTATTTCTATCTTGAATACTCAAGCACTTGGTATTTCCAAGAGGTCACCCATCTAGGTACTGATCAGGATTAACATTGCTTGACTTCAGTGATCATATGAAAACTGGTGTTTCAAAGTGATGTGGCCATAAGATATTTTTAATTTTCAAATATAACCAGAACATTGTGGCCATGTTTGTATTTGATGTTGTTAAAGGTTGTCTTCTTTTTGCTTTTTATGAGTTTCAATTATTTTTTGATGCATTTTGGAGTTAGAAGTACGTATCGCATTTTTGTTCTTGACAAGCATATTGTGTATCGAGGTTGGTAGGCTTTCATGTTGGTTTAAGTGTGTCCTTATGGAGCTGTAGTCGGAGATATGAAGGGTCAGCCATCTTGCTAAATGACTGGTGATTTGCCCAATTTACAACAGCACTTAAAAATCAGACTTAAAAATATCAAAAACTGAAATATGATCATAATTTTGTAATGGCATGGGTAAATTTGAATTAAAACTAACAAATATAAATGTAATTACCATATAATAAAGTGATGTCTTATAGTATATCCTTGACGTCGTAACTTGCATAGTGATGAAATCACCAACCTTGAAAGAGAATGAAAAATAGAAATTTCTTTAAAAGAACAATGGAAACCAACATTAATGTGGCATTCTTACCTTGTGACAAAACCAACAAAGTTTAATGATAGTGTGAGGTACAGCAGGAGCACTCTGGTTTAGCGGTAATGATGAACAGTCACCCAGGAATATGGGAATATATTTACATCATTTTTACTTTTTATTCCAGGAACCATTATCAGCTGTTATTAATATTTGACTAGGATTTCTTTCATCTTCATTTCATTTGCTTTTCATGTAGTAGTATTAGTAGTAATATTATCTTAAATTTTTATTATTAGCTGAAGCATTGTCAGCCATTATTCATTTTTGACTAGGATTTCTTTCATCTTCATTTCACTCGCTTTTCATTTAGTAGTATTAGTAGTAATATTATCTTGAATTTTTATTATTAGATGAAGCATTGTCAAGCATTATTCATTTTTGACTAGGATTTCTTTCATCTTAATTTATATTAAAAAATAAACCCATTTCAAAATTACAATAATCTGAAGAATAATTATACATATGGAAAGTGTGACAGTGAAATCCAAAGGCATATTGGGAGAAAGAAAAATGTCTTTCAAGGGCTAAGCAATTTACAAATTGGAAAATTTCATTAGAAACAAAGAAAAGAATACTGAAATTTTACATAATATCATCCTCCTAAATGGACAATCTCGTCACTGATGAAACAACAGAAATGTAGTTAAGCAGAAGGAGGATACTGGGAATACCATTGATCGAACATGTGAGCAATGATGAAGAGAAAAAAGAAACAAAAAAGGAACTTATACTTAACATCAGGCATACAATGAGGAAAGAGAGCTTGGAAAATTTGATACCTCCAGGACAGATTGAAGGCAAGAGAGACAGAGGGAAATAATGACGTAACCTACCTAGTGAGCTTGATTAATTAGATGATGGAATAGGATTTGGGAGAGATAGCAGAAAGACAATTTTTTAAGAGTTACAAAGGACATGAAATCATGGAGAGCCATGATCACCAATGTCCTGAAGAAGAAGAGAAAGGAAGAATGTTCTGTCTACTCACCGTGAATCCATCTAATGTTGTGTTAAGTGACAGAAGCAAGTAAGTGCCCGTCTCTGATTTTGAAGCCAAAACCAGCCACTGTTCCTTGATTTGATCACTGGAGTCTAGACGCTGGTCAGCTGAGGTCAACTAGAAAGAAAAAGAAATCAGAGTAAATAATATATCTAATAAGTATAATGTGAAGTGACCTTCTGATTGATCAGTACCAGAAACTTCACCTTTCCCCCAAATTAACTAGTCCTAGTTAGATATCCCGCACAACTAGGAATTAAAGAAAAGTGCCCAGTTTTAACACCACCATATTTAAAGATGGTCCATTGAAAGCAGATCAAGAGAAAATATAACAGGAGCCAATCTCAAAAATTAGACTGAAAAAGAAACTATGATTATCAGAAGGTTTTTTGTTTATCTCTTTGTGATCAAATGAATCTCTTTATTTCTTAGATCAGAGGTTCTCAACTAGGGTTCATATGGACCCTGGATGTCCATGTAACATTAATGGGGTCAACATAAAAAAATAGCAAATTGGGAATCTCGTGTAACATTTTAGTTGTTTTTTTTCTTTCTAAATACAGTATATGAAAGCATGTGCAATACCCTGCTCTCATCAGCCACCAACCAGGGGAGGTAACAGTTTCAGTGGCTAATGCAGTACTGCCACCCCTAGTGCCTGTTGAGTTACGGTCTGGATGATGAATAGAGCAATTTAACTTCAAAATGGTTGTTACAACTGAGAATTGAAATTTCTACAGTAATCTGCGCCATATTAAAATACTAAAAATAGAAAAACAACTCTAAAACTAGCAGAAAATGAGATCAAGTGATGTAAGTTAGTGTCCATTTTACTCTACTGGGTGTTTTGATTGTAAAAGTTGAATAAAAACTGAGAAGGATATATATATATATATATATTACATGAATCATTCATACAAAAAACAGATATAGAAGTTAATGATATAAATGGCAAGAATAAATCTTCACAAACAAATTTAATAAAGTGCATTAACCCTGAACCTGTAGATGAATGTTATGATCCCTGTTTATAAATTCCAGTTGCATAAGGTCTTTTTTTAGTTTTTACAAGTAAATTGAACTGCACCACATATATATATATATATATATATATATATATAAAGGAAAATTACATAAAGATTATAATTTATTATATAAATTAATTTAATATATTAATAATAAATAATAATATTAATTTTAAATATTTATAAAATAAAACATATTGATAAAAATTATTAAATATATTAAAAAAAATAAAATATTAATAATAAAATTTATTTAATATATAAATTATATAAGGATTATATATAAAGGAAGGATTAACAATATTAACTTCTTCAGCAGCATCAACCACATGGATCTCATTGAATAAATCTGTACTTTTTTAAATTTATTAATTACTCATATATTTTAAAATGGTTTATTATGAGTTATTTTACTAGTGTGCCTAAATGTTCCATAGAATTATTTGTTAAATACAAGTTTATTTTTATCAAATTAGTTTTACTTCAAAATAAAGCATAAACATTTACTATTTCTATAATACAATTCCTAAACTTATCTATTAGTAAAAAATAAAATAAGCTTTTTTCTATTGAATAGTTATGGGTTCTTCCAAAAACAATTAAGAATAAAAGAGGTCCATAGGTAAAAAAAAGTGGGACCCACTGTTTTAGATGAAGCATTGTTCCTTATTATCATGTTTTAATGAGTTTTTCCTCATATTTATTTTGTTGTTTGTTCTAGATGTAAGAGTCAAAAGTTGTCTAAACTTTATATATATTTAATAGAAAATATAAATAAAGGAGTCTTAGATGCCAAACTGAGTTATCTAGTTGGTTAAGGTTTACCAAGATGCTATAGTCTATCAGTAGTACCTAGCCTAACTCCATAATACTGTAATATTGAATGTAAATTGTGCATATCTTTATTGTAATATTCACAGCATTTCGGCTATTGTACTCTCTGGCCTTCTTCAGGTGATGTTGCAATTTCAAACTGAACCCTTTATTTTGTCTACTGGGGTAGATTGTTCTCATTCCACATGCCATGCCTTTTCAAGATATCTCAGTGTCAGTTAATTCTCTTTAGTAACTCAAATCTCCAAGATTTTATTCACCTCTGCTGTGGCCAGGTATTGAACTCACAACTCTTTGGGTCAAGTCACTGGCTTACTTCAACCAACGCTTTTATCCACTGGGCCATGTGTCCTTGGAGTGTTGGTTCAAATAATCCAATGACTTGAGCCAAAGAGTTGTGAATTCAATACTTGGCCACAGCAGAGGTGAACAAAAACTTGGAGGGTTGAGTTACTAAAGGGACATAACTGAAACCGAGATAGCCAGAAAAGGCATGGCACGTGGAACTAGAACAATCTAACTCCGTGGACTAAATGAAGGGCTTGGTTTCAAATTCCAATGTATATCACCTGAAGACCGAAACATTGTGAATATGACAATAAAGATGAGGACAACAGTCCGAACAATGTAAATAGTGTAAATAGTTGCAATACTTCATCTCAGAAATATAGACAGAAGGTGAACATAATGTAAAAAAAAAAAAAAAAAAAAAAAAAATGTCTGTCCATAATTTCATTTTATTTTTTTACGTTTTTTCTTCCCTCTGACTTTTTTTGAGTGCAATCAAAATAGGCGATGCAATTTCTTGTAAACAATTTTTTTAATGCCACGTTCCTCCAAAATGTAGGTGATTATGGCTCTCCAAATCTTCCTCTTCTTTCCCTAATTTTTTTGGAAAAATAGTGGAGTGGTTTCATTGAATTATATCTTTTTAAATACATTTTGAATTATAAATTTGGTTTGACTAACAATATTTAAGAAGTGTGTCATAAAAAAAATAAATTATTTTTAAAAACTGTTCCTAAAGCAAATGTTTGGGAAACTCTTTATTAATAGTTGGAAATGAAAAACGAAAAACAAACAAAAGTAACACTTCACTGTAATTGTGAATTCTATCCAGAAACGTGATGTCTGGATAACACATTGCTTGAAACTTCCTGGGGTTTCATATAACTGTTTAAAAGATTCCTTCCTGCGTGTTCTGGTTGTAGCCATGTATTCCAGGTAGAAAGGGATATTTTGAGCACTGGATCCATTTGCATATAGTGTTTCTACCTAGAACAGATAAGAAAAGAAATACAATATGGTCAAATAAGTTACATTTTCAAATGCTGTATTCAAATACAATTTGATTGATATGTTTTTTTTACAGATTATCAACCCTTTGTGGGTTATTTAAAGCCATAAAATATTTTTAGATTATAAGTCTCATGCTTCATTATAAGTTTCATGTCTGAAGATTGCATTTAAGCAAGAAACAGACTGTTGCTGCTGAATGTTAGCCTCAATGTCTACTTTTATATTTACATACACTCTATTCCTGATATTGAGTATTTGAACTCATAAATATAGCATAATTAAAATTATATATATATATATATATATATATATATATATATATATATATATATATATATATTATACAAACTACTAAATAAAATGATCAGAACTAATCTCAAAATTTTTACTACGTTACTTAAAAATCAAAAAAACAAAAAGAATAAATAAAAATATATAAAATAAAAATAAGTAAAATAAATTAATGCAAATAAGTAAATAAATAATAAACAAACTGCTCCTGCCAAAATAACTATTAGAACAGGCTACCTACAAAGCACCACTGATAAATAGTTGAGAAAAAACATGTGGCCTGATGATTGTGTTTAGCATGAAACAGTCTGTCACCTCTGAGTTCACTTTTATATTTACATACACTCTATCCCTATCACATATATATAATGTGATAAAATATAGTTTTAAGGTATGCTATATTTATGGGTTAAATTGCTCAATATCATGGATAGAGCATATTTAAATATAAAAGTGGACACTGAAGTCAACACCCAGTGGCAACAGTGTATTTCATCCTTAAACACAAGTATCCAGCCATGTGTTGTGTTTTTGCTTGACTATATATATATATATATATATATATATATACAGGCCAGTGACGCGTTGTAGGTAGTCTATTTCATTGTTCTACTGCTTATTTTGGTGGGTGATAACAGCTATGTTGTGAATTATTCTAAGGGCTACTGAGTGGAAATAATTGTGGGTCCTGATGAAGATTTTTTGGGGCTATTTATAATATTGTTTGTTAACTATTTTTTTTCATTTATTATTGATTATTTAAATGTTTACATTTTTTTTAGCACAACTCATGCACAATTATTAGGTGCTGACTGAAAACTCAGAAGATTGCAATAAGAAACATTTTCTTAAAACTTTTGATTGTCCAGGCCAGTAGACATTAACTATACTGTTTAAAAACAGAGACATCTATTTAAATACATGTATCCACTAAATATAACATTTACTGGATTATAAACAAAGTCCATTAATCTCTTAGAAATTATAATGTATTTATGGATGTTAATAGGATGTAGAATAGTAGCTGAACAAAGTGGAGATTATATGGCAAAGATTCAGACTAAAAGAGAAAAAACAGGGATCTACTTTGCTAATTTCAGATCCAGTAGATGTTAATATGGCTTTGATATAAGAGAAAAAAAACAACATTCTGGCTAACATCTGATATATATATTTATTACCTCTTCCTCAAAATTCCAACGCATTTCCATTACACACAAGTTTGTCTCTCATTTCAACCTGGAAATGGCTGACTTAAGGAAGCAAAATGTGTTGTCTCTTTGTCTCCAATGTATTTATGCATATCAGGTTGTCCTTTTGTTACCTCTTACAAGTCTGGGTTGTGTGGTATAAACTTATGAATAGGAGAAAAAGAAAGAAGCTTGATTAAACACTCACGTTGACTGTATAAGGAAGGCCTGGTTTGAAATATGTCTGCGAGTCAGATACATCAAATTTGTATGGAGAATAGACAAATTTGGCTGACGTGTCTTCCTTTGTTTCTGAGATTCCAGAATTTGATTCAATCACTTCAGCACTTACATTAAATGGAGTATTCAGTGGAACTTGGTTTGGAGGTAGGCGTATATTGCTCTTAACTTTGCCATCGACCAACTGGAAGAAAAAACAAAAAAAAACAATATTATAATCCTGTTTATTCTTTAGCATGTATGTTATGCCCTGCCAAATTAATTTTCTCTTTCACACAAGATATATTGTTGGGGTGGGGTAATGACTAACAACTTGGAATTGGAACTTGGACAGCCATGTTGGAGTTAAAATATTAAATGAATTCTAATTTAATTTTGAATTTGAATTTAAGCCAAGATTAACATTTAAGATTGAAAATAAGTTTGCAAATAAGAAATATAAATTCTAAATTAGAGAAACGCTGGTCTTGAATATGTAAGTAATCAAAAAAGGGTGTTAGAAAATCAAGGGGAGCAACTCTATTTTTTTCCACAAAAATCAAAAGCATAATTGATTATAAATTTACTAAACTAAAACTAATGATATCAAGAACAAAGCATGCTGTGATAAAATAAAATAATATAAAACAAAACAAAATAAAAAGTTCTAATAAAAATAACAATAATACATATCAATGGAAAGAAAATGATTTAAAATAAAATAAGAAAAAAAAAATAATGTAAAATGAAATAAGAGCCTTATATAGGAACATATAAATATGTAAATAAATATGTTAAAATGTTTAAATGAATTGTAGTTGATTTTGAATTTGAAGTTCGGCCCAGGTCAACATTTAAGTTTGAAAATAAGTTTGGAAATAAATATAAATTCTAATTTAGAGAGACACTTGTTTTCAACTAGAAGTGGTGTTATAAAATCGGGGGGGTAGTAACTATTTTTTTTCCGGGAATCAACAGAGTAATTAATATTATTAATATTCATAAAAAATATATAGGAACTAATATAACTGTGCAATTAATGTAAGGTATTATCTATATTTTTTAATATATATATATATTAAATAGCCCCATTACTTAACATTGGGCACTGTTTTTTCTTACACAATAGAGTATTTATATGTATTTGTATACAATCGCTCGCTTGCATACCTACCTATATTTATCCATTTGGTTGTGTGTGTGTGTGTGTGTGGAAAGATTCCATTCCCCCAATTTCACTCACTAGGCCGGGTCAACTCATGGTGCGGGTTTTCAGGACCTTTCCAACTGTGCCACACACTGGGATTGCTTCCCCAGGCCAATAATATCAAGAAGTCACTTTTCTGACAAATCAACAATAGCGAGAACCAAACTTGGGTCTCAAGGTCAGAAAGTGAATATTCTAACCACTTGACCATGTATACACACACACACACATATATATATATATATATATATATATATAAGAATATATATATATTTTATAAGAACTAAGAATTTTGCCAATTGTCATTTTAAACCAATTTGTCTTATTTTTCTAAATTTTTTTCTGTGAAATTTAATATATATATATATATATATATATATATATATATATTCTACAGCCAGATGAGCTCTACCTGCTTATACTTTAACACACCAAACATAAGAGTAACGGTTAATGACGCACAATGAAGAATTTTCATAATATTGCAGGGTACTATGCAAGAATATCTTATTACCATTCTTTTTTTTAATAATTGTTCACTCAACACAAAGCCAAAGTGCCACTCAATGTAGAGGATTACTGAATGATGTTATTGTATGAACATAAGGGAAGGATCTTTTTTGAATGATTTTTTTTGCTTTATCAATCTTTTGTTGGTTATTTAAAGACAGAAAATATTCTTTAGATTGAAATAATTTTTGAGATAATTATTTTTTACTGATACAATTCCTACTAAATAACCCATAGCTGGGAGGCAAAGAGGTGGAGTCATACTTTTCAAAGTGTATATGTGAATAAGTAAATATAATGAACCCAACTGGAATTGGAACATGGCTGTCCAATTTCCAATTCCAAGTTGTTATTCATTACCCCACCTGCACATCAAAACTTACAGTACCTGTTATTCCCAAGTTGTTACCCGTCTTGGTACTGATCAGGCCCAACATTGCTTAACTTCAGTGATTGTACAAGAACTGTTGTTTAACATGATATGGTCATAAGCCCCGTAAGATGAGGGGGCAAGAAGTGTAGATTATGAGGATATGTAGGATAGATAATGGATGTAGGAATAGATTCACTTATTCAGTTCACACTCCTCCCTGGTCTTTTGAACAGGAGTTGAGGTTTATCCCTTGTTTCCTGCTTAGGATTTGGTTTCCAGTTCCTTCTAAGGCCTTCTCATTGTCCTTCACTCCCAGTATCCCATTGCATCTTTGTGACATCACTACCTTGCTTGGGGTGAATTGATTAAAAACAAAAAAAAATTCCCTAAGATACAAGCCACACAAGTAATTCTGTTTTTTATACCATGGGATGTTCACCAATTCTAACTGCTCACTGATTAATGAAATACAAATTAACTTGGCTTTTGCATGAATGAATGAAACCTATATTAGCCAAACTTATTCCTCAGTATTTTAAAGAAATCAAGAATATCTGACCTCTTGGAAAAATTCATCCTGAAGAAGTGACAGAAGTCCATATGAATACCGAAGCTTCACTTCTCCTTTCACAGGCTTCCCATATAAATAACTGGAAAGAAAAAAAAAATAGTTTTAACACAGGTAGAAGAGATTGTTTGATGGCACATCAACTCCTTATGGGTCATTTAATACCAAAATTAAATTTTCTTGGGAGCTTTGTAGTAATAAAAATATATGTTATTCTGCTTTCACAATTGAATACATGGTAGATGATACTCAGCTTTTCTGCATATAGATGTTTGTGTGGACTACAGGCAGGATATGTGTATTTTATGTTGTAGTATCATTGAAGTTATATTTTGGAATACAGTTTGATTTAAGAAATTGTAGGATATTATATGGCTTAATGTCATGAAAGTTCTTTCATGTTGGTAGTATTTTAAGCAGATTTGGATGAAGTCACTATAATTTGTTAGTATGTATGTATTGCTGGTCATTTTACTATAAATATGTATTGCTGATAATTTATTTTATATAAAAATGTTTTGCTGGTATTTTTTCACTTTCATATTGTTTTATTTGAGTGTTCCCTATTTGCTCATAGCTGGGACCCTAACAGGTGCTACCACCCCGGGTCAGGGTGGACCTGAGAACAATAGCAATTAAGAGGCAGTTCTATGCTCCTCAAAACCTCCAATGTATATGTGTTTCTGTGAATTTAAAACATTTCAACTGTTCATTATTTTTTACTGTTTATGCAGCATTCTAAAGTTCAAAGTTCAACTGTTTTTTTTTTTTTCAGTATAAGGGAAGTAACATTTTTGTTTTTGCTCATATATATATATATATATATATATATATATATATATATATATATATATATATATATATATATATATTTTTTAGTAACACTATTTTTATAAATATTGCAAAATTCTAAAATTAAATGATAATACTATTAAATATATGCAGTTTCAAGTTCTTAACGAAAATTAATGGCCTTTTAGGCTCCTCCACAAAATAGTTCACTTTTTTGAATAATAAGAAATATATGTTGCAATGTGGGGGGACATCAGGATTTTAGAGATGCTTAGGTGGGGCATGGCCAAAAAAAGGCGGATAACCAATGATCTAGTACTATTGGAGAGAATTATTTTTTTTCTTTACTTTGCTTCTTGAGGTTGAATGGTGCTTACAGCTAGGGCAAATAAAAGTCTTAACTGAAGCATCCCTAAGAGAAATGCAACACAGCCCTTATGATAACTTTTATACTTCACTGAACAACTGGCTACCACACTGTCTCTATCAGAAGCTAATCATCAACTAAACCATTCCCTTCAACAGGCTGTCATGTGACCCTCAAAGGCTCCCTTGGACATCAAATTCATCCAGCAAAAAGAGATAGTCACTTTTATTATTCCATATTTCACAAATAGGTAAGTTATTGACTTACTTGGCTGTTGTTGTAACTGTGACAATTTGCGTACTTCTTACAATAAATTGTGGCTCGACCTGAATTTTCACTTCAAACACAGGAAGCACTGAAAAATAAGACATTACAAAAAAAATGACAATCCCTTCAGACAGACAGACAAACGTGCTTAGAGCTTTGTTAGGATCCTTATTCTCTCATGAACCCTTGACCTTCCTGATTTTAATACATTTCCATAGTAAAAAAAACATTAGTAATAAAGTGACATTCAACATATGTGATTCAGATTAGCAATATAGTAAATGAAATATTTTAATATTTTAAAAGGGGCACAGAATTTAATAACTGCAATTAATACCAATATATTAAAATGAGAAAGAGTGACAAAAAGTTCACATTATTGTAATATCAAAAATCAAATAAACAAATATATATAAGCATCCAAATTTACTTTAAGGTTAAAACTTAAGGTTTTATAGTCAATTTATAATAAGTCCTTTCAGCCATCCCTCTAAGCAGAAGGAATGGTTTTTAGGCTTAAGTATGATTAGCTTTTGATTTTTATATATGCATTATGTAACATACAGTCTTTGGGGTTCTTGATTTTAGTTGCAGTGCACATTTCTTGTTCCTAATTAAACTCTGATGAGTGAGAAATGACAAACTGGTTGTTTCAGAGTTTCTTTTTTATCAATTTATTTATTTTTGATATTACCACTTTATGTTAATGCAAGCTTTTTGTTATTCTTTCCCGTTGTTTTAATATGGAAAATGCGACACCAACATCTGAACATACATTAGGCAAGCGAAAGAGGCGTTCCAAAAGCTAATCAAAGTGCTGAGAAATGGAAAAAAAATTTCATTAGAAACAAAGAAAAGAGTGCTGGATTGGTAATTTATAAGTGATCATGGCACTCCACAACTTCCTATCCTTTGTAGCTCTTAGTAATGTTTGTCTTTTTACTATCCCTCCCAATCCCTGTTCTACTGTTCATTTACACAGGCTTGTTAGGTAGATGATCATGTCATTCCATAACTTCCTATACTTTGTAGCTCTTAGCAATATCTGTCTTTTCACTATCCCTCTCAGTCCAGGTTCTGCTGCCCATTTACATAAACTCATTAAATGTTATTCACTGTTTCTCTATGTCCCTTTTACCTTTAGCATGTCATGTGAGTGTCAAATTTTCCAAGCCTTCTTTCTACATTATGTGTCCCAGAAATTTTAACTGTTTCCTTCTGATTCTAAGTTCCTCTCTTTTTTGTTTCTATTTTCCTTAAAACATCCCTATTGCTAAATTGTCCAGCATTTACTGCCATATTGTTACATTGAAGTTGAGCACTCTTTTTCTTTGTTTCTAACTAAATTTTTCCTCTTTCTTAATACTTTGTTTAGCTTTTGGAAGACATCTTTTGATATTCCAATGCCGCTTCAGATTTCAGTGCCACACTTTCCAGTATTTAAACTTGTGTACTTGGCCAATAGATGCACAATGGAGTAATGGATAGTGACTTGAATTGAAGAATCAGAAAGTCGAGTCTGTTAAATTTGCTTACATGCAAATACCTATTGGGAAAGGTATGAAACATCTCTTCTCCCCCACCCCACCCCAGCTATGGGTAAATACCAAGGCAGACCTTGTTCCTATAGCCTTGGGTGACAACTGGTTTAGGAGGAAGATGATTCTAAATTTAAACTCTGAGTCATTTGGTCCCTCCACCCCTAGCTATGGGTAAATAGCAGGACTGGGTCCTATAGCCTTGGATGGCAACCAGTCTAAGAGAAGGAAACTGAATTCAAACCAGCCTGGAGAGGGTTGGGCTCCATCTGGCTGCCTTTCCGAGGAAACTTCACTGCTGCTGCTGTTGTAGTGCCCCTTAGACCTTAATGGGTTATGAGTCACATGACTTGTCTTATTTTGACATCTCTAATTCATAGTTTGCATCTTTGACTTTTTCTCTTACTTGCAACCATGTTGATGCTTAGATTTTCATCTTGCTTGCCTTTACCACCTTATCTAGATTTCTGTGCCTACCATCAACATGATTCAATAGTAAACACTTTATAGACAAGAAACTGGTCTATTGGAAAACCTTATAGCCACTGTCAAGAAGGGAAAGTTGAAACGGTATGGGCACACCATAAGAGCCAACAATCTTTCTACTGCCATCCCACTGTGTACCCCGTTAGGCAAAAGAAGAAAAGGTAGACAGAGGAAAAATAGGGTGATTCAGACATTGGCACGCAACTGAGAGATATGGAGGGAGCTGGTCCATTGTATAGTGACCCTACAATCACATTCGGTCATGGGGACTGATGATTATGTCAAAAGAGTTTATTTGTAAGCAGAAAAATAAAACCAAGAAAACAAAATCTTACTATATTTTTGAACCAGGAATTTAGCTTTTACTCGAGTCTGCATCTGAAATTTGAATAAAAAGGTAAAAGTTAAATTCTTCAATCAGCTTTGGAAAATATCCTAAAATAAAAAAAAAAAACTAACAAAATGCTTAAGCTCTTAAAATAATATGCGAGAGCAGCGTATCTGAACATTTTTACCCTTGTGGAACGCCTGAAATAGTTTTCATGTCTCAAAGAACCCCTACATAAAAATTATTATATACCATTATTAATATGGCTGATGCTAACCTCCAAAAGAATAACTCATTATGCCTTCTTAAGTTAAAATTCTCTGCTGACATGAAATGGAAAGATTATACTGAATAAATTACTAGGGCTGCTGCTAGGAAAGTTGGTTCAATGTATTGTGCAAGACATTTTTTATTGCCAAAATCTATCTTACATATTTATAAGTCTACTATTCATCCATGCTTTGAATATTGCTGCCACATCTGGTCTGGTGCTTCTGCTATGTATCTGTAGATTCTTGATAAAATCCAAAGAAGAATCTGCAATGTTATTGGTCTTGACTTGGCATCAGTCACTTTCCCACTGCCATAACGTAACTTCCCTGTGCCTTTTTCATAAATACTTTCATGGTAATTCTTCTGATGAACTTAGCTCTATGGTACCCAGATTTTATAAATTTAAGCACAGTACTAGATTGGCAGCAAGGTCTCATCATTTTACAATTGAATTGGTTAAATGTAACCATAAGTTTCTTTTCTCACACTTCTCACCAGTGGAACTCTCTTCCGGCTTCTTGCTTTCCAGTCAACTTTGATCTTCAAAAATTTAAATGCAATGTCAATCATTATCTACTGTCTCCTTGATTCTTCTTTTTTTTATTGTTCTTGCTCCTTAATAATGTTCCTCTTTTTCTTATTCTTTCACACTCAGTAACCCCTTGTGTCTTAGTGGCTTTATTGTCTTACTTGAGGTGAAATAATTAAAACAAAATAACTATCTCTTTTATATTTTTATCAAGGATCACATGGTAAACTTAATATGCAATGATACACGAATCCACCACATACAGGTCCTGACCCTCAACCAGTGAAGGTGGTTTTGCACTGATGGCATATCAATATCACTAATACATCCCCTGTGATTATTGTAATTTTAAATAATATAAAATGTTGAAGCCTTCTTTTATAATAACCAAGGATTTGCCAACAATAAGCCGTATGTGTAGAGAAAAATTGCAAATATAAAAGTAAAAAAAAATACTTGAAAATGCATTGACCTATTTATCACAATTTTTGGCAGAACCCCCAGTGACCTCTTGCGGAACCCTGGTTAAGAAGCATTGCATTAGAGAAAGCAAACACCTATCCATACCAAAAACATATTTAATCTCTAAAAATGAAAGATCCGAAAGATATTCCAGAAGCAAACCCCTTGCATATAGATAGAAAATAAATTAACCATACAAAAATAGAAGGGTGTGTACAGCAAGATATTTTCTCCACAGATTTATTCAGCCATTACAATGTGGCTATCCTAAGGTAACTGGAGATCCTACCAGGATTTATTAATGGTGGGTATAATCATAACAATATAAGACATTAGGTACCTCCATGAATTCATTATATGTAAGGTTTAAAATGAATTTTTAAAAATGAAAACACTTTCCTAAATCTTTCAATTTAGATTTAATTGAAAGCTAAAGGATTAAATTTACTATTTCCAGTAAGCAAAATACTTTGGTGTATTTCAGACAGAAATTATATTGATTGGAACAGAGTTGCATTTTTTTTCAGTAAAATTGAGCATGTCAGCCATTTTTTAGACATTTGTAAACAAAACTTAATTTTCCATTTAAAAAACTTGCAAAAATAAAATATATATATTGAGGAAAATTAGCAAATTTGAAGTTAATCTGATTTGAAACAAATATTATTTATAGCATAAAATGTTGTATACAATCATTTCCTAAGCATGTGCTCTTGTTTTTCTGATATGTTAATTGATTTATTGACAGCAGATTGACCATCAAATATGATCATAATTATCTATGGTGTAGCAGATGATAATTTTCATTAGGGTTTTTTTTTTTCCTGTAAGAAGGAGACAACCCTTAAACATGTGACCTTTTATTAATAGATTTATCAGTTTGCACACCCATACTTCAGAAATTCTGCATTGACATACATATATAAAAACAAATTGAAATTCTTTTAGAAATAGTCAGGGTATTCAGATTGTAATAAGCTTTAAAGTATGTGATCAGTAAATATAGTTTTACTTAATAACAACATTCTCTAAAAATTATCTCCTTGTAATTAAACTTTAAAAGATTCAAAAACTTTATAAATTATGCAATTTTAAATTGTAAAAAATTGTAAAAAAAAATGAAAGAACATCTTCATTTTTCAGCAAAAAATTTTTTTTCTTCAGACAATATTGTCTTTAATATATATTATTCATAAAAGCAATTAAAAGCTTCTCAACTTACATAATGTCTTAGTTTTATTTTTTTTAAGCTTTCCACCCCAAGCAAAGCAGGAGTTTCACTAGCACGCAAGAGGTTACAGAAAGTGATTGAGGAAAGGATGAAGAGAAGAACAGGGAATTAGAACAAGGCATCAGAAGATGTTGATTGACATTACATTTGAATATTTGAAGTCTGTAACTGTCAGAGAAGCAAGTAAGAGGAAGGGAGTTCCACAGACAGGAAGTGCAAGACATGAAGCTATTGGAGTAGAAGAGATGGCTACATTTAACCATTTCAACAGTGAAAGGGTGGGACTGAGATGCCAACCTAGTAACATGCTTAAATTTATGCAGTTTTGGAACCAGCGATAATATCTCATTGGAGCAATTACCATGAAAGTACTTGCAGAAAAGACAGAAGGAAGCGACAGCAAGTCTGTGATAAAGCGACTGTTGGTGAGATGCCAGACCAAGACCAACCACATTGCATATCTGTCTCTGGATTTTGTTAGGGACCTTGAGATGAACAGCGGGGGCTCTAGACCATATATGGCAGCAGTATTCCATGCAATGGGCGATTGGCTGATTTATAAAGTTGAAGGATGGATTCAGGCAAGAAAAACTTTCTGGCACATCACAGAGAACCAACTTTTCTTGCAGTGGATGAAGCCATTGATTCAATGTATTCGTTCCATCTTAGGTCAGTGGACAGTGTGAGACCAAGCAGGCACAGAGAGGCACTCTTGTGGAGTTGGGCATCAGTAGGGAGGGTTCTCTGCAGTGGGTAAATGAGAGCAGTTTTGTTTTTGAGGCATTCAAGTTAACCAGCCATTTCATGCCCCAGTCAACCACAGATTGGAGGCCCTTTTTGAGACCAACGGCCAGGTTATTTTTGTTAGTAATACCAGATTTGCTATTGAAGCAGGAGTAAATAGTAGTGTCATCTGCGAACTGTCATCTGCGAACTTGGGAACTGATGAAATCAGGAAGATCGTTGATGAAGATCAGAAACAGTGTAGGACCCAGGATAGATCCTTGGGGAACACCAGCATTCATGAAAAAGGAACTGGAGGTGAACCTATTTAGGGTGACCTTCATTTTACAATTTGACAGGAATCATTGTATTAATTCAAATAATCATCCAGAAATTCCATATCTCTGAAGCTTACGAAGAAGGCCGGCATGCCAAACCCTATCAAACACTTTAGAGATATTAAGAGCCATGACTCAAGCTTCTCCATCATTGTGAGGTGCTTGGTAAACAAATTCAATTATGGCCATGAGCACATCAGTGGTAGATCGGGCAAAGCAGAAACCATATTGTTTGTCAGATCAGAGAGCAGATCATGGAACGTAAGTTGCTTAATCACTTTGGCATTGATTAAAGCCTCAAAGACTTTGCCGAAGAGTGGTAAGAGACTGGTAGGATGTTAATTAGATGGGTCAGAAGGGTCACCAGAGGTCTTAAAGATAGGGAAAACAGATGAGGACTTCCAACAGGCTGGAAAGCAAGAGTTGTTGAGGCAGTAGCTATATAGTTTGGAGAGGACAGGAGCCAGTTCAGGAGCACATTTCTTCAGGACAACATCTGGTAACCTGTCCCCTTATAGGAGTCTAATTTAGAGATGATGCCCAATACCATCGATGGGGTTATGTACATCTCACTCAATAGAACCTCAATTCTAGGGGGAAAATTGGGTGTGGGTACACTGGATGAGAATTTTCAAACAAAGCATTCAGCCTTATCAACTGAGGAAGTCAGGACCTCAAATTGAATGAATAAAGAAGGTATTGTGGATTTGCTGTTGTTCAGTACGCTCTTGCACTTTTTATTTTTCGATTCAGAACAGATTTTCAGTAAGGTCCGATTTTGTAAAATAAAATCAGTGATTTAAATTCTTTAAAAAATTTTGTTTTTAACTAATATAGTCACTAAAAATTATCTTAATGAATTTCTGAAGTTTTCATGAAATTAAATAAGGGAGAGAAATACATGTAAAAAACAAATATTTTTACTAAGATTTTCTAATAAAAAAAATTTGAAAAATAATTTCATTCATTTGTGAATAAGTCCTGAAAATTTCATTAAAATCTGACAATTATTTGATTTTTGTAAGAATTTCCAAATCACTGTTTGTCACCGCAAAAAAGAGGCAGAAATTTGCTAAGCTAAATCTAGTACAACTGTTGATGCAGGAAAAACAAGTTTTTTAATCAAAATTTCAAATGTTCTAAAAAGGAGTAAAAAATTTAATAAAGTAATCAAAATTTCTTTGATCTTTCTTCTTAATAATAACAAAAATTCTGACTATAAAACTGTTTTCATTACATTTGGAGCATGTTTTCATTATGGTATGCTGATTTTTAGCGATCCCATGGAGGTCCCTATAAGATATGCAGATAACAAGTCTTGATGACTGATACAGGAAGAAAACTACAGGGTTTCCTAGACAGGTTGGTTGAAGAAAGTGAGAAAAAAGGATGACCAAATGCAAGAAGACAGAAAGTATGGTCACCAGCAAGAGAAAAAAAAAAACAGATACGAGTTACAAATTGAAGATGTCAACATCAAGCAAGTATGTTTAAATATCTGGGGTGTATTTTAACAGAGGATGGAAAATGCGACATCGAGATATGAACATGCATAGGATGAGCGAAAAATGCCTTCCAAAAGTCAAGCAAATTACTAAGAAACAGAAAGATTTCATTAGAAACGAAGAAAAGAGTGCTAGATTGATATGTGATATCCATCCTCTTATATGGCAGTGAATGCTGAACAATCTCCCCACGGATGAGGTTTGGTTTTTGTTTTACGGCATATCAACCTCAATGGATTATTTAATGCCGACAAGATTTTTTATTGCTTGTAATTTTTTTTTAAAAAGTATAGCTGGTAATATATTTTTTCAAAAATGTATTGCTGGTAATAACTTTTTTTACAAAGTATTTCTGGTATTAAAACCTATTTTACATTTTCATTGTGTTTTGATCCCAGCTTGGGGGTTAACTATTTGCTCATAGCAGGGACCCTAACAGGTGCTACCACCCCAGTTCAGGGTGGACCTGGGAACCCCAGTAATATGGGTTGGTAATAATGGTTCCACGCTCCTCAAAACCTCCTGATCTTGCTGTCAGACGTAGTTTATTGTCTTACCCAGGACGCGGATGTAGTTTATCGTCATACCCAGGACAGCCCACAGATGAGGAAAAAAACTAGATGCAGCATAATGTGGATCTACAGAAGGATACTGAGAATCCCGTGGATGGAGCAAGTAAACAACAAGAAAGTCAAAGAAAACGACAACAAAAAGAACATTATTAAGAATCAAGAACAGACAGGTAAAATTCCGTTGACAGATAAGGAAGGAGGGCTTGGAAAACTTAACACTCAGGGGGTATATTGCATACTGGGCAAGGGAGATAGTGGCAGTGTGAATGAATGGTGGCGTGGGGGTAGAGACTTAGCAAATGGAGAAAGAATGAACTTCAAAAGGAACCATCAAGATAAGATAAAGATAGATCAAGATAAAACTACCTCTACCCAACTCTTCGGGGGTGGCCTATAGTAACACAGTGAACTTACCCCATTTGAATATCCAGCTCTAATTGTCCAATTCCCAAGAGGTGGGTGTTCAGTTAGTTCGTATGTGGTGTTGATGAATGGATGACTCGTGGTAAACTGGTGCGAATACAAGATGAGTCCACGTGGATTCTGAAATAAAAATAAAAAAAAAAAAGAAAAAGGTTACACGATTCTCAAACAAACCAGATTAACATTTTAAATGTAAATTCAATAAATTGTTGCCTATTTTGTGGGCTACACAGACACATTTACCTACACAAGAAAAAAACACTTGCATCCCTGACTTTGTAAAATATAGTTTCATTGAATAGTTTTCCATTGAATCTATTTTCCTCATGAATGTAATACAAATTGTTAAGTGATTGAGTTTGTCTTTGTAGTGAAAGAGATAATCATTTACCCCGAAAAAAAAGTTTGTGTTCTATGTGCGATCTGCAGAAGAAAAATGACCAAAAAGTAGTTAGCAAAAATCTACTTCAATGACTAGAATCTATGCTAAGGTTCTCCCCTCCCCTGAATGGCGTGACCAATCAGAAAAATCTCTCGGTGAACCAAAGCCGTTGTTTTTCGCTTATAAAGGCAGAAGATTTTCTGAGCTGGGGAGCTGAACATGTATTTTTGCTTGTGAGAAGTGAAGGTTGGACATATGACCCCATTTTGTTGTTTCTACTTTGCTTGTTGGACTGTTACGACGGACTATCGTTTGAACTGCGATTTGGCTACGAGTGTTGCAGTTGAGAAGAAATCTATTACAGTTGCTACTATAAGTTGACAATCTTTTCTTTACTACAACAGTTTTTTATGTTTTATCAACTCTTTGTGGGTTATTTAAAGCTGAAACATATTTTTGGCATTGTAAGAAAAAAAAATTTTGTGAGTGAATATTACATTAACTTTTGGTAACAACAAGGATTTTTCCAGATACAAATTCCTATTATTTAACCCATAGATGGAGGATGGGGGTGCATTCATGCCTTTCCCAACCATATATGCATGTGTGTGAATGTAACAAACGTAACAAGAATTCAGTAACAATATCTTAAATTTGGAGAAGCATTGTAAAGTATTATTAATTTTTGACTAGAATTTCTTTCATCTTAATTTCACTTGCCTTTCATCTAGTAGTATTAGTAGTAATATTATCTTGAATTTTTATTATTAGATCAAGCATTGTCAGCCATTATTAATTTTTGACTAGGATTTCTTTCATCTTAATTTCACTTGCTTTTCATCTAGTAGTATTAGTAGTAATATTATCTTAAATTTTTATTATTAGATGAAGCATTGTCAAGCATTATTAATTTTTGGATAGGATTTCTATTTTATTTTTATTGCTTTTTATTGGAATGTTAAGTTCATTTTTGCATGAATTTTCTTACCATTAAATAAAAAACATGGAACCAGAATCAAAGAATATGCTGCCATGCTGATTGCATTTATGGTTATCAAACATATAACCCATCAGGAGCAACAGGTTTCTTAACATGACATCAGTTCAAGTCTCGCCACATTTTTATTCGTGGACATAGGTTAAGAAAAATTTTTAAATTACTCATCAAAAAATGATTAATACTAGACATTAACTATTAAGATTTATTTTGATATGTTGAGGTTGGTACAGATTGTTGGTTTTCATAGCTCATGATACATTAGAACAGAGAGAGAGAGAGAGAGAGAGAAGATACCACTTCTTTGTAACAATCCTGAGTAGTTCTTTGGAGGATAAAAGAGTAGACTGCTTTTTGGGTAGAGAGAACTGACTTTGAAGCCATCTTTTCCTGGGTTTATATTGAGATCAGTATGTGGTCAGGGAGTGCAGTAGGATTGTCCTTTGCTTTGGTACAAGATGTTTGATCTTTTGTTTCACTTATCCAAGTATCTGGTTTCAGAAACAAAGTTAGTGGATTGACCTCGGGGTGGTGTAATGGTTAGCAAGCTTGTCTTGCTAGAACAATTATGACTGAGTAGTGAGATCGATCCTCACTGGGTGCCCCATACTTTCGGCCTTGTGCCACATCTGAGCTATGCTTGGAATATCACTAGTGGATTGACTTGTCCCTAAGAATGCTGTTGTTAATGTTAATGAGTTTCTAAGGAGATGATAATTAGGTGGTACTTTTCAGGGGATTTAAGAAATATTTGGCTTTAATAAAACTTTACCTACATTATTTACATTAGTCGAACTATTGTCCACATCTTTGTCACCATATTTATTACAACGTTTCGGCCGTTGTATGCTCCAGCCTTCTTCAGGTGGTTGGAATGTCAATCTTAACCCTTTATTTCGCTCACTGGGGTAGACTGTTCTAGTTCCACGTGCCATGTTTAATGGATGTCAGTTATCAGGACACATGGCACAGTGGATAAAGGCATTGGTTAGATCCAGTGACAGGACCCAAAGAGTGTGAGTTCAATACACGGTTAAGGCAGTGGAGAACTTTCAGAGGGAAATTAACAAGCGATAACTGATAAGATGAGGACAATAGTCCGAATAATGTAAATAATGTACATAATACCTCATCTCAGAAATATAGACAAACTTTACCTATTACTATAATTATTTATAAAAAAGAAAATCTTCCTAAACATTTCATTATACTCACCTGTATACTGAAAGCTATTGGAGCTTTTTCAGGTAACATATGTTCATTGAGACTTACAATTCGGATTTTCACTGAAAGCAGATAAAAAAAAAAGAAAATAATTTTCCAAATTATCTTCCTCAGAAATTAAAATTGAAAAAAAAATAAAGTTAAATATCTTTCACTATATTATTTCTATATTTTCTAAATGTAAAAAAAGATATTTTTAAAACCATATATCAAATCTTCCAATAGAAGATAACAATCCTGCTTTCCCACCTGAGGCTAATGATCATGGGGGTGGGGTGGGGGTATTTGCCGATGACATAGGTATTCATAGTTGGGATGAGAATGATCTTGAACAGAAAACCAATATCTTCCTCCAAGAAATTGGATTCAAGATAAGCCTTTTCGTAACAGAAACTATGATCTGGAATTGGAATGAAAGCAGTGATGTATCCATCATAAAAATTCAGGAAGTGAATTTTATATATACTAAGCACTTCAAATGCCTCAATGTATAGACCAGTTATGGCAAATTTAGTATAGGAGATAAGGAAATTGAATATAGAATAGGATGCACTAGATGAAGTTTGACTCCTTGTCTTGGTGTATGGATCAATTATAATAAATTTAGTATAGGAGATAAGGAAATTGAATAGGCTGCACTAGAGGGAGTTTGAACTGTAAAATGATGAGATCTTGGCTTGGTGTATGGATCAATTATAACAAATTTAGTATAGGAGATAAGGAAATTGAATAGAGAATAGGCTGCACAAGAGGGAGTTTGAACTGTAAAAATGATGAGACCTTGCTTTGGTGTATGGATATATTATAACAAATTTAGTATAGGAGATAATGAAAATGAATATAGAATAAGCTGTGCTAGAGATAGTTTTGCCTAACACCATAAATTGCTACATTAACCTGAAAATTTGTGTCATGTTCTTAAATAGCCTTGCCACATCGACACATTTCATATGGTTGTCATATATGGTGCCAAACCCAGTCAGAAATATCTAAAATCTTGGCTATATACAATTGCTTTCTAAGATCAATAGTTGAAACTGGCTTTGAGCATGTGAAACCTGTGGGCCACACTTCTTTGAACCTTGTAAACAGGTAGAATCACAAGTAACTTGAAAATGTTTAATGATTTGGCTGAAAGCATTTGGGACAATAATCACTACAGTTTGTAGACTCTCTTACTGTCCATAAAAGAAAAAAACAATAAGAATATATGAAAAACTGAATTTAAAAAAGAATTATAATTTCTAAAATTTTCCTGGTCCATCACATTCAATGAAACATGTATAAAAGAAAGATTATTGCCTAAATATTATTTTTCAATCATTCCATCCCATGCAAGGTGATAAATCCCCTAAGTTGCAAGGGGTTACATGGAGTTAAAGAGAATGAGAAGACTGAAGTGGGGAGAAATGATAATAAAAGAACAGGATTCTGGAAAACAAAAGTTAGCAAATGGTGTTGCATTTATATTTTTGAAGTTAGCAGGGAAGCAAGAAATTAGAAAGGAATTCCTCAGGTGAGAATTGCAAGAAAAGAAAAATCAGGAAGGTCATTGATGAAGATAAGAAACAATATAGGATAGAGCTTTCGATGACCACCGATTAATGTGAAAGGAACTAGAAGCATGTCTATTCAACACAACCGCCATTACACAATTTTTTAGGATATCTGAGAAAGTTTTGTATGCCCATTTTCAAACTGAAATTCAAGCACTTCAGATAACTGTAAATGTTTGTGAGAAATTTATGTTTATGCACAATTATGTCCTTGTGAAATTTAATGTTTACAACATTTCAAAAGGTTTCAAATGTAATGAGTAAATGACATTTTCAAAATAACTGACATTTTGCCAAACATTATAAGATTATTAAAGCATTATGAAGAGATTGTATCATGTCGGAGTTAACTCCTCCTTCAGTCCGTTAATCCTTTCACTATTTTTGTCTCTCTTCTCTGGCTATAAATAATCGCTGACTCTTTTTGGCCTCTTCTCTTTTTCCCTTCAGGCCCTGTGTTCTCCACCTTGAGGTAAATTTCTCTTATTCCTAGAGGATTTTCAGCTATCAACCTCGAAATGTAGTCGCTAACAAGGGATATCATAAAATTCGCTAAATCAATATTCACAACAACGCATACACAGAATATTCACACACGCAGCAATACAGAATATTCACACACACTTAAATCCCCTTTGTACTGTTTCCATGTTGTAAAATTGTTATTAATATATATATTTGTATACACATATATTATCAGTCTTGTTTTGTTTGCTTTCTTTACCTTCTACTTGATTATTTCTCTTGTTGTTGTCTTTGTTACATTTGATATTGTAAAAAAGTAGAGGTCAGTTTTTATTTCTATTTATAACCAATACAAATTGACTGACCCACTATATTTACAACATTTCAAAAGGTTTCAAATGTAATGAGTAAATGACTTTTTCAAAATAACTGACATTTTGCCAAACATTATAAAATTATTAAAGCATTATGAAGAGATTGTATCAACTGTAACCTTGTGTCAAACTTTTAAATGGAAAATTAAAAATAAATATTGCATTTATAATTCCTTACCAGTTTGTGCAGGATTATAAATGGGTTTGTCAGTTTGAATAAAGATGTAGCCTGTGTTTAGCTCAACTGGTATCTCCTTCTTTTGGGCAAAGATCTTAGAAGTGATAATAAGATTTACAAAGTGACTTTCTTCCCCAACGTCTGAAGAGGCAGACATTCGGTGGGTGAGGTCTCTAAGAGTAACAGTCAAATTGGCCATTCCGGGGCGATCTAGAAAAGAAACAAGAAAAAAAGGAAAAATAATAAGTTTATAAACAGATTATTATAATATATATATATATATATATGGCTGGGGGTGCAAAAGTAGGTATACAGTAATGAAAAATAAAATAGCTATCCTTTATGCATTCCCAGAAAACAAAAAACAAAAAAAAACATATAGGTAAGATACTTGTATACGTACCTTTGCTGCCACCCTGTATATGTAAAATAATAAATAAATGAAAAATAAAATATGATACAAACATGAGCAGGACACCAATTTTCCGGCAACTGATGACTAGATACCTCTTTTAATCTAGGCATCTTTATGTCCCTTCAGGAAGTAGGCGTCCATGGCTCTCCACAACTTCCTGTCTCTTCTAGCTCTTAATAAACCTTGTCCTTCTGCTATTTTTCCCAAGCTTTGTTGCACCATCCATTTATTGAATCTCATCATGTATGTCATGCATTGTTTCCCTCTATCTGTCCTGTGAGTATCAGATTTTCCAAACCCTCCTTCCTCATTATATGCCCCAGAAACCTCAACTTTCTCTTCCTGATGTTAAGTATTAATATTCTTTTTGTTTCCATTTTCTCCAGAACTTTGTTGTTACTCACGTTTGGTCCACGGAATACTAAGCATCCTTCTGTAGAATCACATTTCTGTTGCTTCAGTTCTCCTCTTCATCACTGAGGAGGTCATCCAGCACACACAAGAGGACAGATATTACGTAGCAGTTTAGTACTCTTTTCCTTGTTTCTAGGTTTCGTACTGTGCACATTTTCAGAAATTCTTTTTTTTTTTACTCAGCTTAACTTTTAGCACCGTGCATGACTAATATCATTTCACTTTACACTACATTCTTTTTCAAGGCCTCTCTTTCACACAAAGTTGTTTTTCGTTGCCATAGCAGGATATGACAACACAACTATGAAATTCAAACATGTTGTTTGGGAATCAGAATCACCTTCAGTGGCAGGATAAAACTTTTCGTACAGCAAATGAAGTCACATACAGCGATAAATTTTAAAAAACTTATTTGAAATAGCCAGATTGCAAATACCTCAGCACAATAAATAATAAAATACAAAATCGGCAGGTGTTGATAACAATTATTTACAAAAGGTATTTGATATGTCAGCCATATTTCTTCTTTGGGTAAAAGCGCAATTGTCTTATGTCTCAGTTTTGCTCATGACATAAAGCTTGTTTATATTTTCACTTTCTTGTTTATTTATAGTTTTCTCTCTTCAATCTTAATGAATGACAATATTTTTTTGCTTTTATAGTTTATGAATATATAGAAATATACATCAAACAAAAAAGTATGATAGATTAATTAACACTTTAAAATGTATTACAGGGTATGTCTAGTCAGCACCTTTCCCTGAAAATTCAAGGTCACATCATGTTGAAACAACAGTTCACATACAATCACTGAAGTTAAGCAATGTTGAGCTTGGTTGGTACCTAAATGGGTGACCGCTTGGGAATACCAAGTGCTGTAAGCTTGGGTGTGTTGGTGGATAATGGTTTGGAATTGTTACTTGGAAAGTCAAGTTCCAATTCCAGTTAGGTTCATTATATTCACTTACACATAAATGCACTTGGGAAAGGTATGAATCCACCTCTTCTGCTGAAGCTATGGGTTAATTAGTATGACTTGTATCCCTAAGCCATTATTATCTACAAAAAAAAAAAAAAAAAAAGAATTCTTACAATCTAAAAATATTTTCTGGCTTTAAATAACCTGTAAAGAGTTGATAAGCTGTAGAAAATGAATCAATAAAAAAAACAAAGATTCAAAAATTTGTTTTGAACATCCAGTTCATTTCATTTCTTTAATATCATGAAAAAATTAAATATTTTAGCTAAATATATGTATGACATTGAGAATTTTAATGGATAAATTGGTACAACTTTTCAAAAAAAATTATATATAGATGGCTTTACCATAGGCTCATATTAAATTCAAGTCGAATCATACACAAGAAAACACAGTACATCTATTTGAAATTATATTCATTTTAAAAAATAACTCCAAATGGTTGCACATTTCAGCCAATAATCTTTTCCTGTTACCCAGGAGTTGTTGCCAGACAAAAAGGGAAATTAGCCCTTTTGACACAGATGTTAATTTCAATTTCATTTAAATTGCATGTGTATACAAGGGTGGGCTGAAAAGTTCATAGGCTGATATGAAGGAATGGTGCTTGAGCTGTGAAATCTTGCATGCATTAATTTCAACTCTTCTTATTAATAACTGCATTGTTTCTTTCCAGGTAAACATAGGACTCTTCAAGGAAGACTGTTCATCCTGTTGTTCAAAAAAGTCATCAACAGCAGATATGACATCATCATCATTGTGATACTGGGTCCCAGAGAAGCGTTTTTTTTCCATGTTGGGAAGCACATAAATCAGGAAAATAGGGAGGGTCATCAACCAATTCAAAGCCACAGTCAAGCACAGCAGCCATTGAAACCAAGAACTTGTGTGCTGGAGCATTGTCCTGGTGAAACAAGACCTCTTTCATCAAGTTTCCTGTGCGTTAGGATTTGATATTTTTTTGTAACTGCCTTGACAAATTAGCATAGTACCCTCCATTAATGGTTTGGCCATCTTGGAGATAATAAACACAATGCCTTTTGCATCTTAAGAAACTGAGGCCATCACCTTCCCAGCAGATAAAATGACCATGACTTTCTTTGGAGCCGATGAGGAGGGGGTCTTTCCATTGCATGGATCGTCCCTTTATCTCTGGCTCATAATGATAAACCCAACACTCATTTTGGGTTAGGAAACCAGCTGAATCTGCCTCAAACAATGTCAGATTTTTCCATGATGTGATCAGCTTGATGTGCTTCTGATCCAGTGTCAGAAGACATGGCACCCACTGAATAGAAACCTTCGTCATGCCAAGTTCATTATGCAGAATATTCTCAACCCTCTCACAGTATATGCTTATATATAATGCAGCAAACAGGAAAGAAACAATGCAGTTATTAATAAAAAGAATTGAAATTGATGCATGCAAGATTTCACAGCTTTAGCATCACTCGTTCATAGTCAGTCCACCTTCATATACATTTGCTTGTTTGCTTATTTATTTTAATTCAATGACAGACGTAAAAACATTACTGAATAATTTCAAAAAGTTCAATAAAACCTTATAATTATTTGACTTTGTTTTAAAGCTTAAATTGGTTTCTTTTTTCATGTCTTCAACTTTAAAACAGGCTTGATTTTTGGACTGATATGAAACCTTTTCAGTCTGAAAATTTAGAATGAGGAGTTATCATTATTTACACTATTTACATGCAGGTCCTTATTGTCTTTCTTTTTGTTGTTATATCCCAATATTTTGGGGCTTATGGCCATATCATGATGAAACACTGGTTCTCGTACCATGGACGAAGTTAAGCAATATCAAGTCTGGTGAGTACCTAGATGGGTAATCAGTTGGGAATACCAGGTTTTAAAATCAGAGCCAAGTTCCAATTCCAGTCAGGTTCATTATATTCACTTATGTGCAAATATCCTTGAGAAAGCTATGAATCCACCTTTTCTCCCACCAACTATGGATTAATTAGTAGGATTTGTATAAATAAATCATTATTATCTTCCAAAACAGATCTTTATCTAAAATATAATTCTGGCTTTTAAATAACCTTATACGATAGGTTGATTTGTCATAAAAACAATTTTTATTTATTTCTTCATTGTGTCTTTTGATCATCACTGGCTCAATGGTTAAAACATGATAACAACAACAAAAATGACAACAGTTTGCATCTAAATAGTTTAAATAATATGAAACATTGTCATGCTTATAATTTTCAGGCTAAGAAGAAAAATGTATTGAATTATTAGTAAACATGGACTTTTGTGTCTGTAAAAAAAAACAGAGTATCAAAAAGATAGTCCCCCCCCTCATGACACTACTTTTATTTTAACTACTAAACACTATTTCTTTATTAGATTGTTTATTTACAAGAATAATTTTATATTTACAACATTCTAAAAACTAATATAATTAAAACTAATGCAATGTAATATTTATCATTTGCCAATTTACAAAGAATATGAAAACAATTTTTTTTCATAAATTTATAAACATTTACTTAATTATTAAAATATGAGAACCAACTATAAGTAAATCCTTATTTACCATTTTATAAAGTTTGAATCAATTGATAATTAGCCAATGTTTTCCTACTATTCCAATAAACAATATAATAAATAGTGTTTATTATTTTTATTGTCAAGTCTCAAGAACAAAAAAATGTATAAATTTCATATCTTTAGGTTTTATTACAATTCTAATCATTGTTTTTTAAAGCAATAAACATTGCCAAAGAGTGAAGGTAGTTAAAATAAGTGGTGTCATTGGAGAAACCCTCCTTTCAACACATTGTTTTTTGGTGAGCACAAAAGTCCATGTTGGACAAATTATTATTACAGCAAGTATACATAAGGACAGTTCATTTAAGAAAAGTAAAACATTTCAAACTTTAAATGCAGTTCATTGTGGTAACAATACCACCTTGGCAACTCCTGATCTCAGGTAATTGACAATTAAATTTAAAAAAAACCAGGCAAAATAAGATTAACTTTATCTGACACAAGATCAAATAGAAGAAAAACAAGATTGTTACTTTCAAAAATCTCCAAATGGGGAAGGTGTTTTAGCTTTAAATTTACTATAGGATCATCAAGTCAATGCAAATAATGTTTTCCTTAGATGGCTACATATAGTTTTAAAAATCAGAGTTTTTCCACACACACACAAATTATTAAAAAGGTTGTAGAACTCTAGTAAGTTACCATAGCTGGCATTGGGGAGAAAAAAGATGGATTCAATCCTTTCCCGAGGGTATTAGCATGTAAGTGAATATAATGAACTGGGATTCAAATTCAGCTCCTCAATTCGTCAATCCGAGCTGCAATCCATTATTCCACTGTGCCTTCCTTGGAATACAGCAGTCAAAATTTCTCAGCTTTTTTATCTGGGCACAAGATAAGCCATGAATGAAATTTAAGAATAAAGAATGTTGTCACTTGGTCCCAACTAGAAGCAAGAAAACATCCAATTATAATTGTTTATGTTTCATAAAAAGAGTCGAGATGTTTATGAATTATTCCTTTGTATATTTAATATATATTAGTAAGTGATCACTAGGATTGACTAAATGTTGATAAGAAGGAAACCATTTGGCATATTGCAGACATCCAAAGAATCTAGTCTAATATTGTGCAATTAAATAATCAAAATTTTGTTAGGTGTGTAGACATTGGAAGGCTGGGCAGAGAGATCATGCAAAACAGGATTGGCACAGAATATCCTGGTGCTGCACCTGTTAACAAGTGTATTTTATTTGGTACATGCATATATGTGTGTGTACACATAAAAATATTATATACTAGCAGCATGACCCAGTGTTGCCCATGCTTGATTCAAAATCGTAAAAATTTATACAGTAATCGCTATCACTTGACTTGAAATATTTTGCCTTCCTTGCCTTTAAAATTTTTTTTTGTATCATAGTTTGCTACATTTTTTTTTTTTTTTTATCTCACACGTTTAAATTTTTTCTAAGTTCTATACTAAACATTAAATCTTAAAAAAAAAAAATCTAAACAAAATGAACACAAATGATCAGCTTAAAAAGGACCTATAACTGAAAACCAAATGAAAAAGAATATTAACAAAATATTTTTCACACCCAACCAGTTCTGTGGAATCCGAATTAAATTGAGTTTGGCCAGTTTATGAGCCAATTGGAGTAAAATTGCCTTTGTAGATTTAAATTTTCCCACGTGTGACGCAATACAAATTTTTTTTTTGCAGCTCTCCATGATGGCCAATAGAATTTTCCTGCCTATTGGTGGCAGCCAGTTATTGGTTTCTTACTGGCCAGTACAAAATGGGTCAGCAACTACACATGAAAACTACCAGGCTTAATGAAAAAACGATTATTTCAATTATCGATTGGAGGGGAAATGCAAAAGCCACCAGCCTTCCCCCGCTAACTTGGAGCATGTGCATGTAAATTTTGGTGCAAATCTGTTGGAAAATTATGTGCCATGCATTTGTTGCACATGCACATCCTGCCTTTTATAGATAGAGATATATACACACACACCCACACAAAGATGTGCGTGCACACACATACACACAAATATACAAAGACACACATATACATATATATATACACACACTATAAATATATATATATATACATATATATATATATATACATATATATATATATATATATATATACACATATATATATATATATACACTATTTATAAATATATATATATATATATATATATATATATATATATATATATATATATAATTTATATATATATATATATATATATATATATATATATATATATATATATACACATACCATACTATATATACACGTACTATAAATATATATATATATATATATACACATACTATATATATATATATATAAATATATATATATAT